GCGTAGTCTCGAAGGCCCCCCCCTCGGGCTACCTCCGGATCGAGGTGTTCGACACGAAATCAATCTCGTTCCGGGAACGAAGTACTGCGTGACGAGGCAGTGGCCCTTGTCGAAGGAGCAGTGTGACGTCATTGACGCGTTCTTCCGTGCGAAGCCCGTGGCGGGAGTGGTGCGTGAGAGTAAGTCTCCACACTCTACGCCGACGTTCTGCGTCAGAAAGCCGAATGGCAAGTGGTGTATCGTGCATTCTTTCAACAAGCTGAATGCCGCTACCATTCCGGCGCAGACGCCGATCCCTCAGAAGGATGTTCTTCAGAACAACATGACAGGATGTACGATGTACAGTGCGCTCGACTTGGTCGATGGGTATTACCAATTGCTCATGAGGACGAGCGACATTCCTCTCACTGCGGTGAGTACTCCGAGCGGCATGCTCTGGGAGTGGTTGGTAATGCCCCAATGGCTTTCGAACGCGCCGGCGACGTTTAATCGTCTTGTGACGCAGCTCTTCAGGCCCCATCGGGCGTACGCGCAAACGTACTTCGATGACATCTTTGTCCACAGTCGTGCGGAGCACGGAAAGACTGATATGGAGAACCATGTGGAGCACCTGCGTGCTGTGCTCGAATGCATGTGTCAAAACAAGTTGTACGCCAACATTGACAAATGCATCTTCGGAGCGGAAGAGATCCCCTTCTTAGGGTGCTTCATTGGAAAGAGTGGCCCGAGGGGCGACCCGGTCTAGGTCAAGGCCATTGTTGACTGGCCGGTTCCCAAGAACCAGAAGGATCTTCGCAAGTGGCTTGGCCTGGCCAATTACTTGCACAAATACAGCGAGAACTACGCTGAGATGGCTCGGCCACTCTCCAATCTCCTGAAGAAGGATGCGGAGTGGTGTTGGGACATCGAGCATCACGATGCGTTCGCGGCCTTTAAGGACAGTCTCCTTTATGCACCTATTCTGGCTTTGGCAGACCCCGCTCGTCCGTTTAGTGTCGTCTGGGACGCCTCGGACTTTGCCATCGGCTGTGCACTGCTGCAAGCAGACTCCGAGGGGCGCGAGCGCGTGATGGCGTTCGAATCTCGCCAGCTGAAGGCTGCGGAGAAGAACTATCCTGTCCATGACAAAGAGCTACTTGCGATGAAGTATGCGCTCGTCAAGTTCAGGGTGCACATGTTGGGCTCTCAGCCGTTCGTGATTTACACGGATCATGCATCGTTACGCACTGCGACACAGTCACCTCACCTCTCGCGAAGGATGGCCCGTTGGCTGTCCTTCTTGGCGGAGTACAACTTCGAGGTGAAGTACAAGCCTGGCAGGCAGATTGTCCTTGTGGACGCGCTGTCGCGCAGGCCGGATTATGATCTGACTTCGTCATTACCAGATTTGATCCGAACGGCTTATGCCAAGGACGACACCTGTGTCGCGTTGCTAAAGGCTCTGAGGAGCAAGGAGTTTTGTGGTGTGGTAACACCACTTAAATTCTCTTCTACCAAAAGGTATTAGAGGCACCAACAACACGCTAACCCGCAATGGTAAGCGCTTATTGGATCAAAACCTGAAGACCAGGAACGATCCCTTACACCGGGTCGGTTGCCAGCGCCTCTGTGCACCTTAGGTTGTCTTCGGTCAACCCAAAAACCTGTACCGCTAGCCACGAGCTAAGGCTAGGATACTATGTAGCGCTTTCGCGCAACCCCACTGCAGTCCCTCAGAAAGGAAGGGTACCGGCGTGTTAGGCCTTATACAGGGGGGCCAAGGTAAAACCTCAGTAGGTAGACTAATACACTCAGGGACACTCTAATCCCACAAATATATACCGAACGATACTCTAATACCGTTCCTGCCTCCCCGGCCACGCCAACTCTTGGCGCTGCCAAGGAAACTCTCGGTCAATGCACGATAAGCTCCCCGACAGGCATCCACACACAGCCGAGCGTGTCCAGGCACTACAATAAGCTAGCTACACTTACCGAAGTCGGACTTGACTCTTGTTGGCTTTGGGGGAAGACTGTCTTTTTATTACTGAGTTTTCCGAGGCCCCGGGGCCTCGTTCTGGTCATCCTATGATGAGGCATATGTCCCTATACAAATATCTAGTGTGAACGATCGCAATAAGGCGATTCCGGACACATCAAATGACGACCGCGGCTACACTAATATGTGCGGCCAAAGTACGTAACTAAATGCATCTGTACCAAAACGTAGGCACCATGAAGCCTCGGTCGGGGTTGTATTAGGACCCGACGAAGCTCCGGCCACTAACCGTCACTCTAACGAGGATAATTTCGTCAGCTTAACCAAAGCAGCCACTTCCATCTCGCACTTGGCTGCTCCTTGATTGTACCTTGATTCTTGGGCGTCGGGCAATCGCTCGGGTAATCTCCATTTTCCGATACCACAACTGCCCTCGCCTCCCGTCCGTAAACTTTATAGCCCATTTATCGCGCTTGCGCCTGACCGCTGCGACCGCCGCTCTGCTGGACCTTCAGTGTTCTGGTCCGGTACGCTCGACATTCTTGCTGCTCTTCGCCATCAGTTGGATCCTCGTTAATGACGCCAGCTTGTTCTCCGGTATCCCAGGGTGCTGTCAATGTAGTCACCGACACTTTGCAACGCTGGTTAGGGCCGCAAGATCTTTCATTACCCACCGGCGCCCCTGTTGACGCTGATAATACGGTACCGGCACAAACGGCACCTGTGATCGCGTCTCCAGTATCTTCCGTCGCTGCTGAAGCGTCGGTCGACACACCACAAGGTTCCTCCGGTGATATTGCATCTTCTGTTGGGACCAACGAGAGTTTGATGACGCTTGGAGCCGCTACGGGGCGCGCAGTAGGAATCCTGCCAGATCCATTCCGGTCGTCGTATGATCCGACGTTGGTCGTTTCATCGACATCAAGCTGACGGCTGCTCTTCGCATCGTGATTCCTTTCTCTTCTGCTCCCCTGGCGGCTTCTCTAGCGGGTAAACTTAATCGGAACGACGTACTGTAGCCGGCCACACTCTAAGCGGAAGCCCATCCATGGTCACATCACCGGAATTCCGGTGGTCGTATGGTCCGACGTTGGTCGCTTGATCGACATCCCGCTGACTGCCCCTGGCCTGCCTTGGCTCAGTCTCCTCGACAGCATTGACGTCTTCTTTTGATAGTGCTGCATCACCTGGGGCTCAAACTGAGCAACATGCCCTGCCACACTTCTGGCCGCAATGCAAAACATCCGGAGTTCCAGTGGTCGTATGATCCGACGTTCCATCGACATGCTGCGGACCGCCGTTCGACACACCTCAGTCGCATACTTCTCGGCATCACCGGCATCTGCAGTAGCTAGTTCTGCGTCGGCCGAGGGTTCAACGTCAAGTGCAGTAGTCAGGGAACGTGCTATGACTCGTCCTGCCTCACACCATCACTACGTCGGAACTTCGGTGGTCGTAAAGGGAGAAGGAATGGTTGCCCCAGGGTGAAGCCCGCGAATCGCTGCACCGCCAACGTCGGTCACACCTTCACTTGCTTCGTCATCACTCGTAGATAATGTAGCTATGTCGACCGTGGTTTCGTTGCCTTCTTTCCACAGTTCCACCCCGATTTTCTGGTGGTCGTAACCAAATCGGGTTTAGTTGCCTCAGTCTGTGGCTCGGGAACCACCGCACCAGAAACGTCGGTCGCGCCTTCAGCTTTTTCCTCTTTGGTGTGAGCCCGTGCCAGTGTTGACCGTGGTTCGTGGTGCACTTACAGCAAATAGTCGGTGGTCGTAACGTAAGGTCTGGGTGTCCCAGCCTCCACCAAGCGACCCGCTGTGTTGCAATCACATCTATTCAAGCCGCGCCAATTCTCGTGCAGGGTCCCCACAGTTTCCGCGCAGGCTACAGCAGGTACACTCGCCTTGAACGAGACTTAGTTGTCGGCCGTAGCGGTCCCAGATCCACTCGTATCTCCACTTCATCATCAAATCCATGCTCAGTCACTTGTCTGGGCGTAAATGCCCGGGGCCCTGTCACGTCAGGAGCTGCGTCTGAAGCCTCGGTCGACCTCCAATCGGCTTCATCAGCACTCGCTTCACCTCTTCTCGCTGGTCGTGGCTGCCTCGTGCTGCGTTTCCACTCAGCAGTATGTCCACTTCAAGGCCAGGGTGATTGATTTGGTCCATCGACTAAGACCGGTCTTGTGAAAACTAAGACTGGTCTTATTACAAATCCGTAAGACCGGTCTTACAGATCCATAAGACCCGTCTTACTAACCGATAAGATCAGCCTTAGTGAGGCTTCTGACGCACTCTCGGGGGTGTTTGAGGGCCCCATTGCTAGAGTGGTTGACGTCTCCATCTTGACACCTAACCGCTCTACTTCGACTGCTGCACCCAAAGCCTCGGTCGCCCTCCTAGTCGCTTCATCATCACTTGTTTCGTCTGTTGAGGGTTTGACCGATGTTTGCTTGTGTCGTCCGTTGTTCCTGGCTCTATTCCGATATCTCCATTCCATCGCGACTCGTTCGCTTAACACGTAATAAGCAAATTATAGTAATTTCCTCCGTCTGTCACTGCGAGCTGGAAAGCCCTCGTAGGCAGTTCAATCATCATCTCCAGTAGCTTCTTTCATCTGTCGTCGCGAACTGGGTTACCCTCCCAACAGGTCAGTCGTCATTAGCATGTGGAACTCGTCAACGACTTGGGCCACGTGCAAACATCGTGCTGCCCTCGCCACGCGTGCAGGTCATCACCCAAACGAACAAACGAGCGGTGTTCATCTGCGCATAGGTACGTCATCTCAGGTCCGTTTCTCTTCTAAACCTCTGTCAGCCCACCACTGAGAATTAGCACTCGTGCCTTGGTTTACCTCGTTCCATGAAGGGCCAAATCCGAGTGGTAGGCATCAGTCGAGATGTCGACAAAGACTCCTGTGCGTGGTCGCTGAGATTAATCCCGTTCGCGGTGTCATCAACCTCCGGGAACCCTTCCGCAACCATCGCAAGTACGACCAAGGTATAAATCTCCTCCAGTAATCATTCAGGGTCCTCTTTGTCCGGGCCATCGACACAATTTTCTCCATCGGTACTAACCTCGGTCGTGGCTGTTCCTGCTTCAGTTAAAATGTCGTTCGGTCCAGGATCATGTTCACCCCAGTCGATAGTGGCGTTGCCCCACGCGACCGACGTTTGATCTGGTTCAGGGCGTGCTTTCGTATCAGTTGCTGTTCCGTCCATTCGCGGGGCGGGTTCCACCGCTGCTGTTACATCTGGCGCGTCATGATCTTCTCCCGAATCGTCGTTCAGCTCTCCAACACCATCATCACGCTTGTCTCCGGCTCCTGACACCTCGGCCGGGGCTTCCTGTGCCCCATGTTCGATGCTATCGGCGTTATGATCGGTGCGCTTGGATGCATAGGCCGCTCGGTAAAGCGACGACTTTTCCAGTGCGTCGGAGTCGGTCGGTGCACTCGCCTCGTCGTCCGAACCGTCGATCGATATACCATCACGTTCTTTGACGTCTGCAGCAGTCTCAGTAACCTTGACCAAGCCTTGGGAGACCCTGGGGTCATTGTCATGACCCGATATACCGAGCGAAGAATAATCGTCGTTAGGACGACCTTGAAGATGACCTCTCGGCCATATTGGAGCGTCGAGCGGTCTCCGTACGATCTTCTGCGGCGTCGAGTAAGTCCTGTGCTCAATCGCGGGTGGCTGTTCGGCCAGCCATAGGTCATAGAGACATATCTCCCTTCCATACAGAGTCTCGTCACGGCTCGTTGAGTATGTCTGCACCTGCCACTCCTTGTGTGGTACAGTACCCCGCGGAAGAAGTGGGCGCGCCGAGCGCCGGAGGAAGAAGGCGCCAGGACGCGAGTGATGGACCTCGACGCGGCTGATGGAACGCGACGCGGATTGATGGGCGCGACGCAGGGCCGAGCTCGACGGGAAAATCAGCGTGGATGATGGGCTGTGAGACACAGTGCCAGAATCCAGTGCGACGCGTAATCATCCGACGGGTCGACCAGCACACCCGGTTCTGCAAAACGCGTCGACCCTAATCCCCGCCGAGCAAAACCCGCCGAGGTAAGATCTTGATTGCGCCACGTAAATCAGGTTGAAGCACGGTAGTGCATGCACGACAGAAGTAGGGACAGGCACAGAACGATAGGCTTAGCAAGCGGTAGTACAGAGTAGCCAGTAGCAAGGACATAGGATAGGGTAAGTACTCAGTCCCGACATTTCTCTGAACCACAAAGACCTCCGGATCTCCTCGGTTCCAGGGGAACCACCAAGCGCCGGCAAGTAGAGCCGCCTCGATATCGCGACCCCCCGTCGTTTGCTGGCTCGGGTGCTCCCCCCCCCCCCCCACAGACCCGTGCTGGAACAAAGGCACGTTAAACGTATACCGTTTAGGTGGGCGCCCGATAACGCGCTGACTAGGCGAAGGAGCGCACTGTCCTGATAACCGCCGTGCACAAGACCCCCCTGTAGGCCCGATAACGCCACACAAGCCCCAGGAAACGCCGCACGCCCGACGGGAACGCCGAGGAAACGCCGGCCCGATAACGCCGCACGCCCAAGGCTCGACGCGACGCCCTACGACAAGGAACAAGCGTCACCACAAGAACCCCCCCAACTCCGAAGCTTGCGAAGACTTGGGTCTGTATTTCGAAGATACGCTACTCCAACAACCGGGAATAACTTGCTCGGCGCGACAGCCATCCAGACGCGCCGAGTTTGTGCGAGATCGACTCCGCGAGATTTCTGCGAGGGCGCTACTCCACAATGGTGCCGCGACCCGGGAGTACTACTTCGAATTACGGGCTAACGATCCAAGAGCAATCGGAGGCAGGTGTGCAGTCGGCTGGAAGGTCGCCGACCGCAAGAGAGCACAGTGAGAGACCTGTCGCGTCGTGGAGCTCTGAGGGAACCTTCACGACAGGTCACGGGGCCAGCGACGACCAGGAGGGCTACGAAGAACAGTTTGCCGTTCCCGATGTGGCTCCCGACGAGGGAGCCGCGAAGGACCGCGACTTGCGTCGCGGTCCTACCGGTTGGAAGCCTGCTAAGGCCGACGACCAACAACAACCCACCGCCAAGGCAGCCACGAAACGCAAGTCACCCAAGAGGAAGAAGAAGCTGCACGCGCCGGACTCGGCGGAGGAGTCGCTGTCCAAGCCGCAAGGCAAGGCCACGGGACGTCAGTACACCGTCGATGAGGTACGGTACGTCGTGGCGCGCACGGAGATCTTCCGTCTGCTAGAGCAAGACCCAATCTTGGTCTTCCGCAAGCCTATGCTGATGAGCAACTTCACAGGCCTCTTCGTGGCGCCGGACTTCGACAGCCTCACCAGCGTTGCCCACGCCGCGCCGACTCTCTTCCAGATGCTGCGTGGCTCGGGGTTCGTGTTGGGAGCTTTCAAGATGGAGAGGCTGTGCGATTGGGACCTCAAGTCTTGGCTGCGCGCAATTCGCGTCGTGCAGGAGCCCTTGACGATTCTCGCCAGATCCGTCAAACAAGACGCGACGAGTTCCGCGACGGGCCAAGACGCGCCGAGTCCCTCGGCGGGCCCAGCCCAGACTTCAACGACCACGCCCTCGCCTCCACCTCGATACCAATCGAGCGTGGACTCCGACAGCTGTCTCGAGTCACCCAAGCGCATGCCCATGAACCGACCGTCGCGCGCCATGCAGCTATCCGCACAAATGTGACGAAACCCGCCGAGGAGGTGCTCCCCAAGGCCTTGAGAGATTCCATCATCAAACTGATGCAGACGACAGTGATGAGCACCCCACGCGCCGAAACAGCCGCAATCCCGGTGGGGCCGAAGCCGCCCGTGAATCCTGCACCCACGGTGGCTCGCCCCCAGGAGGCAGCGGGTGTCGCCATGGAGTCGGTCAGTTCGCGTTCTTCGACGAGGTCCAGAACTCGGCGCGACGCGGATGAAGACCCCGACGACCTGTTCGACTTGGACATCGGAGCGCCAAGAACCGCGGCCGCCGTCTCGACGGTGACAGCCGGCGGCGTAGGCCTCGCTCGCGTACGCCTCTCAGCATCTTCCGAGCTGAAAGAGTTCTCGGGACAGGACGCTAGCGAAGAGAAAGCCAGACTGTGGCTCAACCTTCTGAAGTCCGCCGCGCGGCGCGACGGGAGGACGGGTGAAGAAGTGTGAGGGCAGTTCAGCGATCGGATGAGCGTCCCTGCGCGCCAATGGTATCTCCATCTGCCCAGGAAGGTCAAGAAATCATGGACCGAGCTGATGGAGCAATTCCGAGTGCAGTACTTCGGCAAGGGCGTGTCAATAGCCAGCCGCTACTACCATGCGGCTCAGCGCCCCGACGAGACCCCTCTGGATTACTTGTACCGGCTCAACGTCGCGGGCTTGAGGGCTAACATCCCATACGCCGAAGGCACGACTGAAGAGAAGCGCGAACACGTCGAGCATTTCATCCGGACGCTGGACACACAGGAGGCCGAACTCGCCTCGCGTCTCACGCTGATGGAGGTCGCCGACTCTGAGGCGCTGGAGAAGAAGCTGCGTGCCCGACAACGTGGATTGGCTCATCAGAAGAAGACTCTCTTCGGCTCGAACAAGTTCCCCAAAAGGCGCCGACCCCGCCGACTCAGCCGGCGCGCGCCGTGCATGCGATTCACGTTGCGTCGGACGAGTACAACTCGGAACGCGAGTGTCGCGACAGCGACGATCGCCAGTACGACCAAGGCGAGGAGGACGAAGAACGCGCCAAGTTGTTCGTCGCGGGGCAGGTCCCGCCGGGAGAGCCGGCGCGTCGCAACTTTGATCCCGACGACTCGGGACGCGATCGTCCGCGTTGTCACCACTGTGGTTCTCGTCGACATGCTGAGGGAGACTGCTGGAAGTTGTTGACGTGTCAGAAGTGTGGTGGCCAGCACCCGACGGAGCGATGCTTGAGGGTGTGCAAGGCCTGCGGTGACACGAAGCCGGAGAATGCCCGATGGAGGAGTTCTTCAACTAATTGCGCCAGTGGTTTGACCCGAATAAACACGCGGGAATCCTGTCGCCGGCCGCCGAGAAGATTTTAAACTAGGACGTTCGCTGGCTTGGAAACCAGTACGAGACGAGCGACCTGTTTCCGTCTATGCATATGTGACCAAGAAGTCGCGAGAGGTGGTTAGTGAGAGCCCGACTTCCCTGAATGATAATACATGTGGATCCAACCTGGAACGTACCACCCAAGAACGCGGGCCGCGAATCTCGGCGGTCCGACGTACGACGGACGACGAGTTTGCACGTGAACCACCCCTGGACGAGATCAACTTGCAACCAGGAGAGTGACGCGGATACTGGAAAGATTACGCGCCGCACAAGTGGTACAAGCAGGCCAAGATTCATGGAAAGCTGAACAACCGCCGTGCTGTGTTATAGCTCGACACAGGGGCCGAGGTGTCCATCCTGGACACCACCTTTGCTCGTGAGGTAGGCTGCCTGATCGACACGGAGATCACGCAAGAGTGTGTGGGAATTCGTGATGAGACATATTTCACGGTGAGGAGAACCAGAGTCAAGATTACCTAGGCTGGGAACTTGGTGTACTATATGCACCTGTGGGTCGGCAACTTGGTCGGCCAACACGCAACCCTGGGAATGAACTTAATGGTGCTCGCTGGAGTGCGCATCGACACTGCGGACGGCACGGCGTGCCTCCCCGACGAGGTGCATATCCAGATAATCGGACGAAAACCGCTATAAGGCGCACGGATGCACCCGGTCAACGTCAAGACGCCTGTGAGATTCGAACCAGGAGACACGCATGAAGTCTTGCTGAGGCTGGATCGAAACGCGCCGTTCGTGTGGGTGACACGGGCAGAGTCGTGGGTGACTGACTACCTTTGTCAAGGGGAGAGTCGGAAAGAAGACGTACCTACGTGTCACGAACATCGGAGACGCAGCGATAACCCTCGACGCGCATGAAACGCTTGGGTGGTGGACGCCGTCTGACGGCCAGCCTCGGAACCGTGGATTCATCCGACTGGGCTCCCCTCGGTACCAGCAGGGGCAGAATCTGACGTACGGCGTGACGCGCGACGCTGAGGAGTACTGGATCCCAGCCGAGCTCGACGGGCCGATGACGAATCGCCCCTCATACCCGACGCCTAAAGCCATCTTGCGCCCGGAACCAAGGCAACTCGGGGCGCGACACGCCGTGGCCCCAGTGTTGGCAGCTGTCGCGGGAGTGCCGAAGCAAAGTAGGGTAGAGGTGCCGCCCGAAAACCACGAACAGGATGCGAACGAGGAGACGGTTGAAGTCGAAGACAATGTGCTCTCGGCTGTGGTCGGAGGCGCTGCGATGGAGGAATCGCCGGAGTCGAAACCCGCCGAGCCGGAGCCCGACGAGGCGAAACCAGACGAGCCGGAGGAAGACAACGCTATCCTCATCCACGAGGGGTCCGACCTCTTCGCAGAGGATCTCGAGTCCGAGATGGCAGTGCTGCCAGACCTCTCGCTGACCGCCGAGGTGAAGTTCGAAGACTTGAAGGTTGGCATGCCGACTGGACTCCCGCTCGAGGAAGCCGCGAGACAAGAAACGCGGCTACGCCAAATCATCTGGAAGCGGCGGAAGTGGTTGATCGGCAAGGCAACGCCTTGCCGCCAGCCGCACTGGGGGCTGTCTGCAACATCGACGTGGGCGACGCAAAGCCCGTCGCGCAACGTGTCCGAAAAATCCCGCCGTAGTTCCGAGAGAAGGTGACCGACTTGATCAAGGGGCTGCTGAGCGCGAGGATGATCCAGAAGTCGATGTCGCCGTGGACGTCGCCCATTGTCGTGATCATAAAGAAGAACAGCGTCGATATCCGGCTCTGCATTGACTACAGGCTCATCAACGGGCTGACGCAGTTGATGGTTTACCCCGTGCCGCTCGTCAACGACTTGCTCGAAGACTTGGACAAGTATCTGTGGTACTGCTCCCTCGACATGGCGAGCGGCTTCTGGGACGTCCCCATGACAGACCGGGCCCGGCTCATCTTGGCCTTCATCACGCCGATGGGACTGTACGAATGGCTGCGTATGCCGTTCGGCCTGTGCAACTCGCCGCATATTTACCAACGCTTGATCGACAACGCGCTCTACGGGTTCATGAAGCTGTCCCCGGATGGCAGCACTCGGGACGTCTTTGAAGACGGCGAACCGGTGAAGCCAGGTATTCACTCCGTTCGGGGATGGAGGTCGTACATCGACGACATCCTCATCGGGGGCATGTCGTGGGACGACCTGTGCGAGAAGGTCGAACTCTTGCTGGATGTCTGCGAGCAGTGGCACTTGTCCATCAGTGTCGAGAAGAGCGAGAAGTCCTGGAGGAGCTGGTGGTGCAACGACCGCGCCTGGACCGCATCCGAGTCGCCAAGGACAATGAGGTCTGGATCGTCAACCTCAAGAAGTATCTCCGCGGCGACGTCGGAGACCTATCTCGGCGCGAGGTGAAGAACTGCCAAAAGCTTGCGCTTTAGTACGAAGAGGGCGAAGGCGGGCTCCGATTGAAATGCGGTGACATGCGGTGACCGATTGAAATGCGGTGACATACGGGGACCGATTGAAATGCGGTGACAAATCCTAACCAGACGATGTAGAGCCGAGCCTGATAGAGATACTGCATCTGTTGGACAGAATACAAAGCCAAACGGGCCTAGGGCCTTGGCAGCGCACCTTGGCCCAAGGCACGCTGTCAAGGCCTACTAAGAAGTGATTCAGGTGCCGAGGACAATATCAAGTCTAAATGAAACTCTGGGGTTGCTAACAGGAGTGGTCATGATGGGCGTCACGTGAGCGCTGCCCCCTTGCGAGAGGTATCCGACCAAGATAGAGGTCAACCCTACAGGGTTGAGAATTGCTAAGAGCTTCTGATAAAGGGCCATCACTTGCAGCATATAATCCCACCATAACTTGGCAATTTCTGTCAGACTCTCTTAGCCACTGTTTAACACGACTCGCGTTGTGTTGTGTAGCCGATAATACTTGTTTCGCGACTAATGATGCTTCAGATTTATTGTACAAACCGGACCGAATGTCCGCCTCCGCGAACCCCTTAATGCGTCCCGAGTGCTAAATAAATCATAGTCAAAACAACAGTATTAAAACGGGTTGAGAATAATAAATCTGAGTCTAAAAGCGATTTGAATCGGCTGGCTGACTGGCACTCCTCAAGTTGCCTTCCGCCCACCAACTCTGCATACACCCCATGTATTCAACGGATTACAGGTGGCGCGTCGTCACGCTCCACTACGTCTACTCTGTCCCGTGCGAAATCGTCGGACGAGTGCTCGCTGTATCTGGCCGCGCAGTGCGGAGATGGTACGCCCAGTTCAAGTCAACCGGACATGTTCTGGCCAAGACACCCGAAGAGCGCCCTGTATTCTTACCAGCGGTGGCCACGTACGTCTCGGAGTACGTAAAGGAGCACCCATGCTTCTACGTGGAGGAACTGCTGGAGGAAGTGAAGCGCCGTTTTCCGGAGCAGCAAAAGGGTTTGTCGTTAACGTGTCTTCTGCGGCTGCTCCGTTTCGAGCTGAAGTTGTCGCGCAAAGTGCTTGAACGGCGTGCACGAGAGGCGTTGCCGTTTGAGGTGGACACGTATCTGGCCAAGCTGCGATCGTTCTACAGCTACCCCGAGCAGCTTGTGTTTCTTGACGAAACATCAAAGAACGGCTTAGATTCTATGCGGCGTTACGCGTGGTCTAAGAGGGGTGAGAAGGCAGTTACACGCGTGCCTTTCAAGCGCGGCAGTCGTGTCTCTATTCTAGCTGCATGTGACGTGACGGGGTTTATTGTGTGGGTGACTACGCGCGGCACGTTTTCGCGGAAGCGCTTCCATCGCGCGTTTGTACGTCAAGTCGTCCGTCATTTGAATCCGTGGCCTTTGCCCAGGTCGATCGTTGTGTTGGATAATGCCCGCATTCACATGTACAAGGAGCTGGAGGACGTCGTGCACTGATGCGGAGCTGTTCTTTTGTACCTGCCGCCGTACTGCCCTCACATCAACCCCATCGAGGTGATGTTCGGCTGGTTGAAGCAATGGTTGGTTAGGCACGCCAACTTGGTGGCTCCGCTGTACCCCGAACTGGTGTTGAAGGTGGCGATGCGGAGGTGCTTGACGTGCGAAGACCACGGAGCGAACTTGTTTCGACACTGCGGATACGCATCGAGTGGAGTGAATGTGGCGGCGTTTACTACAGATTAGCAAGGGGAGGCGGAGCGGAGGGGGATGGGGTGGGTGGGAGGAACGATTTAACTGAGCGTAGCGAGGCAGATTTAGAGGAATATGCATTGCTTAACAGTAAAAAGTATATAGTCTGGTCCTCGCTTAGTCGCTCTTGTGTTCGTCGTCCGAGACGTCTTCCTCAGGCTCCGCAGGTGGCTCAAATGACGAGAAGACCCCGCTGGCAAGTAAATTGTGGCTCGGAAGCCCCAACACGCGGCGCAGCTCAGCGACTTCGATCGTTAGCGGCATCTAATTAGACCCGTTTAAGCGAACCGAGATAGTTTGGTGAGTAGGCTCTTCCAGAGCGGCTTCCTGCTCGCGCATAGTGTGGTGTAGTGATTTGGCGGTAAACGAGAATCGAGCTGACGACCAAGCTTCAGTGGCGACCCGAGTCGTCGGGACATGTTCAGCAATGTTCGGCGGATGCTGATTGGCCATTCTGGACCGATTCCGAAGACTCGTCGACACCCAAGTTCGACACCCAGGACTTCAAGTACGATCCGAACTTACAGCGAACTTTGACCCGAGATCCGCACTTAAGACGACCGTTCGAGCCTCGGCGACTGCTCCAAGTCTTCATCGTCCAATAGAGTCATCGAGAGGCCTCTTGGGGCGTCGAGGAGGCTCTGAAGGGTCGGTGGTTACTTGGGAAGATCCAAAACGGACGCGTTTATACTAGATATTTGTATTGAATCATAGGAAAGAGAAGATAGAACAGATAAGCCCCTTGGGCAACAAGAACAGAACAGCTTTTCCTCCCAACCACTCAAGGAAGACGTCCGGGCTATCGGTGAGTTCCCGTAGCAATTGGATAAACCTGTTGGTAGGATTATGACTGTCGGTGGACGCGCCTGCTAGTATCGTAGCGTGCGTTTACCCGTGGTCAGGCCAAGAGAAGAGAAGAGGTGGCCGTGTATACGAAGGGCGAGTCATCGCCGTGTAGTGGACGAGCGAGAGCGCACTCCATTTATCCTTCCCGCCGGAGTATAGCTCCGGCACCCTCGTATCAAGCCGTGACTGGCTGGGGCCCTTCCTTCCTGAGAGCCTGCGAGGTTTATATTGTGTGTGAGAGCGTGCCAGCCTTTGCTCGTGGCTAGTGACGCTGGGGTTCCGTCAGTTGACTAAGCGGAAACACGGTGCACAGAGGAAACATCAACCCGGTGCAAGGGAAAGTTCCTGGGCCTTCAGGTTCTAACCCTAACAAGCCCATTGATTCATCGGGACTTGGTGGGTGTTGTTGGTGGGGAAAGTGTGCTATTATATAATTTAGTGCGTGTTCCTACACGACGATAGCGTCTATATGCTGGGCTTGGGCAAATGTTGCCGTCTCGGGCACCGTGAGTTCGGTTCCTTCCGGCTGGCGGGCATCCGAAAACGACCAATGGGTTCGGGCAATCTCACCAACTTGGAGGTCGGAGCGCTGCTCCAGGAAGCTGTCGATCGTTCGTGCTGCCTCTAGTATGCGTGGGGCGGTCGCGCGTCGGGTCCCAGCTAAGTTGCTTATAGGTTTTCGAGCTGCAAGTACAACCTCTATTTCAAACGGACCTGTATTCGTCGTGCGCCGCTGGTAGTTAGAAAAGGAAGTCGCCACGAGCGATCCAAACGTCCCCTCCGATACAGAAACCCAATTTCGTTGAGGTGCCCCCTGGCTTAGTTTCATGTAGATGCTGGGGTCGGAGCGAATAGTTTTCTGCCCGTAGGAACTGAGGCTTGCTGCAACACGGTCTTCAACCTGCTTACAAACGTCGCTGTGGCCATGTTCGCGCTCGTCAAATGAGAACACAGGCTTCTCGACAGGGACATTGGTTCGGCTCGTCTTCGTAATTTCCCCAATTTTAACAGCGACACGCACGGAAGTCGGTATATTGAATAGTGGAGTTGTTAGCGCGGTGTCTGGTCGAATGCCGATCTCAAAGTGGGCATTCTGCGTTGCTGCCGTCTAAATGAAACCCCTGGTATAAACAGGCATTCCTATTTAAGGCCACCAATCAGGGTACGGCGACGCTATTCTGGGTGAATCGACCTAATAAGAAAAACCCAGGCTATTAAATCAGGGTATAAATCGATCGATTTACAATTGAAATGGGCAAAGCAGCCGGTTTTCACAATACCGTTTGCTGTGTAAAAACCTATAGATTCTGCTATGTGGCGTAGTACGTTGCCTAGAGGTTGAGGTGAGTTAAAAGGAGGATAATAGTTATACGCTTTACTATAATTATTACTAGAGGAGCTATAAATCCTTAGCAATATTAGCGATAAAAAGGCTAATAGTGGAGCTTATGGATATTGTGCTTTGCATCCAGTTTGCCCTCCTATTTAGAGCATCTCCACCGGTGCTGAGTAAAACTAAAAGCAAATTGCCCTCAGATCCATGACTACAACGGCACAACCGTGCTAAAGACAGTGCGCAGCTCCGCCGGCCATTGAGACTCGCAGCGAGCGCGTTAAAGCTCTTGGTTCTGCGCCAGCAATGGGGACGGCGAGTCCTAGCTGCATAGCCCTATAAAGATGAAAACGGGCCCCACAGCACGTTGAGGAAGACCCAGGGATGACATAGCAATGGCGACACTGCGGTCTGTGACGCTTGCGCTGCTTCGAACGCTTGACTTGGCCCTACTACCGACATTTACTCAACCTTTTACTCAAAGCCTCCTCCGTTGGCAACCTTGTGCAAAAATTTGATCAGCGTAAAAAATGGAGCAATTTGCTCAGCACTTACTCAAACCGGTAGAGCTGCACAAAACTAAAACTATAATTAAATATTGACAGAAAAGGGGTAAAATTTAGTTTTACTCACGACCGGTGGAGATGCTCTTACATGTAGTTCACAACTTAGTGTCCGTACTTACTGGTAAATCATAGAGGATTTGAATGCAAGTCTTGCATTACCGGTTCAATCTGCCCACGCATATAAACCTTTTGGAGGGCCCAGTGCGGCACCGCGACCGTACCGGTGTAATGGGTTTTCTACCAGTTCGGCTTGCCCACGCATATAAACCTTTTGGAGGGCCCAGTGCGGCACCGGGGTCACACCGGTTTCAGGACAATGTACCAGTTAGGTGTCAAGAGGGGTCACCTTTTGACTTGACGTACCACGGATATAATCCTGTTTGGTCTGCGATAGCAGCACTAACGTTGCTTCCTATCCCAGTATAAGTCGTACGAATTACAGTCCAAAGTGTCAAAAAGTCTGCAAAGCACAATAAATACACAGCTGGATCGCAACAATCGATTACACATCCTGTAACCAGTGAGGGAATGTTTCATTCGGGGGCAGGGCAAGTAGGGCATCTTTGCAATGTGCTTTATGTCATAATTTTACTTGGTGGTTTGATGAGCACGGGCCCAAAAGACAAACACACCAGCACCTGTCGGGCAGAGCTCCATGCGGCCCCGCCTCCCGCCGCAAGCAGCTCCGCGCCGCGCCCCATCAGGACCAGTCGCTGTGCGACTGGTGTGTGGGAACCTGATGTTTTGCTTATACCGGTAATGCAGGAGAACGGTAGAGTCGCACAGACAAGACAGGCAAATCCCACAGACAAAAGGCTAAACCCACAGACATACGAGGAAACGCACAGAAAAACATGTCACCTGGTGTAAATCCACAGACTTTAGGGGGAAAAGCACATATCATGAACTAATATAAGGTGGGCCCCACCGGATTCGGCCAAGCTCCTAAAGTAGTTCGTTTAAACTATAGCAATGCTTGCATGCAATAGATGACGAGGGGTGACGCCTGATAGCTGGACTGGGGCGCTGGCTGCGGACAATGAGTCGATAGGCATAGATAATATGGAGGTTAAAACCTTAAAACCAGTGAGACCGTGATACACTGAGACGGACAATCTGAAAACCGGAGCGCTGGCGGTGACCATTCAAAATGCGGTGACATAGTGGGGAAAAGGGCGCAGGAGGTGACCAGCGAGAACGTGGTCCCGAAGCGGAGGCTGCAGGGACTAAAAGCCTGGACGGAAGACTGTCAATAAGTTTATGAAGCATCACACTGAGCTCATGAACATGTACTATCAGTTTAAAGGACGAAGACACGGCTGACCGGAAACGTGCGCAGTTAAAGTGTGTCGCGATGCCAGAGGATTTACACATTAGTCAGGTACGTGACTACGCATATCGCTGGCGAGACGCTCACCAAGATTCCGCAAAGTACGCAGGTTTCCATGTAGTGCCTTCTCAAGGTCGCCATGATGATGCTTGGCCATACTAAAGTTTCAGTAGTGAATTAGGATATGTTTAGCGTAAATAACGGTACGAATGATTAGTACCGTAAAATTCTTGAGGGACCACTACGTAAGTACGCACGTTCCTCAAGTCCATATGGAGATCAAGTTTTGGGATCCGTTCACGCAGAGGGTTTACTCTGTATACTCTACGCCATATATTACAATCCCGGCTGACCATTCCGATGACTTTGGGCCAAATCTCTTGAACACAACAACTGCGCTTACCGCTCTCGTCCCGTCCCTAGTAGACTCCCCAGTGGGGATGCTCTTTTCTCCGTGATCCACAAATTCTCTATAGATCTCCCCGGCAAATCAAGAATAGCGATGTCGAATGTACCTCGCAGAGCTAGCTAGTACAGCCATGCAGTTAAGATTTGCGCTTTGTGGATAATATGTGCTGAGGCTAGTTAAAAGTGGAGGGAGCATGGGAAGCAACACGCACCTGCAAGTTGATAGTTAGCAGGAGTAAAATGAAAGGCTCAAAATGAACTTTAGATAAGTTATTGCTGCAGCAAGATGCGGTCATGACGGCATGCGGCAGGGGCGTCAGTGCCTTGCCCTGGACGATGGGGCAGCAGTCTACGCGACGCGATGCTCCGCGAACAAGACAAATCATTCACTACATGTACAAGTACAAACACAAGAATATCGGCGATATTATATCACCGACCCCCTTCAAATTGAAGTTTAATGGTACCTTCGACCGCGCTCTGCTTGAAAACCGAGCCGACGGTACAAGACGAGGCGCTACTTTTCCATTAATTGAGTAATTCAGTACATTGGCACTTCTGTCAAGCCCTTTGCAAGTTTCGCAACCTCGCAGTTTCTATTGGTCCGACTTTTCTTGATTTGCCGGGGCAGACTGTAGTTCTTCTGTGGTGCTGTAGAGGCAGAACAGACGCAACCCGTACGACTCGTCGACCTCACTTTGCTTGTCTTCACCCGCGTGCGACTGGAGTTGAGAAAGAGTAACGCCGGGCAACTGATTTCATGCGGCTCCACCACGTTGTGCTTATCGCGGTTGCTGCCCTCATTAACAGTGCCGGGGCTCTCTCGTCAGCTACCGACTCCGACTTGGCACTTCCACTCGCTGGGGCGCAAGACGTTGCTGCCAACAGGCTCCTGAGGGCGGATGGGGACGACGAAGAGAGGGCGTTCAACATCAAGACCATCCCCGGCCTCGACAAGATCAAGTCCATCCCTGGCGTCGAGAAGTTCGCGGGTCTGTTCAAGACCAAGATCACCCCCGGAACGCTGCTGAAGTGGGCCAAGAAGGGGAAATCCCCAGACAAGGTCTTCACCACGTACAATCTGGACAAGACCGGCACCAAGCTCTTCGAGAGCCCGGACTTCAAGATCTGGTACACGTACACGGCCCTGGTCACGAAGACGGACCCGGAGAAGGCGATCCTCACGTCACTCATTGGCCGCTACGGCGAGGTCACTCTGTCGTCGATGCTGGAAGGAGCTCTGAGACTGCCAGGCATGAAGGATGTCGCGACTACGCTGCAGAAGAAGCTAATGCAGACGTGGAAGGATGTGGGGATGAATGCCGACGACGCGTTCAAGTACCTCAAGTTGCACATGAATGTCGATGACGTTCTGACCAACCCGAACTTGAACGCCTGGACTAGATACGTGGACGACTTCACGGTGAAGAGGAAAACGGACACCCCCTTGATTGATGTGTTGAGAGCTAATTATGACGACGCTGCGCTGCTCAAGATGTTCAATGCGGCGAAGGGCAACCCGCAGTCCAAGAGGATGGCTACCAACCTGGAGGCCGCTCTGGTTAGCAAGCTGAGACTCCAAAGGATGAGGGCTGAAATGCTGAGGCACGCGGCAGGAAACTAGACTTAGGAATGCTTGACGCGGTTTGTTGAATCGAAACGGACCATAGTAGAGCAGAAATATATTTGCTACTGTGGGCAGGAGAGAATCTAAGCGTCACTGCTATGCATTCGTTTGACGTAATGTTCTTGTCTGCTATAGATAACTGTTTGTATTGTACTATGAATATTTAGTTCATCTCAGCTCGCTGGGAGATACGTACCTGACAGGTAGGTCATACTCCACATTCAACTGACTTAGTTACTCAATGTGAATTCTCGAGCTGACGAACGCCGAATTCGGATTTGAGAGCAATCGGGCAGCATTTGGAGACTACACTGTACATGGTTTGGACGCAAACAATCAAACTCGTTGGCAGGCAGCATTTACAAACAATTGTTTGCTTCGAGGGTGGCTATAGACTCTATAGTATAGAGTTCAGCGTAAAAGAAATCGGGGTGTCACTTTAGGCGATGCTGAGAAACCAAATAAGCAAACCAATTTTGAGAACCACTGAAGGGTTAAACGACATGTATGAACAAACTCGATCTTAGCGTCTCAAAGCTGTATCGGTGTGCTGATGCAAGTGCATGTAGCCACCACCAACCACTGACGTTTGTTACTCTGTCACCTACTTCGATTAAACAATAGGCACTGCTATATATTAATTTAAACGTGTTATGGTGTTGCTTACACTGAAACCAACAACTTGATCGTTTACATTTTTCGAGTGGAAAGCTGTGCACGGGACGGAGTCTGTAATACAGGTCCAGCAGTAGCAGGGAGGCACAGGTTGCTTGTCATCGTCAGCTGCTTGTTGTGGGTTGAGGGAGTCAAGTGACAGACGCATTTTAAACCAATCAGAGTGGGTAAATAGGTGTAACGGTATTCGTGTTCAAATCTCTTGACGGAGGCTACAGCCATTGCTGGCTGGAAATTGGAGAGATCAAAATTTGTTGATTGAAAACGTAAGATGTCCAGGTTACGGGGGCTTTAATTTGTCTATACTGGCGATACTATAATTGGAGATTGAGCTTTTTGTGTGTTTCACAATGCACATCAATTTTTTACCCACTTTTTGTAGCCAAACATGACTGTCAGTAAAGAACGGAGGATGCCGGTAACCGTTGTCCCATCGACTGCATGAAAATGCAAACTGTTCGCACGTACCGTGCATGGTATCTCTTTGGGATGTGTCTGGTAGTCTGACCGACTGGTGCTTTACGTATCGTATCTGTAAGTCCCGTGTTACCGCAAGCCGAATAAATAAAGTACCAAGGAATAAAGAGTGATCCAAGTTCACCAAGACCATTATGTCAATCATATAGCTAAGTGTTAGTCATGTAGAGCAAAGAAGGCAGGTCGAGGCTCGAGTCGGTAACGCAAATCGTAGCATCATGAAACGCTTTCCTGCAGAAAACGTGTTCTTCTGGCCCCGCCCTAATACATGTACTGTACATCAGGTTGTGCGTCCTTTTCCATTCACTTTTCAATTCGCTCTGAAGGCTTCATCGACTGCTTGTATGGTACCATGCGTCTTTACTGCGCGGCTCTGATTACTGCCACCGTCTTGGCGACTGCCAACGCCTCGGTGACAGATAACTCAATCGTCAACGCCGCTGAGTACCCGACCGTTGTCCAGAACGACGCCCCTTTCCAGAGGTTCCTGAGGGCCGCGACCGACGAGGACGAAGAGCGGGCCATCAGCTTCAACTCGATCCCGGGTGTCGGCAAGGTCAAAAACATCGTGGACAAGCAGAAGGCGGCGCAATGGCTCAAGAAAGGGAAAGAGGCGGACGACGTCTTCACCAAGATGAAGCTCAACAAGGTGCAGGGAGAGAAGCTCTTCGAGAACAAGAAGTTCCTCGCCTGGGTCAAGTACGTGGACGACTTCAACGCCAAGAACCCGGACAAGGCGACGTCCATGATCCCGACGCTGACCAAGAACTTCGGCGACGACGTCGTGGCGAGGATGATCGAGGCCGCCACCAAGGTCGAGGGCACCAAGAGACTCGCGACCAGCTTGCAGACGCAGCAGATCAAGTACTGGCAGAGTCTCGACATGTCGGTGGACGACGTCGTGAGAGCGCTGAAGCTGAACAACAAGGTGGACGACGTTCTCACGGACCCCAACTTCCTGGTACTGAACAAGTACCTGGTGGACTTCAACACGTGGAACCCGAGCAAGTCCACGACCATGACCGAGACGCTCGCGAGGACCTACGGCGACCTGCCTGTGGCCAAGATGCTGGCGACCGCGTCGAAGGTCGAGAGTACCAAGGACGTGGCCAAGAGACTGCAGGTGCAGCAGTTTGACAACTGGAAGCAGATGGGACTGGACAGCGACGACATCTTTAAGATGATGCACCTGGACGAGGGCGTGGCCAACATGTTCTCCAACCCGGCGTTTAGCGCCTGGGCCAAGTACTTGGACGACTTTAACGCTAACAACCCGGCAAAGAAGACGACGGTGTTCAAGGAACTGCGGCGTCACTTCTCGGACAACACGCTCTCCCAGCTCATTATCGCGGCTCAGAAGGTCCCGAGTACAGAGAGGTTTGCTACTAAGCTGCAGAACCAGCACATCAGGGTCTGGCTGGACCGGAAGGAGCTCCCAGACAGCGTGTTTAAGTTGCTTCAGCTCGACAAGGGCTTGGACGGTCTGCTTACGAACCCGCAACTGAGCGTCTGGGTCAAGTACGCGTCGCAGTACAAGATGGAGAACCCATTCACGACGCAGGCGACTCTGATCGGCACGTTCTCGGCTCACTACAGCGACCAAGCGCTTACGAAAATGCTCCAAGCGGCGAAGAAGGTCCCGGAAACGAAGAAAATGGCCACGGACTTGGAGAAGGCGCTGCTCAACAAGTTGAGGCTCATGCGCACGAACAGGGCGACCTAATACTAACCATTTTTGGTACTGCACAACGCTAATGCTGTACTTATCCCGGCGGACTCGATGTTCGAAACAAGGCGGACTAGTCTACACTCCACGACAAAAAGATATGGACACCACCAAAAGTGGCTGTAACTTCGTCATTTTTTATCGTTTTAAGGTGCGGTTTGGACTAGAGTTGCAGAACACGCTGATAACGATCTGCACGCTGCTAACACGCGCGCTTTTGCGCTTCTTCAGGTAGCTCACATACAAATCACTGGTTCTGCCCAGGTGACAAAACTTATGGACAGCAAATCCCCATACAAAATCCTATATTAACCAAAACCCCTTACAAATGATACGACTTGGACTTTGTATGGGGCGACAAAGGAACCAGCCTCACGGCGATACTCGCGACGTTAGACAAAGATCTGATGGCATTATCGTGTACTAGAAGGGGTGTTTAGTAACCTGTAATAAATGCATCGACCATCGCACAAAACTGAGCAAGTAGTAAGCGACTGAAATTTCGAGTGGTGGCTACCATGTATCATCTGATGATTTGCGAGGCACGTTCAGTTGCATCCTAGTTAGTGCCAATTTGTAGCTCTGTATGCTGCTATCTGTTGGATATACGATTGTCTTCTTCATTCTAAACTGTTGGTCGATGATATATGGCTCAGTACTAAGGTAGAGTTGAAAAATCATGGGTTCCTTTATCGCCTATACAAAGTCCAAGTCGTATCATTTGTAAGGGTTTTTGGTTAATATAGGATTTTGTATGGGGATTTGCTGTCCATAAGTTTTGTCACCTGGGCAGAACCAGTGATTTGTATGTGAGCTACCTGAAGAAGCGCAAACGCGCGCGTGTTAGCAGCGTGCAGATCTTTATCAGCGTGTTCTGCAACTCTAGTCCAAACCGCACCTTAAAACGATAAAAAATGACGAAGTTACAGCCACTTTTGGTGGTGTCCATATCTTTTTGTCGTGGAGTGTTGCATATGGATTGCACATAGGTTAAATCTACTACAGTATTTACCGCACTTCATCAGTAGAATTCAGTGCAAGTCGACAAATTCCTTCGTGGCCAACTGCTGAGCTTCAACGGTACCGAACCACGCCGCCTGCTGAGAACGCTACAGTATGTACACGTACCTACAGTAGTAGTTGGAGGGGGGGTCCGCTAAGGAGGGCCCTCATCGGGAGGGCCCTCGTAATAGAGTCGACATTTGGGAAACAGCCGGTTGTGACAAACGCACAATTGGGGTATTCGTAATAGGTGCATGTACCGAAATCGTCGGCAACGCACTGTGGAAATGATACCGTTGCCGACGATCATAGCTCTACTATAAATAAGCATCCGAGGCGAAGTTTACTTTAGACTACCAGCAAATAATAAGAGGGATTGAGTGCTTGCCATTTTTTCAGATCTCGTTGTGCTGATGGTGCGCCCTGCTTTCCCAGCGTCCGTCTACCTGCAAGTTTCCCAAGCGACTATTGATGAGCTCTACCTAGAAGCAGAGTCTCGGACCTACAGACCTGTGTTTCGAGAAGTAGGCGGAGCCGAAGATGACATGTTCAGAAGTCAATCGCGAGTTCAGCGCATGACACCTCCCCTTCGACGTGTTTCCGCTGCAATCCTTGAGGATGCAGCTACCCGCGACTCCAACTACAGACCCTGTGTGTTTTCGTACATGCACTCGCGACCTGGGGGTCTATACCAGGAACAACATCAAGACTATGCAGACGAAGTGCGAGCTGCTGTGCATACCCGCTATCCGGGCACAATAGTTGCAGGGATACTCACCGCGGCGATTTTGCTGCTCCCGCCGAGCGATACGATGCGCGAGTCCATCCGGGTTCTGCAGGCAGAAATACCGGTGCTGCCGAATTCGGGCCGAAACTCGTTCGGTGCGACCGCAGTATTGGCATACTAATAGCGAATTAGACACCACGTCTGGTCTCCAACCAAGGTCTCGAAAAAACAAGTAGCAATGAAGCCTATAGTTGGAAGTAGTATACCCCACATCACTATGAAATAAATCGCCACGAAACACAACTGCATATCCAGTAGGGATCTCCAATTCAATCTCTATTTCAGGGCGGGCAAAGTCAAAGCAGCGGGGAAACAACCGCAGTCTTGTCCCGGGTTGGATGACAATAATAACACTAGCCGGAATGCTGCAGCCAAGTTTGTGAGGTGCAAAGCACGCTTCGTTCTCATATTTTGGCTCAACACGGTTCGACCTCTAGCCAGAATGTTTAAGCTCAAATACATGTTCACTTAGGTAAATTTACTTTGTTTTTGGCATGCGAGTGCGAATGCTTTTTGCTTACAAAAAATACTACGGCTTAGCAGAATATTTTATAAGACAAAGCGTACTATCTTGGTTACGATATGTACTTTAATTAATTTGAAACCTAGAATTGTTTTAAAACACGCAGAGACTACTGCCACGTTCTGATGTATACCTCTATCACTTGTGCTGGAACCACTGCTAGATTCTTCGCCTCGGTCGTTTTTACGAGGTAATTACCTGGCCGTTACATGCTATAAACATAGTTGTACCCGATAAGACACTAGAGCTGGCAGGGCTTCTTCGTCTTAGCACCCCCAGCATCCTTTCACCCGCGTTGTCGGCAGGCACTACTCTAAGAACACCAACATCTACTCCGAAACGTGCATTACTACCACATCCAGCATCCGACGTGGTGTCGGCAGACCAACACACTACGAACAACAACACCTATCCAGACGCGAGTATCGATGCCTTACCGCCACTCTGATGCTCACTACGAGGCAGCTTTTGTCGGCTGCGCAGCAAGTGAGTTCTCAGCTAGTGTCTCGGCTGGAGTTTCGGCCGGTGTCTCGGTTGATGTCAGTGACCTGGGTTTTAGCGTTCTGGGTAAATTCGACGTTGATAGCGATGGAGTAGCCGCTAGCGTGAACGCTGAGTCGTACCATGGGAATTCTGACGACGACGGAGATTGGGAAAGTGATGGCGAAGACGAAGACTCTGTCATGGACTTGATACGAGAAGACTTCAACATCTCCAGCGACGTCCACGAATTCGACTTTCCTGACTTCAATTTGGACGATGATCTACCTGTCGGTGATGAAATAGATTCGGAGTTGGACTGGGTTGACGACAAATTGCTAGCTTTGGTTTGTACTCATCAGCTTAATGAGGAGAAAAAGCGTCTCGACAACTCAGCGGTGGTCGATGCAGACGACGTAGCGCAAACGGAGTCCGGTGAGATCGGAATGAGTGGGACCGACCTCCGTATGGTGGACGAAATCTACATTCTTCCGCCACCACCTCAGCTTACGTACGAATCGCACGATGCAGCTGAGGCAGCGATACATCAGTGGACATTGGAGCACCATTACAACGTCTCTCGACGACGGGTTCGGTATTTACCTGGTACCAAAATTGTGTGGGCGCGCAACTATGAGTGCGATCGAGCAGGGTGGCCAAAGTGCACGCAGCATTTGGTGGATAGCGAGCGCCAGCGGTCCATGCGTGGCTCGAAGCGTTGTGGATGCCCCATGCGGTTAAAAAGGTGCGCGGGCTCTAAGTCTGACATCGAGGGACCTTGGAAAATTGTACACACTCGTGATAACAGTGAGGTACACAATCACCCTGCGGTAGACGATGTTCGTGTCCACGCCGCACACCGGCAGCGTGCTGCAGCAGGTCTATCGCTTACTCAACAGAGCATGGAGGAAACTATTGTTGGTCAGACAGCTGCCGGTGTTCCAGTGGCCAAGATTCGAGCGGCCATCCTCCACAGCACCCCCGGTTCTCTTGTGCTCCCGGAAGATATTGGAAACCTCAAAATGAGGGCGAGGAAGCAGGCCATGGCGACGCAGACCCCGCTTGAAGCTCTTTTTACTCTGTTGAACAATCACAATTTTTTCTTCAGATATGAGATCAACCCAGCCACAAACAAGCTTCTGTATTTGCTGTGGGCGCATCCTGCTACACTTCGCCTGTACAAGTTTCACTGTGATGTTCTGATAATGGATGGTACGTTCAAGACAAACAAGTACGACCTGCCACTAGTGAACGTCATCGCAATGACTGGAATGAATACTGTTCTGCCCGTGGCGCAGTGTTTCTTACCTGGACAAAAAGACAATGACTACACTTGGTTTTTGATGCGATTTCGCGAATTGATTGACGAGCATGTTATCCAACTTCCATCGGTCAATCTAACCGATCGTGAATTGGCCGTGATGAATGCTCTTGACTCTGTGTTTCCTGAGGTTCCGTCACTAGTCTGCAGATGGCATCTGAACCAGAACGTATTGGCAAAGGTTCGCAGCGTTCTCGGCCAGGTTCAAGTGGAGAACCCCCTTCCTGGCCAAGATAAGTGGGAAAATACTTGGCAGACCGAGGTCTTCATGTCATTCGTCTATAGGGCAGTGGAAGCAAGCACTGAAAGTGACTTTGAATTGCAATGTGTGATTTTGAAAGACTTGTCTCCGGTTCTGGCGGCCTACTTGGAGGCTCATTGGCGGAAGTACAAGACTAAAATCGTCCGGTGTTGGACGAACAAGTACAAGCACTTTGAGTATCGTGATACCTCAGCCGTGGAGGGTTCCCATGCCCAATGCAAGCGTTGGCTACAGGACAGCAATGGTGACCACCGTATTTACTCGGTTACTACCATGGTGGCTCTCTTCAGCAAGTGCTGTAAGCATTCGTGCTGCTCGTGATGCTACGATTCTACCGTACCTCTTTCAGAACGACAGATACACTCAAGTAGGCCGGATTATCACGGTGTGGGCTCTGCGAGCAACTGACGAACTCTGGAAGGAGGCTATTCAAATGCTGACTGGAGCTAAACCGTGCCGTGGATGCACTGGTGTATTTCGGATCGTGAATGGGAGGCCCTGTGCGCATGAATTGATTTCGATCATTCAGTCAAACGGTCGGATGAAACTACTTCCTACGATGTGTGATCCACACTGGTGGATCTACCGCAACCGGATGGAGGCTTGGCGTCCACGCATCCTCGAACCCGCAAGTCTTCGCACTAAACGCAGGAAAGCCCAATCGCATCGTGCCAACCATAGGGCAAGTGGTATAGCACGAGATCCCACGCTTGCAGAAAGAGTTGACCAAAACAATCCAGCACCAGCACCAAGTTTTCTGCGAGGGATGACGAGCCATCTCATTACCAGTTCAAGCCAACCAAGCCTTCATCTCCACGCAATCACGAATGGCGGGATATTCCCAAGTAATGGGCTTGTTCATGTCACCACTGCCTACCAACAGGACGGCTTCAGAGTCGACACAAGCCTGGCCGGGCCCTACCAAACGTCTCACACACATCCACACACTTGGGGATACGCTAACAGACACCCGTTTTAACTTTAACACGTATTCTATAAAGTCTACCTAACGTGTACAAGCACACCCACAACGTTTAGGGCAGTACGTACTACAATCGAAGTTGTACCACTGTACCATACAGAAGTTTCACAGATATGCAATTTGCAGATTTGCACCATACCTTGTACTTTAAACTTTTATAAGGGTTCTAGTGCGCAAGCATGTAAGCGCCAACGCATAAGTATCTTTCTCGTATGTTTCACTTTTAAACATGCAGGTAGATGTCGTTTATATTTTAGATGCAGAAGTGTTACACTTGCGCGTGTTGCAAAAGTGTAACAGAAATGCACCTTGCAGAAGTGTAACACTTCTGCAATGTACAAATATGTACCACTTCGGTATGATGCACTTATGCTACACTTCTGCAATTTATGCCTTTGTAACACTGCTGATGCATTACTTATTAGTAAAATTAATAAATAAGCCTATAAAACATCAGAAGTGTAGCATGGTTTCCGTGTTAACCTTCTCACTACAGGTTACGTGTAAGTTAACCTAGCTGACGGACTTCATCCGAAGTAATAGTGTGCGGATGACATTTTGCGTACACAAGCCCTCGGCTTTTTCTTGACTGAAGCCACGATATTTCCTTCGACCCGAAGGATACCGGTCGCATGAGCAGTAGAGGCCACGTAGTCACAGGTTCGCTTTTTTGAGCTTGGGCCGCTGCGAGGACGAGGCGATGAGTTCACATGCGCCGAAGATGGCGTAGTATTAGCGGTCTTGTCGCTCATGACGGCCATCGAGAGGGCGGGATCAGCTATCGCTCCGTCAAAATTAGGGACCGGGACCGGCAGGTCTGGTTCAGATGCAGAATGCAGCGAGGAGGCAGCTTCTTCATCCAGCTCAGGCTCTGCTCCCAAATTACGAGTACAGGAAGAATCCGATCCATTTACCGGCACAGCGTTGCCACCCGAGTCAAGCTGGCTCTGCCAAGCGAGAGATCCCAAATACCTAGCATATCGGGGATTGAACGGTACTTGGTTGTCCACAGCCTCCTTAAATCTTGGGTTGACGCCGCTGTTGTCGGTTGTAAAGTCGCGCAACGTTGCCACGGCCTCTCGAGCCGAGTCTCGCGTCATTTCATGAGCTTCCATCGCTTCAGAGTCACTATGCAACAAATTATACGATCTCGTGGCAGATACATGAGCCGCCGTATCCCGCATCAACACGAGTAATTTGTCTCGTGCTCCTGCCGAGAAGCTGCCAGCCACTTGCGCACCCAAGCACTCAATAACCGCGGCAGCAGACTCAGCAACACCATCGGCATCACGCTTCCGAACAGCCATCGCCATAGCAGCCAGCTGTGCCGACATCGCGGCTCGCGCCACAGAGCCACAGAGCTGGTTGCGCTGTCGTAGAAGCTTGGCCAGAGCCTGGTCGGCCGCCGACTCGGGCGCTTGAACTGGGGCGTCGCAGGTTCTACCAACGCGCGAGTCAGTCGAAGTGATAGCAGCGCGGGCTCGATGTGGGTAACGAGCGCCATCTTGGCGCTCGTCTAGCACCCCGTTGGGCGCTTCTTCCAGAGTGAACGTGTCGTCAGCAGTGCTCTGCAAGAAGCTCTCTCTCTCTTCTGGCGTTAGCGCTTTCCACTTCGCGCGCAGGCCCTTGCCGGCGCGATTGCTGAGCCATGCCTTGGTGACTGCAGCCTCATGCGCGCCGTCGAGCTCTTCTTGAGCGAAAACCTTCGCCTGGGCAGACACTCCCTGCCCTTGCTGTAGCTGGGGTGCCCAGGCGAAGAAGGCGCGGTGGACACGCATGAGAGGTGGGAGAGTGCTTTATGAACCGAGCTCTCGTTTTGGTACATGTACCTATTACGAATGACCCAAATGTGCGTTTGTCACAATCGGCTGTTTCCCAAATGTCGACTCTATTACGAGGGCCCTCCCGATGAGGGCCCTCCTTAGCGGATCCCGTTCGAGGGGCCTACTCACAACTTGGCAACAGGGGGGTGTGATCCCATCCAATGATTCATCACGTGTCAGTTATCACTTGAATCATACAAACTGGACCCTCGTTCGAACCCGTGATTCGGAGTCCGTATTCTGCATCACTCAGCTCTAAGACGACGCAATTCGCACTACGTCCTGCTACTGGAAATCGCCGTCATTGCTTGTGTCGATGCTAACCAAGCAACGAACGAGCTCAAGCCAACGACGGATCGCTCTCTCGCTACCGAGCATAACATCTACGAGTTCCCAAGGGAATATAGTGCCGACGAAGGTGAAGACGACGTAGAAAGGGGGTTCGATGCCTACGCCATCGAGAAAACCAAGAGTGTCTTCACCTCCTCGAACGTTTTCAAGGAAAAATTCAAGCAGTGGCCTAACAACAGGAAGACCCTCAATAACGTGCTCGTGTGTTTACAGCTTCAAAAGACCGGAGAAAAGTTGTTTGCCAACCCGACAATCTCCAAGGACTCTTGACTTATTAGGATCCATCGATGAATGCCAGCACGTCTTCTCCTTCCCGCTCAGCGACTGCAATCGCCTGCTTTTCGGCACAAAGATGAATTTCATGGGCATTTCCGTTGGCATGTTGGAGACAAGACGCTTCGTCTTCGGATCCAACAGCGCGTTATCTGCCTTATTCACCCAGCCGTTCTCGATCCAATTCGTTTGAAAACTGTAGAAAAAAATAAGTCGTGCATCTTTCCATCCGAATAACGACTCAATTATGCTTCCTGGGATGCAGTTTTCTCAAGGAATACTGCATCTACACTAAGTGAGAACACCTTGCTAAAGCGAGTCCTTGATGGTATTAATCATTTCGCTTTTTGAAAGTCGCAGTGTAACTTTTCAAAAAGTCGCTGTCGGTTGCTTGCAGATTCAGAAGCTTCGAGACACTCTTGGGGCTCCAATCTTCTTCCAGCAGCATCTTGCCCAACGATTTCTCCAAGTACGAGGCGAGATTCTTCGTGCTCGAGACTTCTTTCGCATCTTGAATCATTCTCCACACTGCCTCATTACGAAAGTGGGGCGTTAAGATTTCGATCACCGTCGTTCGCTCTGCAGGCTTCATGAGGTTGTAGTACTGCATGTACGCGTGCCACGAGTTGAACAGTGGTTCTCCAATAGATTCTTCAAGCTGCGAATTTCGAGCACCAGGTGAAAGACCTCAGCTGGAGATTTCCCGCTTTTGAACCACGTTTCAAACTGCTGCTTCTGCAACTTGTAAGCAATATTTTCCGTGGTCGGGACCTTCGCCGCGTCTTCAATAAGCTTGGCCAGTGCTTTATCGCTGTAGTATTTCTTGAGTAGTGGAACCGTCAACTTCTTCTGATGATAGCGCTTGTCCAGATCATCCACATAGTTGACCCAAGTACCCAAGTACGGACTCGCGAAAAGTCTGGACTTTGCCTTACTAAGTTGGAGTATTTGAAAGGCGTCTTCAGCTGATACACGGGTGTCCAGCCAAGTCTGGTATTCAGTTTTGCCGCGATCTCCTTGGTCTTGGGGGAAATTTTGGCAGCTTCGATCATATCGAACAGAGTAAGCTTGCTGTATCGTGCCTCCAACACCGAGTAAGTCGTCATCTTCTTGTCAGGGTAAATTTGTTGAAATCATCCACATACGTGACCCAAGGGACCCAGTTGGCGTTGTCAAAAAGATCGTCGTGCATCTTTGTCTTGAGTAGAATATCGAAAATGTCATCGGGTGAGCGTCCTTTTTCGCAGCCAAACTCGGAGCTGCTCAGCTTGCAATCGCTTGCCGATCGCCTGTGTGCTTGGAGCCAGCTTCGCCTGCTCAATCAGCTTGACCAGAGCTGCGTTGTCGTAGTGTTTTACCAAAGTTGAGTAGAAGGAGAGTTGCTTGCTGGGGTTCTTCTTGTTGAAATCGTCCACGTATTGGATCCACTTGGAGAACTGCGAGCTGGTGACCACACGAATAACGTTATCCACCGATGTATCAATCTTCAGAGCCTTGAACGCTTCGTCCGCAGGATTTCCCTTCCCCACCAGCTTCTTGACTGTTTGAGGCAATCCATTCACGAAACTCTCGAGGCCCGAGGTAGTGTATCCTCCTCTTCACCGGTGAAAGAATCGGCTTCAGCTAGTGTGTGACTCCTTCTTAAATTGCGACACCAGCCAGCGATGAGACGGGATACTTGGATGCGTTAACCACTGCAGGCAACAGCACAACGCTTAGCAGCATCATGCGATGGTCCATTGCTTCAGTCGGTCATGGAGCAGCTTGGATCTGACCACTCCGAAGCAAATTGCAAACTTTCCTCACCAAGCCTCCGCTCAGCACAGCACGAAGGGGACGGGGAAAGCGTTGCTGATGTGCTAGAGGATCTGTCGCGTCCGTCAACGCATTGGGATGTAGTGCAGGTAGCCCCTTCCGGAGCAAAGTTGTTGTGGCGAGTCGTCGCACCAGTGGGAAGCTCACCACGGCAACGCCGATGAAGTATGAAATACACTGTGGTATTGAAGATTTTTGCAGTTACCTTTTGCTTTTGTATCGTTGAGATGTTCCCTTCAAGCAGGCGCCATTCATGATACGGTAGCTGTATCTCAATGTCATCTTAGAATGCGAAACTATCGCTCTTATAGATTTGCTGACGTCGTAGACTACGACTGGTAGCCATTTTCGACCGAGCAACCCACAAGTCCGGACGTGCGGGTTCGCTTCTTTCCAAAGCGATACCGAAGCGGTGAACGTTTACAAAATAAAATGCACAAGTGTCTCTGACTGCGCCATGATCATGTAGTCTGAAAAAGAGTAATCTCTGAAAAGTCGAACGACACAACTGAAGGGTTGCTCGACTCGCTTTGCTTCGCTGCAAAATACGAGATTTTGCCGTTTAATTCAGACGCTGCTACTTTCATTTCTCCCGTTGTGGATTCCGATAGATATGTGTATCAATATCTTTTCTCCCATCAGCAGTTTGAACCATCTAGCGACGTGGAGGGATTATCATGGGCTTGCCTCCGTTCGCATTAGCCCCAGCGAGTCCCATATCTTCCAGAAACTTATCCATGCGCGCGGACTCCTTGGCCTAACAACCGTAATTAAAAGCATACGTTAGCACACACACACACACACTATAGCACCCGAGTCCAAGTATCCCCTGTACCTTCAGCTCCGCGAGCTTTTCCTGCTGCTCGTCCTGCTTGCGACGCCGCGCCGAATCGCGTTGAGCCATCCGACGCTTCAAGTCATCATCACCCGCTCCACGGCCTCCACCCATGAGAAAATCTTCACTGAGGTCCAGTCCGTCACGTGCATCCTCTCGGTCTCGCGCGGCACCGTGCAGCTTCTGCCCCAACTGGCGCCTCTTCTCAATCTGCGCCTCTCTTCCTGTGGCCTTCGGCGCCAGCTCCTCCATGACCGTGTCACGGTACTCGCGTTCTCTTCTCCGCTCGAGTTTCCGCCGCTTCCTGTCTCCCTCCCTCTCATCCTCTCTATCTTCGTCCTTCTCCCTGCGTTTATCACGCTTGCTCCTGCCCTCCTCGTAGCTCGACGGCCCCTTACTCTCCCTCGTTTTGCCAGAGCTCAGTAAATTCTCCTTTCTCGTCGCCACGCCGACCGAGTCCTTGGCCGTAGCGAGCTCAAACTTCTCCTTCTCCCCCAGCTTAGCCACGAATCCCCAGCGGTGACGAGTCCGCTTGGTCTGCTCCACAACAGACTCGGGCAGCCCCTCGTAGAACATTTTGGCCAGCTTGCCGCGGTTCCACTTCTTGGCGAACTCGTCGGTGAACAGCTCCATCGCTTCGTCGGTGGACAGATCGTCCACATATTTGCCCCTGCAGACGATAATAATGACGAAAAAGAACGAGAACAATTAGAAGGAATATTCTTCTCGTCGTATACAACTAAGTCCATAGTGTACGCACTTTGATTGGGCCAGCCAAACGCGAAATTCCGTCTGACGCACAAAATAGTCCTCATCGGTGACCTTTTTTGCGCCTTTCGGCAATTTTGTGTGCTCTTTCCCGTGGTGGCTGCTTTTGTGACTTTTGTGGCGGGACGAGCGGTCGTCCTCCTCCTTGCGGCTACTGGACCGGCGGCTCGAGGACTTCCTCGAGTGCTTGCGCTCCTTGTCGCCTGTAAGGGGGGTAAATAGTCAAAGAGGACAGAGGAGGGGTGAGAAGGAGAAGAAGGAGAACGTGCAAAGAGAGGAGGGGGCAGACAAGGAACGAGACGCACGGTGCTCTCGGCTCATGATTGCGCTCTTCGCAAATGAAAATGTTGCAATGGTAACACAAATTTCCTAATTGAAATTTGCTAGACCAGCTGACATTCCGGTTTGATCTGTTTGTTACCAGGAGACATTATTAACAGTATAATAATAATAGTACATGTATCAATACCACGATTACTACAGTCGAGCAGCCAGATTGGAAAATAATCTTCAGGTTGCCGCATGTACAGTGCCGGCAACTTTTTGAGACCGATTGGGGAGTTCTCATCTCTCACTTCGCCATCGACCTCGTAGCACCAGCACCAAGCTCCCGTCACATCGAAGATGCGTGTCCAGTACCTCGTAATTGCTCTTCAATTTTCTTTGCAAGCTCTGACGCCGCCTCGACCTCGTCGGGGCTTAAGTTGAGAACCCCCAAATTTCGAGGTGTCGTCCGTCGTAACAGCGTCTCCACTGCAAGAGTCCTAAGGACTCCTGCCGTTGCTGAAGTGGGGGAAGAGAATGTTCGGTGTCAACATGGGCTTCATTGATGATGCCGTCAACAACGTGTTGGAAACCGTGGACGACATCTCCGACAGCATTCACGTGAAGGCACTACAGGACGGCTTACAGAAGGAGAAGACACGTCCAGATCAGACGTTCAAGGCGCTACCTGACGGCTTACAACGAGAAGAATCCCAGGAAGGCGGTGTCTGCCCCGGAAGTCTTCATAGAGAAATACACCGAGCAAGGTCTCATCAAGCTCCTGGCTTCGTTGGACGATGGCCCGGGGGCCACAAAGTTCAAGGAAGAAGTGGTGACGAGCTGGCTGTCCAATCCGGATCACCCGATAAACATGCTCAAGCGTCTGAAACTTGACGATGCTGGAGACGACCTCCTCGCCAGTCCGCTGTTGGATGTTTGGACCCGGCACTTGAAGGCCTTCAACAAGGAGTACCCGTTCGCAGAGACGACGATGATCCAGACGCTCACCAAGAGCTACGGTGATGAAAAGCTGGCGGCGATTATTCAAGCGGGCACGAAGGTCCCGAAGACAGAACAGTTGGCCAAGAACTTGCAGGTCGCTCAGTTCAAGCGTTGGATGGGTAAAGGAACGACCCCGGACGATGTCTATACGACCTTTGTGAAGGTGGATTTCCGAACGCCGACATCTGGCGCGCGTATTGTAAAGCTTATGGCAAGGAGTTTCCAGGGAAACTCTTCTCGTTCCGCCCTGATAGAAAATAGACGCATCTCGCTTAGGCTGCTCGCAGCTTTGCACGAGTTAGAACGATTTGATGTCCTTGCGCAATACAACCTTCAGAATTTCGTCGATGAAAGGATTACCGTAGATGACAAAACAACACCCGCCAAAGAGGTTGGGTCGATTGAAGAGCTTGAGACAAAGTTTGAGAGTCTCGAGGTGGTGAAGATGCACGATACAGTCGAATACATTTTCATTGGTTCATCATCTAAAACGAAAAAAGTAATGGATTGTGATGACAAAAGTAGGTCTTGACAATAATGTCACTCATTGTAGGACAACAGCAGCATGTGGATATCTACTAAAATTATCACGTTTCTATTTAATTTAAACTTTTAAAAAACTAACTGATGATATTCATTAAGCAAACGGAGTGTTTTTTTTTCATCCGGCAATTGCGGCATGCAGTACAGTCAGACAATGAAAGTAAGAAAAAAACGTGAGTACAGACTAGAGCGTGAGAACGAGACGTCTGATATCTTCGGATTTACAAGGGAATCATATGTGGCAGATATCACTTTATGTGTTTTACATTGACTAATAATTGATCGTAATGGAATAGGCGGGTATTAGGTATTACCCGTTCACTCTCTAGTCTGGAGTGGATTTCTAAAAAAGCTTTGGAATCATTCTTTTAGCACAAACAATGTACTTCGTCGCATACTCTATTGCGACTGATGGTTTAATGCTGCATTTCATGTAGTCAGTACAACAGTGTATAAGTGCCATGATATTTGGAAATCGGAGTACCAGTAGGTGCATACATTATACTGGGAGGACAGGTTTAGCTGGCTGAACAGCCTAACCAATTTTATTTCAGCGGCCGGGAGCCCCCCCCCCCAACTTTAATTGGCAAATGTCGCCTGAGTCCATAGTCCACAGATTATAGCTACCGTAAGATCACAAAGTTTGTACATTTCGTGGCTGGTTGTTCCCAGAATGTCGACCGTATCCGTAGTGTGTACCACACACTGTAGTGAGCAGTTCTTGAATTTATGAAATTTATTCGGAAAGTCAAAACTAGGATAGCTGCATTTTCTCCTTATAAGCTAACATTTACTCAAAATCATTGAAATAACAACTAACGGATTGCTCTTTTTCCTGCGTCTGTTCGCGCCAATGGTTTTGGCTTCGTTTTGGCCCCACTCTAAATTGACTAAACCCCATGAATCCTTCTTGTGTAAATTTGTATAGCTGGAATGCATGACGTCAACGCGCTCGGTCGGGGCAAAGCCCCCGGCCGAGCGCGCCTTTAACTTCTTTCGTGTCTTTTGCACGGCAACTTCGCCATTTTTTGCCAGGAAGGCGCTACACCAGGGTTTGAAAACTTGCCACCAATTTTCATGTTACATTATTCTTGCCTACCGCACGTTTGCACACAAAGGAAGTCTACACTGTCCTCCCAGACCAAAGCTTCGCTTCTAGTTACTAATACATGTTGTTCTTTCAGCGATCTCAACAGTGTTGGTAGCCTGTCATGCCTGCCCTTTCATTATCAGTTTTCACCGACGATTCTAATTACTTGAAGTAATAATCAACTCGCAGTGGATAAGCTATAAGATAGACTTGAGTTACGCAAGATCTAAGCCTAAAAGCTACGATATGAAATGCGATATTAGCATCGAGATCAGCTTCGTTGAGTTACGCGAAAAAATATCGAATTAAGTTTCAATCTACAGTATAACAACGCATAATTAGGCTAACGTTTCACTATGAATGTGATCATTTTGCCATGCGGGATCGCATCGAGGTGTACAGTTGCTCAAGGTCACCGCATCCAGCTACTTCATAGGACCTCACAACGTGGCCGAGCATTTAATTTTACAATAATGCATGCTTCTAGGCTCGCACTATCGTACCATGCTTTAAATGACATTTTCAAATAGTATATTGAAGTGGTTTCTGTCTGAGGGCATATCCATACATGTGCTTAGAATGTGGTTGCTTAGAGGTTATCAGCTTAAGAAGAAACTAGAGGGGGCTCCAAATTAAAGCTTGTTTCAGTTTTTTTTCTTGTCTTGTCACCAATACTGTACTTGCTTGTACAGTGTACATATTAATACAGCTCGACACGATGTGAATGCAGGGGCAACAAACGCTCCACTATCATCGTATGACACTTTGCAATTTACTTTCCAGACTCCAGTTGAGTGGATTTAGCTTGGGACGCCCATGCGGACTATTCGAGCTGTGTTCTTTGCTGCAGTTGCCGTTGCAAGGGTCGACGCTTCCCTCAGAGGCACAGATTTTGAGGTAGCCTTAGCCAGCAGGGAGATTACTGCGCATCCAAGACACTCGAGACGACGAATATGAAGAGCGATCTGGGGGTCTTCGGGCAATCGAGAAGGCGAAAGCTCTCGTCAAGCCCGTAACTTCCTCGGGGAAACTTAAGACTTGGTTAAACAGTGGAAAACCCATCGACGAAGTCTTCATCCGGCTGAAACTGGACCAAGCAGGGGATAAACTCTTTGAGAACCTGCAGTTTCGCACGTGGCTCAATTACGCGGATGAATTAACGGCAGAATCCGGGAAGGAAGCGTCGGCCATCGTGACGTTTTTTTTTTCGCAGTGAGGTACATTGATGTTACACGCAGCGAGGGGACTAATCAAGGCTCGAGACAGAGCAGATTCAGCGCCGGATGGCGACTGACAACAGTGCTGACGACGTGTTCAAGCTGATAAGACCTAGGTACTCACGAGGCTGTTGTTCAACACGTGGACCACGTACCGGCAGCTCGGCATTGTACGCGACGCTAGCAGCCTACCACACGACTTACAAGGACAAAGCCCTTTGGAAAGCAATCCAAGCCGCGAAGAAGAACCCGAAGACGACGAAGTTGGGGACTAAGTCAGAGACTGAGCTGCTCATTATCGCTGAGAAGCAGCCGATTGACGTGGTAAAGCTGATGAATGTGAGGGAAAACAGCAGTGCGAACTGGAAGCTCTGGAAGTCGCACATGCAGGACTAGAACAAGTTCCACCTCAGGGAAATCAAGACCTAGCGTACGCAATTAAACGCCAGGGTCAGCTGGATATCAGCAATGGTCAAGAGCGATGTCGGTTTTACAAAAGCTTTAAAATTGTTTACACGTATTCTTTCTCTAGCATACAATTACGCTGCCGTCGTTGCAGTTGATGATGCGACGGCGTTCCACACTTCCTGGTGAGACTTGGCTCCTTGTGTGAGTGCACTTTTGGGTGCTGCATTCCGTGGCTCTGTCCATCGATCCCAGTCCAGCTCCAGTCTAACCTGCTGGTTGTCACCCTCTCGGATCCCAGACCGCAGGTCTGCGACGACCTGAGAGCGGGCCTCGATAGCGAATCGCTTGATTAGCCCGGCGTGTTCAGCGGCAGTAGGAAGCTGACTGGGCAGGCCCATCATGGAGTCCAACACAGACATCAGCATGGACTGCAGTCGAGAATTCGCAGCCCCTTCCCCATTGCAGCACACTGCCACGTTGAGCAAAGTCGTGAAATTCGCCGCAAACTCATTGAACATCTTCTCGACGGTCTGCACGCGCTCCTCCTTCATCGACGTCAGCTCACATGCAGCAAACACATCCAGCGATGAACCCCAGAACTTGAGGCAGGACGTCGCGGCTCGCCACAGGATATCCCAGAGCACCAGCGCCTCCCTTCTCAGTGGAGATGAAGTAGATTGAGCAACGTCGCCGGATTTCACACAGTCCCTCAGTGAGGTGGTGAATTCGCCCAAATACTGCGAAAGGCTCGTGGCCTGGTGTTCCCACGCAGCAAGATTGACGCTCTTGGAGCTGGCATTCTTGAATATTGCAGCACAACATCGCCTCAAGTCTCGGCAGCGCCGGTCTTCTTCGCGTCGCTGTGCGTCTTCTTGGACTGCAGCTTGGTTCGCGCTCTTCTGCGGGCTCGCTGCACTAGACGGGAGGGCGACAGCAGCCACCTTAGATCCAGCGCCGAGATCCTTCAGCAGGCTCTTGTTCCGGAAGGCCACGCGCTTCACAAACTCCGATTGGCAGCTCTTCGGGACGAGCGTCTTCAACGCGCCACGAGTCCGCTGCAGCGCCACGAACACGATCGAGTTGGTCAGCGTCGGATGCGACGACGGAGGCATGAACGGAGGAATTGCAGCAGTGACGCGCTCCTCTCCGAGCCGCAGAGCTTCTTGCAGCGAAGCCACAACCGCAGAGTTCGCCTCGTGGCGAGTCTTGGAGGTGATCATCATCTGGAACGATGCTCGAGCAGCGAGAGCGGCGTCGTCGCCTACTGTAGCAGGGCTGCGCCCGACAGTGAGCAGTCCGCTCTCCGACGCACAGCGATCGACGAGTCCATCAGCTCGCGGCGTGACCACGTGCGCCATCACGTGCTCACAGATGTCCGTCGTCACAGAGCCGACGACAAACTCCACCACCGCCTTCAGCTTCAGATGCACCTTGAATACAGCCTCAGACAGCTCGTCGTTCTCCTCCTGCACTAGCGGGAAGCTGCTGGAAAATCCTCTAGTTCCAGACGACTTTATCCCTGGACTGGCGGCGCGTACGACGTTGTCGTGCTTTGCGGCGAAAGAGGAGGAGCTATTGCCGTGGTCGTCCTCTATCACAACCTGCAACGGTCGGAGCTTGCGCATGGGCGTAACTGGATGGCCGTTGGTGGTCATCGATCCAGAGCCGATCGACAGCTTCCTCCGCGGCGTCGGCTGCGCGCGCGTCTGGATGAAGCCTCGGAGATCCTCCAGCTCGCTCACGCAGCTCTGGACGAACACTTGGCTATACAAGAAGGGCAGGTGGTCTTCTCCAGCCCCAGCCTCTGGGGACGCATCGTCCTCACTCTCTAGCGCCAAGCGTACACGCGAAGACGGGAGCAAATCTCGGGACTGATAGTCCTCGCCATGCAGGAACCCGGCGTCGAGCTTCAGCACGTGGAAGATGCGTTCGATCTGCAACGCCACGTAGAGTCCAGTCTCGCCCAGAGCGTTCAAGCGCGGGGAGCGATGCAGCAGATGCAGCAGCACCACAAGCTGCTTGAAGTACGTCGTGCCGAACGAGAGCTTGTCCAGTGAGAGCATGGAGAGGTAGTCGCAGAGCCACGGGATGCACTTGGAGACGGAAGATTCGAGAACGCTATCTTCCAGCAGCTTCTTGACGTCCAGACTCGAGTCGCGAGCCACTTCCAACGTGCTGATACCTTCGCGCTCTACCGCTTTGAACGCTGCGTTGTGCGCGGAAAGCTGGCGGATCGAGCACGTCACTTGCCACTGCGGCGAGAACCGGAGATACCCGAGGAACTTGGCCACCACCTTGAGTCTCAGCACGACTTCCGTGAAGTCCTTGCGCGCATCGGCCGAGGGTGAAATAGTCTCACGGATGGAGTAGAATTGTCTCTCCAGCTGGTGCTTGACCAGCTCCGAGAACTCGTAGCTGTCGCAGCTGTGCAGGAAGTGGAAGAAGAAGAGCTGGTTGTCCGTGAAGAAGCTTCGCATGCGGTCCAGCGTCGCCGTGAAGCCCTTGGTCGCGTCGTCCTCGTTGGTCAATGCTCTGGCGTCCTGTCGATTCTTGCGCAGCGAGTTGTTGTTATTGTTGTCGTTCACTTTACCGTTGTTCCTGTTGTTGCTGTTGTTTGAGCCTCCCCCGGTAGCATGCACCTGCGCTTGAGGAGACTTGTTCGACGGCTTCTGGCTCGAGAATCGCCGGTGCAGCTTCCGCAGCCGGTCCGGGTTCTTGACAACGAGCTTATCCGCCATGATCTTGAGCACCAGGTCCTTGTCGCTCTCGCCAAATGGGTTCGAGCCGACTTGGACCAGCTCCTGGACGAAGAACTTGGCGAACCACCAGCGGTTCTCAGGCGAGACTTCGGCCAGCAGCTCCCGAGCCGCTGCAATGGCCGCCGCCGCCACTCCCGCGTTCTCGATACCCACGAGACTGTGCTGCTTCTGCTGGAACTGGCGCAATAATCCCAGGAATCCGTCCCGCACCTTCTCGCGGTTCGTGTACAGGAGCGACTCCTCCGGCGTCCGATAGTGCAGGCGGGAGTCCGTCTCCTCGTTGAACGGGATGGCGAAGTCCCGCACTGCACTCGCCTTCATCTCGATCGGCAGTTGACAACCCACGCGCGCGCTCTCCGCCACGCGGAACTCCTCGCGCCTGCGAGACACTTCGTCCAGCCGCTCCAGCATCGACCCGCAGATGCCCTCAGCGTCCCTCAAGCTGTGCTTCACTAGCCCCAATAGATCGGCGCCCAGGTGGGCGAGCACCGACTCGATCTCACAGAAAACGATCTCCGCGAAGTCGAGGCAGTGCACGCGCCAGCAGAACTCGGACGCGACGCTACAGGGAGAACAAGCCTCCGGCTGCTCAGTGGGGTCTTTACTGCAAGCTGCGCAGTCGGCCCGGTACAGCAGACTGATGAGCACCTGCAGCTCCGCGCTCGTGCTCTTGACGAACCGCTCCCTGATGAGGAACCCGTAGAGCTTGGCCGCCTGCGTGTTCACCTTGAAGTCGTCCGACGAACGGTCCGGCAAAATGGCTACATTCCTGCTCTTCTCGACCACGGGCGCGTGCTCCTCCTGCTGGTTCGAGGTCGAGGTCGACGTCACCCTGCTCTTCTTGGGGCTGTCGGACTGTGAATGGGTCCCCTGGTTGGACGGAGATGAAGATTTTTTCTTTACCAAGAGTTGCTGAGGTCGAGCCACCGACTCTACGCTTTTGGGTACAATGGTTGTGACCACTGACGTCTTCGTCTTGACAACCGGTGTAGCCATTACGCTTCCCGGGGTACTGGAAGAACCCCACGCCGACGTCGGTTTGGGCACCGAAGGCTTCGGCCCCCAAGCCGACGGCGCAGCAGGTGTGTTGGAGGTGAAGCCAGAGCTAGAGGAGGGGGCAGCGGCGCCCATGCGCTTCTCCAGCAGCGATTGTTTGGCCCACGCCGGGGGTCTTGTGCCTTCCGACGCCCCGAGGGGAGGGAACGAAATGGCTACAGGCACTGGTCGAGCCACGACCGTCGAGTCCTTGGGCGTCAATAGCGTTGTAGTGATCCTCCTCTTGGGCGTCTTGGCTGGGGCCACTTGGCCGCTGCTAGGTGTGCGCTTCAACTGCGGGAACTGGTCCTCGTCCTGCAGTGTAGCCATGTTGCTCTCGGGTGCAGTAGCCAAGTTGCTCGAGCGGTCGGTCTCGGAGTCGCTGGAGACGCGCGCGTCGGCGTGCCGCTGCACCTGCCCGTGCAGATAGTCCAGGAACACGTGCACGAAGTCGTCCGCGCGCACGCGCTGCGTCTTGGTGCCAAGCTGCAGCTCCACGGCGGCGTTCTGGGCGCTGGAGGCGGCATCAGCAGCGGAGTTTGGCCGCGCGTCCTGCGCGCAGAGGAACTGCCGGATGCTGCGCTGCACGCGCCGCAGCTCCGCGTCCGAGAAGCCGCGCACCGCCGCCCAGAGCTGCGCGGCCGCGTCGTCCGCAGGTGTAGCCATTTTTCCCGCGTCTTTTTGGCTTTGAAATGGCTCAAGCGCGCGCCGATTGGCGGCCGAAACGGCGGGGGAAATCGACCAATCCCACGTCGAAGAGGAGTTAACTTGGGTTTTGTATTTGAATCTTGAAATTTGTATGGAATGTAGCCACTTCAACTTGGACGAGACAGGTGTTGAACCGTATCGGATACCGTGCGTGGTGACCAACGTGAATCCTTAGGCGCGTTCTCTTGGCGAGCTTCAGGCGGTATACAGCTCGTCGATTCGCCCTCGCGAAGAAGAAGCTTAGGTTGGGGGCTAGAACTGGAAAAGAACGACGCGTTTTGTGTCGGATCACGTGGGTGCGTGATTCAAAACCATATCAAGTGCAGCAAGCGCACGATGCGGTGGGTGAGTAAATTAGTTCGTGCTCCGTCAGTGCTGCATGCCATTGGTTGGCTCGAGACACACGCGCAGATTCCAGAGTAAGTTAGTCGCCCGTAGTAGCTACAGAAGGAGTAGCTTGTGAATCGCCTCGAATTCCGCCCACCAACGAGTTAACAAGGTGCTCCAGGCAACGGACCTTCACCTTTGTATCGTAGGGTAAGTTTATTATTAATGCTGTCAAGAATAAATATCACGAGTGACCCAGTTAGCGTCAAACTTTTCAATGAGACATTCGTGCGGTCAATAACTTTCGCTCGAGATTGAGCCGTGCTAGGAGGATCAACGTCAACAATCCAAGCCTGGGGAGATGAGAGTGAGTCGACCTGTGCATCTGCATTGTGTAATAGCACCCGGCAGGGCTCCGAGTGGAGGCAAGTCACCATCGCGTTTTCGCATCCGTCTTGAGATTGCGCAGAAAACGGAGTCTGTCGGCAATTTTTATCACCATGTGTCCGGCTCCCAGTATGTCGTTGTTGACGAAATGGGTCAAGTCGCTGGGCTCCAAGATCACGGACAGCGTCCATGCTCGCTACTGGCTCTGGAGGAAGCAGTCAACGGACGACATCTTCAAGAAGCTCAAGCTCGACGGTGGACTCGACGCGATGTTCAGCAGCCCGAAGCTCAAGACCTTGAGTACGTACGTCGACCTGGTCAACAAGAAGAACCCGGACAAGAAGGTGTCGATGGCTGGGATCATCTCCAAGTCCTACGGAGACTTGGCGCTGGCGAATAAAATCGAGTACGTGCTGAACTACCCGAGCCAGAAGCGGATGGCGGCGAGGCTGTCGCTCCAGCAGAGGGAGAACTGGAAGGCCGAAGGTAAGACGGCAGAGCAGGACTTCACTATGATGAAGCTCGACAAGGCCGGAGACGACCTCTTCCAGACGCCGCAGCTCAACTCGTGGTTCAAGTACGTGATGTATGCGGAGAAGGACGCCAATTCGGCCATGATGTCGGTCTTAGTGTCTCGGTACGGCGACGACGGCCTCGCCAAGATCTTCCTCAACGCTCAGCCACGCAATCGTCGCATGAGGTGGGTGAGTCTCAAACTGGAGACGGCCATGGGCAACGAGTGGGTGCGTATGGGATACACGAGCGAAGACCTGTTCAAGCTGCTCAAGCTCGACGAGGACGTGAACAAGGTGCTCACGAACCAGGCCTTGGTCACGTGGATCGACTTCTTGGGTCGGTACAACGCGAAGAATCCCGAGCAGAAGACGACGCTGATCCAGACGTTCACCAAGTTCTTCGGCGATGAGCCGCTGGCCAGGATGCTGGCGTCCGCGAAGAATGTCCCCAGCACGGAGAAGATGGCTACACGTTTGCAACAGGCGCAGTTTAACCAGTGGCTGGGCGTGAAGTCGACGGACGACGTGTTCAAGCTGCTGAAGCTCAATGGCAATGTGGACAACCTCCTCACCAACCCGAACTTGTCCACGTGGATCAGCTACGCCCTTCTGTTCAACTCGAAGAACCCTGGAAAGGGGACGACGATGATTCAAACGTTTACCAAGTTCTTCGGCAGAGAAGACCTGGCCAAGATGCTGGAGGCTGCCAAGAAGGTGCCGAAGACTGAGAAGTTGGCGAAGCAGTTCCAGGCCGCGCAGTTCAAGCAGTGGTTCCGGGATGGCGTCAAGCCGCCAGAGATCTGGAAAATGCTCAACATGGAGAAAGCCACGTGGATGACGAACCCGGACGCACAAATTTGGCGCCTGTACAATGCCTTCTACAAAGCGAACAAGCCGAAAGTAAATGCCTGATGAAGGATTTCATTTCATTAGTAAGGTTTCGCGGACTATACGCTGCTCAATACATACCGTGTTCATACATCGAAATGTAATGCTTGTACGCTGCCACTTCAACTTCGAGATTTCGTTTTGTAAGCGTCGGTGGCTTATTATTGATAATAAAATAAAATAGAATATTCATCATTAATTAGCGTGCTCCACAACCATGTTAGTGATTTTCACAACGCGCTATTATTGTGAACGCGTTACGCGAGCCGTCTTACCACCTTGGTGTGTCAACTTCCGCATGCGTCGGGTTATCTCTCATCTCTCGAATTCTCTCTCTGCTCTCGACCAGAGTCCGTCAATCGGCACGTACGCAAGTAGGGCCTCCGTCAGGTGCTTCCAGCTTTTTCGATCCTGCGCGCAAAGGCGAAGGAGGTAAAGATCGGGAGAACGACGAAGACGGAGCCCGGAAGAAAGAGTCTGGAGGTCGGCGTCGAGGACCATCGGAAGCGTGAGCCGTTGTCTGCCTCTCCATTTGCTTGGCTCGCTTGGCCTGAAGTAAGCGTCCATGTAGCGGTATGCAGGGATAGCTGCGGGCCAGCGAAGTATATGGCCGAACAATCGCAATCGGCTGCGCAGGAGGTGATAGCGTAGCGGTTCCGTCCCGGTAAGGTCGTACAGCTTGGTGTTGGAAATCCTTCGAGGGTAGACCACGCCGATGACTTTGCGGAGTTGTTGTCGGTAAAACCTTTCGAGGCCAAGGAGGTCAGTGTGGGTTAACGCCAATGTCCCGCAGTTGTAAAGCAGGATGGGCAATACGTAGCTGTTGTAGAGGCGGACTCGAGTCGCTTGCGAGGTCTTTGACGGCCGAAGCCAGATCTTCCACATCCGGTGGAGCGCTGCGGTGGCTAGGCTTTTACGGCGCGATAGATCTTCGGTAGAGAGCCGAGCTTGCAAGTGTTGCGCCAGGCTTCATCCTTGGCACGAGCGATCCGGGTGGTGTGGGCTGTCGGGCTGCGGTGAACAATTGTGTGTTCCGTTTTGGAAGCGTTCATCTTGAGTGACCACTTGGCCAGTATGGCTGGTGCTTGAGTCTCGATCAGGGTAGCGATATCTTCGTGTCTGCAAATGAAGTCAGCGTCGTCGGCGTATACAATCATGTCCGCGAGGAGGTCGTGGGGGACGTCAAGTTGGCCGGCAAGATCGCGTGAGGCTGATTCGAGGTAAACAACAAAAAGAACAGGGGAGAGTGAGTCACCTTGGGGGGTACCTGTGTTGCTCTCAAACGGAGAGAGCAAGTCGTTGCCGAATCGGAGGGCGAGCTTGGTGTCTTGTAGGAGTAGTCGGATCAGGCGAAGCTCATCGCTGCTGACAATCGACTCGAGAACCAGAAGGAGCTTGTCGCGGTTGATTGTGTCAAAAGCACGGGAGAGATCGATCCCCAGTATGCGGAACCGTTCCTTGAATCTCTGCGCCCGTGCTGCTATCCACCTGTGGGCCCATACTGCATCGGCAGTACTGCGACTGGGTCGGAACCCGCTCTGGTGAGGGGACAGAAAGCGTTCGACCTTCGGGGAGATGCGCTCGAGAATGACGAGCGAGATGGCCTTGCGAATGCTGTTGAACAGCACAATTGGTCGAAGGCTGGCACATTGACCAGCCGGCTTGTTTGGCTTTGGAAGTCCAAGGAGAATTCCGTCACCCAGATGAATGTTTGCTCCAGTAGAGAACCCGTCGTTGAGTATGGCAGCGAGAGGTTGAGCTAGTGTCGTAGATCCGTACATGAGTAGCTCAGCTGGGATGGCGTCAGGTCCGGTTGCGCGGCCATTGCGAAGGCGATGGAAGGCGCGTGCGAGCTCGTCGGCTGTAATGGGCCTCTCCAGAGGGCGAGCCACGCTGTCGCTGGGGACGAGCTGTCGGCTCGGGTCGTAAAACTGTTCCTTGAAGTGTTGTCTGATCTTGGCGCCTGCTGTTTTGCGGTGGAGAATGTATTTACCTGTGGAGTCACATCGAGACGTTAGTGGTGAGCGCTGTCGAAGCAGCACTCGCGTTGCCTCGAACATCCTAGCCAAATGGCTAGAGCGGTCTATGGCGGTTAGTTTCTCGTCAATAAAAGTGCGAGCAAGGTGTCTGCTGCGCTCCCTGATTTTGTGAAGTACGTGGTTGCGTCGGCGGCGGAGGTCATCGACGTCCAGCGCACGGTCGTTGTAGATGGCTAGACAGAGTCGTCGTTGTTCGCAGGAGAGACGTGCTAGTTCTGGATCCGGCATTTTGGCGCTTTTGGCGAGTGGAAGGTATCCAATCGAGTCTGCTGCTGATTCCAGTGCTGTGTTCAGCGTCGTCGCCCAGCGCTGATTTGGCGAACCCCCCTGGTGTGGCATGGCGGTGATCTTAGCGGATAGTAGCTGGCGGTATTGTAGTCGGGAGCGTTGGTCGTGCACTAGGAGGTGCGTGGCGAAGCGAGTCTCGGCGTTGTTGAAGTGGAATCTGGCAACTCGACGCCGGAGCCCACCGAGTGCGCGGAGATCAAAGTCCAGCGTGACCAGCTTGTGGTCGGTCGGCGTGAGGATACCGCCCCACGACTGTGCGTTGACACACAGGGATTTATTCCGCTGGCTGCAAATGATGTAGTCGATTTGGTTGAAAATGCTGTGTTCCTTGAGTCGGAGCGTCCACGCCGTGATGTTGCAAGCGCGCTTTCGGAAAGCAGTGTTAGAAATAAACAAGTCATTAGCGTCACAAAAGGAGGCGAGTACGTGGCCGTTGCGGTTGCGTCGGCCACGTCCCCATTGTCCTAAGAAGGGTTCGTGTTCGCGTTGCTGTCCAATGTTTGCGTTGAAGTCGCCCAGTATAAATGTCGTATCGCGCTGTGGGAGTTTGGTGAGCATTGCATGAAAATCCTCGTAGAAACGGTCGACCTCGATAGAGGTGTAGCCACTGTGCGGTGAGTACACATTGATGATGTTCACTCGCTGGGCCTTGGGCATGCGTAGTTGGAGGACTCCAACAGGGTCCGAATGGGCCCAGTTCTTATACAGGAACTTACGCAGGTGAGGTGCAATAGCAAAACCAATGCCATGCCATCGGTTGGATGTCGGTAGAGTCAGGAGATGGTACTTACCGGCCTTCTGCTCACTTTGATAGGGTATGCGGGTTTCTTGGAGGCCTAATACGTCGACGCGGTAGGCCGACAGGTCTCGAGGGAGCGTCTCATGTTGTTTGCGCTGGGAGCCAATGGATTGCACGTTTAACGTACCTAGCCGGAGATGGCGAGCGGGCTTCCGCGGGCGGCGTCGTGGCTGCGTTGCTGGGAGCTGGGAGCTGGGGGTGAGAGGGGTGGTTAGAGAGAGATGTGGAGAGGGAGAGACCCGTCAAAGACTGACAGACGCCGTGAAGCGTCTGCCGGAGCGTTGGGCGAGCAGCATGCTTGCCCAGGCTTCCCGGGAGGGCGTCACCCCAACCCGACCAGGATACAACGCGCTAATTCGCTGTAAGTGCTGTTTGCAAACGTGTATGTTTGCTACTCGATCACTAGCATACAAACTAATAGCTCCTCAAGACTGTTGCCGATTGTCGAATTCAGGTGCGCACCACAGCGCTGATATGAGAATATCGTACATCAGAATTGACGTAGAAAAACAGAATTTCGCATACAACTCAACTATAAAATGCTTTACTGGTATTAATAAGAATCGTTATAAGTAATACACCTTTTCAACTTCAAAATGGCAAATTGCTAGTTCAAAATGACAAAACGTAAGTTCAAACTGTCACGAATAGAGTCAGGACCGTCTCACAATCTTATACGAGCACGATTGGATGATACAGCTCATGGTCAACCAATAGATATTCGATACTCTGTATTTCTATATATTCCACTATTACAAACAGGTTTAAGTATCGGCTTACAAAGTATTGTCGTTTTGATTTTACATGTTGACGTATTGAATTTTCTTTTTGCCATTTTGAAGTTGAAAAGGTGCAATCGAACTCCGCAAACATGTTAGCCACACTAGCAAACAGTTTGCAAACGTTAGTCTTAGCTATACAGCTATTAGTGTTTTTGCGAACACTACCATTCACATGGAGAACGTAAAAAATCCTCTTCGTATCCCTCCTTACGGCCTTTCTCCGCGAGCCCCCCCCCCGCGGGCTAACTGCGCTTCTCCCAACCACTCACTACCGATATGATAGATACGAAGACCGAGCTGCGTCACTGCCAGGAGATCTCCTGGCAGGAGAGCTACACGACGCTAAACGAGCTTCACAGGATGCAGACAACATAATAACGCGTGAAACTGTTCTGCAGAGCTTTGTGTGCAGCCACAAGTTCAAGTACACTCTCATTTAGCAATTCTACCCTTGCATGCATTAACTCACACTTAGTAATGGATGCACGCGTTGACTTGGTGCACTAAATCAGAGTAGAAACACTGGCGATTTTACTGGGATTGGGAGCAACGTTTATGCTGCTATTGCAGACCAAATAGGATTATATCCGTGGTACGTCAAGTCAAAAGATGACCCTCTCTTGGCATCTAACTGGTACATTTTACTGGGATAGCTGTGGCCGATAGGTCATGCTGCTAGGTTCTGCGCTGTCGCCGTCTACTCATACAGTTCATTATTTCTCCTGCTACCACCACCGAGTCTCCGCCTGCCGTCCCGGTTCCCGAATCTACGTCGATCGTGTCCCAAGCCTTGATCAGCGTAGGCCCGACGGGCGACGCATCTGCCGAGTCTCCTGCTGGTGACAGCGAGGGCCCGTCCGCCTCGAGAAGCTCGCCATCGGCTCCTCCAACGAGGACTGCCGCTGGCCCCGGTGACTCATCGCCTCCCGGGGGCTTGCCAAAAGGAGGGTCGTCGGATAGCTCGGAGACCTCGGAGGATCATGCAGCACTCATGCGAGAGATTTTTGGCTCCAATGACGAAGAAGAAGCCTCGGCTGCCCAACGGACAGGTCCTGCAGCACCTCCGGCGCCTCAGGCTACGGCGGCCGAGATTCCTGTGGCTGCCCAAGCCGCTCCAGCTGCGCTACCCCGTCGACCTACACTCGGTCGACTTCGGTTCACGTTCACGCGTTGGTGACAGCTACAGTGACTGCCACACCGAGGGATGGACCTGCTTTTATCGACCCTGCAGTGGTCGACGCATCGGACCCGGCGGCAGGGTCGCGCAAGCTCAGTAACCTGGCGTCACTGTTTCTCGAACCGGGATTCGTGTCACCCGGCGGTCAAGAGTGTTGGAGTTTGATCCAGAACGCTAGCGTGCCTCTCATTTTTGACGACGCCATAGTTGCTCCGTGTTCGGCAGACGGGATCAAGGCCTTCGGCAAGTGTGAGAACCTCGCTTACCCTTTCCAAGTTTGCGCCAGCTCTTCCCGGATCCATGCCTGATCGACGTGACTGGGTACCCGCCAAGTCGAGCAAGTTCTCGACGGGCTACCGGGCATCAACTCTTCGTTCGCCTGAGGAGGCAGTTCCAGGGCAATTCCTTTCACCCTAACGAGAAGGGCGACCTCGGGCTGGCCCTGTGGGAGCGTCGTCATTGGATTCGGGCGAAGGCCGTCAAAGCTTTCATCGCCAACCTCGCTGCAACACTCGGTCACCGCAACCCGGTGGTTGTGAAGCTTCGCAAGAAGTGGGCCAAGTAATCTTCTCTCCCGTCAGCGTACATTGCCTCTAATACTCGGTCGCGGTTCCCATAGCTTCTCCTCAGCCCTCGACCGCTTTGGCTTAGGCGACGGCGCGAAGAGGTGAAATACGTGCTGGTGAAGTTAGTAGGTCGACCGTGGGTTCGGACGCAATAGCTAAGAAGGAACGAGGCGGGGCATGCACGCTCAAGCCCGTGACTAAGTTTGGAGCTGAAGATGGAGTGACCCGTGAGTGGTGGAGTGCAACGGCTGCGAACCAAGCCTCGTTTGAGGCAACGCCTCGTGTAGCGTTCCCACTCAGTAGCATGTCCACTCCAAGGCCAAGTTGATTGGCTGGGTCCATCGACTAAGACCGGTCTTGTGAAAACGAAGACTGGTCTTACCAATCCGTAAGACCGGTCTTACAGATCCGTAAGACCCGTCTTACTGACTGATAAGTCCGGTCTTAGTGAGGCTTCTGACGCACTCACGGAGGTGTTTGAGGGCCCCATTGCTAGAGTGGTTGACGTCTCCATCTTCACATCTGACCGCTCTACTTCGACTGCTGCACCCAAAGCCTCGGTCGCCCTCCTAGTCGCTTCATCAGCACTTGTTTCGTCTGTTGAGGGTTTGACCGAGATTTGCTTGCGTCGTCCGTTATTCCTGGCTCCATTCCGATATCTCTATTCCATCGCGACTCGTTCACTTAACCCTTTCGCGGTAAAAGGATACAGAAAGCGCCCTTTAGATGATTTTCCAAAACACGGTAGAGTGTACCCCCTCTTAAAGGGCGCATCCTGTGCCCTTTTGCACAAGTTCAAGCTAGTGATCAACCTTCTTTTAAAACAAATCATAATCGGTACGCAGAGTAATCATCATGTAATCATTGTTTATACAAATTCTAAGTCATACGCATACATTCTATGTATCCTGCAAATCACCGTAGATGGCATGTCACATGAGACACTCCGAAAAGGCTCCGTAACTTTGTAAAAGGACGCCTAGACCGCCCTTTTAGAAGGAAATCTCAATGAGTTGTATACTATAATTTATTGAGGGTACTCGCGAAAGGGTTAACACATAACATGCAGATTCCAGTAACTTCTTCGTTTGTCGCTGCGAGCTGGATAGCCCTCGCAGGCAGTTCAATCATCATCTCCAGTAGCCTCGTTCGCCTGACATCGCGGGCTGGGTTGCCCCTGCGAGCTGTTCAATCCTCGTTGGGGCGCAGGATTACTCCTCGTCGGCTACCTGGACCATTTGCAAACGTCGGTCGCTTCGCTTCCGGCGTAGGTAATCATACAGGAGGCCACCGCACGACAGATTGGACGCCGGTTCCCATGTCGGCTCGTCATAGCCGACCCACTTCACCTTGAACTCTCGGACGGCCCGGTGAGTACTCGTTGACAACGGGGTCCGGTCATAGAGGATAGACTTGACTTCATACTCGCCATCCAGGTGGTCCGGCTCAAAACTGTCTTCAGGCAGTAGTTCCTCGTCGAAGTCAAGACGAGTGTCTTCGGTGACCTCACAAGCCAAACGAACCCTCGGTCGGCCTTCGAACTCGTCCACTGACTTGAGTCGTGAAGCATGCACCATCGGGTAGAACCGGTATCCCCTTCGGTCGGGTAATTCCAACTCATACGCAAACTCGTCGACCTTCTTCTTCACGCGGAACGGTCCGTGCCACCGATGGGCTAGCTTCTTGGTCAGTCCTGGTCGAACCCGCTCCATGTACAGCCAGACTCTGCTCCCAGGCTGCAAAAAAAGCCTTGTTCTCGTCAATGTAGCTCCACCATGGTCAGGGAAACTCGGTGCTCGGTCGACCGAGGTTCTATTCTCGTGAAAGCCTGCCGTAGCTTCCTTCTCCTTCCTGCCAAGTGATGCATTGCGTTCTTCAGCTCTCCGAGCCTTTTCCGCGGCTTGGTACTCCTTGGCCATCCTCAGGGCGATTTCCCGCTGTCGGTTGACCTCGCGGCGCCATGCTAGCGCGTCCTTTTGGCTACCGAAGCCTCGTTTGAGTGACGAGGACATTGCCTTGAGCGTCGACTGTGCATCCCGCCCATGAACGAGGTAAAACGGAGTTTCCTTCCTCGTCGTATCACGGGAGCTATTGATGGCGAAGATCAGTCTTTCGGCGATCTCGTCCCAATCCTGCTGCAATGGGTTTTCAGCGTATACGCGGACTGACTGCATGGTCGTCTTCACCGATCTCTCCTGCTGGCCTTTGGCCTGCGGTCGGTAGCTCAGGGTCGCTCTCGACCGAGACTGCATCATTTCTGCGAAGTCTTGGAAGACCTCGCTCATAAATCGAGGATCTCGGTCATGACGGATCAAGGACGGTGACCCAAAGCGTCGGTAGACACACTCCTCGAAAGCTTGCGCAACGAGTAAGGCAGTAGTGTCGGACATGGCATTGCTCATCACGAATCCCGTGAACGAGCATTGGAACAGCAGGAGAGCCGTGTTGCCACGGCGACGCTTCGGTAGCGGTATCACGAAGTCCATAGAGACTAGTTGGAAGGGTCTCTCGGCTAGGATGTTCCCTGGCGAGTACCCGCGGAACTGAGGTCGGCTCTTACTTGAACTGCAGTCAGGGCACGACTTAACGTGTTTCTCCACATCGGCATACTGGCCGACCCAGTAATAGTCTCTCGCCGCTCGATGTAGCGTACGGGTAATACCTTGATGACCGCCTTCAAGTGAGTCATGACAGCTTTGCAGGACCTCTTGGATCATCGTTGTGGGCACCACGAGTCTCATCTTCAACTCGGCCTGCTCGCCGTCACTTGAACGACTGCTCGTTCTTGTGTAATATAGTACATCGTCCTCGCTCAACACAAATTGGTCCGCCATTTTCCATGCATCTCGTGCTGCTCTGTATCCAATCTTCGCATCATCTCCCCGGAGCACTGCCTTCAGATTCGACCACCGTAACTCTTCATCTTGAGCGGAGGCGATTCTCCTTCGGCGTTCTTCCTGTACTACCAGCGGGTCAATGTCTTCTGCGTTCGGTGGGCCTGGTGACGTCTCGGCACGCAGTGGTGAAGCTTCTGCTTCATTCTGAGACACCATTGGCTTCTAACCGGTGAGATGCGTCTCCCTGATCGGTGACCGAGACTTCATCTGCAAACCGGACGTGTTTCTCCTTTGCTCTCGCTTGACGTCTGGTCATCACAGCTACGTGTCCGGGTTCAATCTCGTTCTGCCGTCTGTGGTCGGTCTAGGGGTGATAGCCTGTCGGAAGGAGTCATTGCTGCAACAACTCAGTCACCACCAAGAACTCACGGCCAAGCTTCGGTCGGTGAAGTACCTGCATGTGGTGAGAGAGTTTAACGCTGCGGCCGACTCTCTAGCAAGCGAGACTCTCGAGGGCAAGAAGTCTACGGTGGTATTGTAGGACGACCGAGTATTAGAGCTGATGAAGCTGAACCGTATCCCTGAGGTCATCTACGAGGTTGCTGACGGTTGCGTCGTCAAGGACATACCCTCGGCCAACACAGTATGGGCTGTGGTAGCTTCTGCCAAACCTCACAGCAAGAAAGTTTTCGATTTTGTGTGAAGAGACGGCTTGCTGGATCGCGAGTCTCAAGTCGCCAACGATGACTAGATCGCTGGCTCCATGCTGTAATGCAGCAGAGACGCCGCTGTTCATCCCGGTGTACTGAGCGAGGATTACTATAGTGTTCCCGAGGTAAGCGCTTGCAGCAAGCACTACAGTCCACTCTGGTAGCTTCCATAGTATCCACGAGCAACTGCCATATCCACCGTTCTTCTCGGTCTTCGCAGAACCGTCAAACAACATAACGAAGCCTCGATAGGACCGCGGTAGGCGTGCGTAGAGCAGATGCGGGTCCAAACGAGCAGTCGGTGGCCCTCGGGTCCGGGGTGTGACCATCGCCAGTAACTTATCCAAATCAACGAAGTTCGTCAAGCCGGCTTCAAGTAGCTGAGCAAACGAACAGTCGGTTTCTTTGACTCGTTCGACCAACATGACACGAGGCGGTTCTCAGTTTTTCGCCGACGACGTGCCATTCTAGAAATGAATTGGAGCTTGTATAGGACGACAAGTGGCGGATGAAATGGATGCGGCGTGAATGTACCCCTGTGACACGAGTGAAGATTGTGGGAGAAAAGTGATGCTGTGGAATGAATTCTGCGCCTGACCGCAGATGGACCCAACTGGCTGGAAGTGTGAATCCTGGGAATGCACGCCCAGGATTTCAGAAAACACTCAGTCCAGCCGCGGACTTTCCCTTACGATGAGTGCCTAAAGTCTGGCGGAAAGTGTCTCTGGCGAATGTATCCCAGAGTACACCTCATCTTGCTGTGGCTCAGAGTGCCCCAGAGGATCAAATTACCCTGAGAATCAGCCCACTACCACCATGATCATGCGCAGGAGGCCGCTAAACCCGCTAAAAGTTTGGCTTTGTGGAGGTACACGCGAGCCTGCAATGTAGCAGACTTGTTACCCAGAGTGCCGCATGATGACCCAGTGTTCACCTCCCTAAGTGCAGCTGACCCAGAGTTCCAAGATGATTCTCTGGGTTTGGACCATAAATCCATACTCTCGATACTGAACTTAAGTGTATCCCAAGCCAACACCCAAGAATCCCCACAGTTCCCCCAGATTCCTCAGAATTCCCAGGATTTCAGAAGATGACCCTGAGTGTCACCTGATTTTCACGGATTCGAGTCAGTTCGACGTCAGTCTGCAATCAAAGTGATGCGTGACCTAGAAGAACCGTTATGAATGCGCAGACTGGATACTTTCGAGGAGTCGAGAGGCACCATACAAAACCGAGCCCAAGGACCCACAATTGGCATTTTCGACGCCGTGTGACAATGGAATCGCAAGCCGATCGCAAGTTTGGACCGCTGAACCCAAGGTATACTCAAGACAAGATATTTGACCCCAAGCATAGTGAACAGAAGATATTTGCCCGAAGAAGAATGCAGAAGAGAAGAAAGTAAGAGAGAGAGAGAGAAGTAGCAGGTAAAAGACAAACAGAGTTCAATTTTCCGTGTACTGCACAAGTGACTTCGGCCAAGCCTGCCGACGGAAATCCGGAGGACCCGAGACTACGACCGCGGGACGCTAAGGGCACATCAATGGCGAAGGACAGCCGTCTGTGTGGACTCCATCAACTCAAGTCCAGTTAGGTGGGGACCAGCGACTTTCTGGAGTGAACCATCTATTCCATATCCTAGTTGGGTCACTTGCTGTGCTTTTGGTAGCCCATTTCATATTATTCCAGAGGTATTCTGGGGTGCTAGGTAGTCGCCTCCAGGATTTTGTATTGACTGCGTGTGTGAAGGGAAGGGAACTGATAGTGATTGTATTTCGTCCTTTATTGGAGGTAGTGCGCGTTTGTGTGAGTCTCAGGGGAGCTAGGCCCCTGAATTTCAGACTCGAGTGAGCCTAGTGTGTGTGTGACCCACCGTCCAAGGGACCAAAAGAATAAGTGACGACTAGTTGTAGTGTTTGTATACTCTGTATTTGTTGGTTTATCGAGCTAGGAGGGCATTTGGGTAAGGTGTCTTCTGAGTTCCAAGTCCCGGAGTTGACTGAAATCCTGGACCCTGAATTCGTGATATTCTGGGTTTCGGGGGATCTGATTCTCTGGGTTTGCCTTTGGTGTGGAGGTGCGTTCTAGATTAGACGTGCACTCCCGCACTTCTTCGAGGCTACATTTACGACCGGTGGAGTGCCGTTCCGTCGAAGACAAACGAGCCGACAGGGATTACACAAGGTACCCACGCCAACCAAGGAGTGTGATTTTCAGGGTTTAAAGCTTTGCGGCTGCGAATCTCTGGGTCTATCTTCTTGCTGTTGACTCTCAAGTCGATTCTCTAGGTCTACACCCTGGGGAACAGTATTGGGCTGCGCTATACGAACCCCCCTGGGCGATAAAGGTTTCATCGACCTCGCCTCAGCAGGTGCGCGTGCCCGGATTCGATTGTCGAGGATTTCGCCGGAATCAAGTGTTGAAGAAGTGCTGAGTGCCCGTCAACTTCAAGCTACCAAGATATCTCGAGGACGAGGAATGAAGAAGAGTGGACGCGGTGACGGAGGACGCGGTGAGGCGTCACGTCAGTCGCGTCATGTGCAAGGTATGGAGCCTGAGGAGCACAAGGACCTGGAAACAGTCGTCCGCGACGGTCAGAGGGCGAAGAAGGCTGCTCGCGATAGCGAGGCAGTGCAAGATGGGGACGTCGAGGCGTCTGCAGTTCAAGATCAGCCTGCTGTAGGATCGCAAACTCAGGAGGAAGAAGTTTCCCCTGAGCTCCAAGGTTCGACGGAGGTGAATTCTGGGTCGCGGATTCCTGACGAGCACACCCGCGAGGGTGGTGCTCAGGCGTCTGAGGGATGCGCCAATGCGGTTGTGCCCCCGGAGGTGATTGACTTGGTCTCATCTTCGGACGAGTCTGTTGTGGAAGTGAAGCCGGAGCCCGTGCGAGCGAAGAAGGAGGCGAAGACTCAGAGTTGCAAGGTGAATTCTGGGCTCGCACCACCTGAACCCAGAGTTTCAGCGCCAAGTTCGCAAGCGGCACCCGGGAAGACGCCTGAAAGCGACATCCGGGAGCTGCTGCGCCTGTTCCGGAATCGGGAGCAGCGGCGTTGGACACTGAGAGCATGGTGCTGTACGTCCGACGTGAAGTTCGACGCTGGGAAGACGTGAATTCTGGGAAGGTGACGCCCCCGAGTGTCGTCTATGAATGGCCGACCCCGAAACCGGACGCCAACTCGTACTTCGCGGCCGCGTACGCAACGGGAGACTACTTCAAGTGGCGTTTGGCTCTGGCGAACCAAGATGAAGCCTGGATCTCTAAGTTTCACCTCGCCCGGTAGGGTGTCGGAACTGCCCAGGATCTCATGGCGACTACGATTCCCCAGAATATCATGACCGCACGCGAGTGCGTCGCCATTCTACAGACCCTGTTCTTCGAAGCTGGTTTCGAGTTTGTCAACTTGATTCCTGGCTGGTCTACAACGCGCGCTTCCAGGATTCCAGAAAGCCTGGTGCGCTCGGTCATGGAGGAAATCCAGAATTTCATCGCGGTGGAGCTGGTCGAGTGGAGACTGGTGATCGCTGGTGCGCCTTTCAAGGTGAACTCTGAAGACCAACATGCACCAAGCGTTCAAGATCAAGCGCCGAGATTGGATTATCACAAGGAAGATGGAGTCGGTGATCAATTGATGACGGACTACGATGCGGATCTACTGGGTCGACAGATTGTCCTGAGATTCAGGGTCACGGGACTCAGGATTTCACGCAGCCCGCGAGGGTTAAGTGATGGTGAGCCGCGATCCAAGCGCACACAGCATGGACCGCCTCGCCCGCAAGTCCCGTCGACGCCATCCGCGCTTTCTACGCCGTCGCTGTCTTCTCTTCCAGCGTACAAGCCCTCGACTGGTGCTTCGCTCCAGAATTCCACTCCCCTGAATTCCATGCCCATTGGTCATGATTCTCTGGAGGCGGAAGCCACGGATGCCGCCCCAGGTGCGGTGCCAAGCGTCATCGGCACTTCGCGTGCTTCCGATGAGAGAACTGCCTCGGGCGCTCAAACGTCCTACGGCAGTTCTTCGTCTTCGTCGATGATCTTTGGGTATTCGGATTCTCTCGAAGCTGATTGGAGAATCAGATGTGACTCTCAGATAAGTGGGGGAGGATGTAACGGGGTACAATCAAGTGTACCCATTACATGAAGAGTGACGGGTGTCACTCTCCCGAGTACGTGGTACATGGTACCAGTAGCTCCGCAAGCCAACCATTTGAGTTTGTGTGGGCTTTTGTATAGTTAACTTGTAGTTTGTATGACGACCAAGTTAACCTCTACCAAATACACAAAATACAGTAAGTCTTATAACCTACTCCTTTGTAGCAAACCGTTCCCTTTGAGGCCGGGAACTGGTGCACTGCTGTTCACCTGGATAGTAATGTCCACTCGCACTTCCTCTGTGCATTGTGCTGTGTGACCCCGTCACAGTACCAGTACCAGCGTTTTATATGGTGTTTCCAGCCAAGTCAAAGACGATATGGTGTGGAGTGTGGCGTGTAACCTGTAGTTCCGCTTGCTTAGACACAAACGTCAAATGCACAAGCAGCAGGGCAGATGGCTTTACTGCTAATTGTTGCGATTGGACACTTCGCAGGCTCGCACCAAGCACATCGACATCCGATATCACTATATCCGCGAGAAGATCACGAGTGGTGTCGTGGAGCTCGACTACACTGTGTCTAAGAACGAGCTCGTTAATTTCCTGACGAAGGGATTGTCAACAAAGACTCTTCGCTACCTGATCGAGCGCAGCAACGTCACGGACATGCTCGAGTAGACTGCGAATTGAGTGGGGGTGTTGCGATTGGACACTTCGCGGTCTAGTTGTGTGACTCCGCATCGAGGCACGTGCGGCTGTGGAGTTGTTGGCAAGGGTATACAATTGCAGCGGAGGGCTGCAATGTGATTGGTCGGTCTGCCGGATTTTGCGATTCGGATGGGCCGAGAGGAGGTCAAGCTGAAGTTGTCGTTTTCATGGGATCTGCAACAATCGACATTTTCCCTGTGCACCCCTGAAAGAATATGGTTGAGTTAGAAGCTGGAATCTCGTGTACTCGTTGGTAAGACATGATAGGACAGACTCTATAAGGTAGTTTTACTAAACTCAATCTAATTCACTTTCGTATTTCCTTCCTAACCAACACTCGACAACCAAGCCTCGCCCGCATAATCTCAATTCTAATCTGGATAAAACAAGTTCGTGTGTCAGCATCAGTACACGGTGTGCACTGGACCAACCCCGACGATGGTCGATTGCTACTGAAACATCACATCTACGCGTCCATACTCGTTTGCAGCCAACATGTATTGTGAAAACCGGCAAAGATGTCCAGACCAGATTAGCTGGATTAGGAGGGGTAGACAATATATAAAAAGGGGGTACGCCAAATCCTAAATCGTAGCGTTGGTCGTAAACCGTCCATGTGCAAACTACTATCAAATGCTAATGAGAGCCTAGCTTCCTGAGCTGTATAAATGGCCGCAGAGGTGCACTGCATCGTGCGGCGGGCAAGAGCAAGCGTATAAGCAGCCACTCGTGCCAAATTTCGGCCCCGTGAATAGTTCAGACGCAGACACATATTGCAGGTACCCATCGGGTGTTTCATGTATACGGCAGCGTCGAGTTTGCCGTCCACGTTGACATGGGGCACCGTTCATATAAACGAGCTACCCTCATAATGCCCAGTGGATGCCTGCCAAACGTATAGTAAACGGTCGACATATCTGCAGCAGATATGCCCGACTTAAAACACATATATGTCGGCATATCGCGTGAAAGCTTCACCAAAATGTCTTATTGCTTCTGTCTACGTCCGGTTCCTACTGCCCTGAATCAGGTGGCTACACTATAGTATATGCAGTCACTTCGATGTGAACCTGTCAATGCGAAGTCACCACTACTTGACGGTACAGTGCCTCGAGGCACCATGCAACTCGACCTGGATGCTTCTCTACCGATTTCGATTGGGAGCGATGTCAACTTTATAAACGCGACTAGTCTCACCAGGTGAATTTATTGATTGAGTTAAATGATACAAAGCTGTATGTACCTAACGTGTGACTGTGTGCTGCAGACCAGCTTTCCAGCAGGTGATGCGAAGGTTTGCGCGCTTCTACTTCATCCCCAAGGCCCAGTTGCGCGGCCACCCGCCCCAGCTACGATACCACCATCAAGTCCTGGGACTGGTGCTCTCGTTCTACGTCGGCTCGATGGAACAGAGCTCGCTGTCCATGCTCTTTGGCGTGTCGCCCAACATGGTCTCGCGCATCCTGTGTCGTGCAGAAGAGGCGCTGTCCAAGGCGCTGCATGGGTACGCCCCGGCGCGCATTTCGTGGCCATCACCAACGCGCCAAGCCGAGCTAGCAAAACTCGTCGAGGCACGCGAGCCCCTGCTCAAGTACACTTTTGGTTTCATCGATGGCAAGTACTTCTGAAGCATAAAAGACCACGACCAGCGCTACATTCCCACCAGAAACTCACCAACCTGCACGCTGTTACATGACATGTACATTGTACAAGCAATACTGCCATTAACTACGCTCGCACTTAAAAAGTGGCCACGTGATCTGTACAAGTCGGCACAGTACTACAACTACTTGTACAGTACTGACGTACGAGAAGACTCGGATTTCAGGTACACTTGTGCTAGCTTGGCCAAGTGGTAATAACACGATGCTCGCGCAACGATACTATCCAAGCATCCGCTCAACCTTTCGTACCATCGCATCCCAACGTTAGGTCCAATACATTTGTATCATCTACGCCTTTATTCATCGAGGCCTTGGAGTCCCAGGTCATGGCAAATACTGCAGTATATCCTTGTGTTACTAACGTAAATTCCCAAATAATACCCCTTACCGGTATAGTACCCTCTAAAACGTAACCCAGTGCGTAGCCCAGGGTTACACGGTTACTTCAATACAAATATCAAGTATAATTTTGTGGGCTTATTGTCGAAAGCATATTTATGCATGGAATACTGTATAATATACGTAATTTATCAGATTTTGGGAGGGTACTAATACAGTAATGTGCGTGAATACCGGACGGGTCTACAGCTAATACCCTTGTATAATTTATAATTATGGGCTTACGATGTGACGAGATGGTGATGAGCAAAGGTACTGAGCTAAAAATCCATTAATCTCGTGATGTCGTATTCAGCGGTAATTTGAATATTGGCGCGCTTTCGCCACTTTGATTTCCTTTAAAAGCGTTCACTTCCTCATTTGCGATCAAAGCCTCAAACTATCAACCAAGGTATCATCCACTGTATCAAGAGGTATGTATTATCAGAGAAAATGTTGTATGCGCTCGACCAAATAGGAGAAGGAGTAGAAGAGCCTTATAAGGTTGACATTCTTACCGCTTTGATGTGGTGTGAGGACGCCTGGTCGAAGGTTACTGACAGCATTGCTGGTATCACTCGGACCTTATTAACAAGGCCGCCATCAATTTCTTGACGAACTAAATCATATCAATACATTCCTTTTTCTTAACCAATCGGATTCAACTTATACTCTTGGAGACCTTATATATATCAGGCGTCCGGTATTCACGCACATTACTGTAAATAGTGCCCGGGGTATTATTCGGTAATTTCCGTTAAGTATTACCCTCACTGCAGGCACACTGTAGTGGATGACATTCCGCGCAATTGACTGACTTGTAGCGTGGTAACCTGATCTCGGCCAAGTCGCGGTTGCCGTGCAAAGTGCTTCAGTAGTTTTGCTGGGGGTACGCATCAGTTATCGAGCTATTAGACAGCGATACGCACACCGCCGTCGCCAGTTCCGACGGGCAAGCGTCGTCTGAGGCGTCTGGACGGAACGTTGGTGTCAGCGTCGATAACGTCCATTTCGATGGAGCTGAAGCGAACACCGAGCCAGAAATAGGGGGAGCTGGCAACATGGGCAACATGACAGGCAGCGCCGTGTAGAAATAGTGGGTGCAGACACCAGCGTACAAATGTGCAGTGGCCGTGGCCGTTCGAGTGGAACTCGAGCTCTTGAGCTTTTGGCGAAAGATCGGATCCAGTCGCCTGGGAACGAGGCACGAGTTATCGATGGGCCAAATCAGGCCTGTCGGTCTTCTACCCTGCAAAGGGATCTGGCGGAGCTCTGGCCTGTCCAAGGCGACAGCGCTGAATTTCGTGCGTGGGGGGAGTGCCGAGCGAAGCCAAGCAACTCGAGCAAGTCGATCGTGGCGCGAGGCCATCGTCGTAAGGTCGCCACGCGCAAAGAGCCGGACGCCCATGCAGAAACGAAACGATCACCTCCCGTTTATTTCAACAAAGGCAACTTTCGTTCGCAGCACGTCCGACAACAACCGAGTTGCTCGGCTTTGCGTCCGATCGCAGGCACGCCGCGTCTGCTGTTGCTGACTGTCGCAGCGCCCAAGTGTTCACCACGAAGCAGCGCTCGAGTCGCAGGATACCGGTACTTGCAAGTATAAAGGTGGCGGTGAGGGCCACGTGTTTCCCAGCACAGTCTGTTACTGGGAGCTGGCCGCACCCGCCACCACGAGCGGCTCGCTTCACTAACGCTTCTTATAAATACTGTAGACGTATTGATGGCGATATCTCCGTGGCTTCGGTGGGGGGCGGACCAGCGTCTGCGGTGCCGGTTTCGTCTTCCGGATCCAGCTCGGAGCCGTTGTAAACTTAAGCGGGAGCTGGCTTTGGGGGTAGGTGGAGTTCAGTTTCTGGGCTGATCGTTCTGATTGGTCAACGGGGCGGGAGTCAGAGGAATGGGGGCGACCATATGATGGTCTTGTTGCCCCGCGCCCTGACCCGAGTGCGCACTCAACCCCACACAACCAAACAGACGTTTGGCGTCTCGAGTGCGCACTCGGTGTCGACCATCACTCTTGCAGCCCGCCCGCAGGCAAGCAGTACGTACAGGCAAGCAGGCGGCAAGCGAGCAAGGAAGGACTAGACCCTAGGCAGCCATGGCCACGACGCCCGGCGGCAAGACGGACCGCCGCCGCGCCGGCTCCAACTACTTCCAACTGGACGCGGACCGCAAGCGCAACACGTCGGCCAACCGCAGCCACCTGAACCACGGCGACGGGCGCGGCACGTTCGGCGACCGCCTCAGCATGATGGACGTCGTGCCCCCGCAGGGCGGCAGCGCCATGCGCGGCGGCGGTCTCGAGGGCGACTTCGCGGACGAGGTGTCCATCGACTTCTGCTGCGAGGTGCTGTACAACAAGTTCGGCTTCCAGTCGGGCTCGGTGGACAACCAGCGCGAGCACGTGCTGCTGCTGCTGGCCAACGCCAAGGCGCGCTCCAAGCCGCAGGACCCGCCGGGACACCACGTGCTCACGCTGCACAAGAAGCTCATGAGCAACTACACGGACTGGTGCCAGTTCATCGGCGCCCAGAGCGTCACGTACACGGGCCAGCCGCAGGGCGACCTCAAGAACGCGCTGCACATGGACATCATGCTCTTCCTGCTGCTCTGGGGCGAGGCCGGCAACCTGCGCCACATGCCCGAGTGCCTCTGCTACCTGTACCACCAGGCGCTGTGCATGCTCAACCAGGACTTCCTCGGCCAGCAAAAGGTGCCCGAGGGATGGTACCTGCGCCAGGTCGTGCGCCCCATCTGGAAGGAGGCCAGCAACATGCAGCGCAAGAACAGCCTCGGCAAGAACCTCGAGCACACGCAGGTGCGCAACTACGACGACATCAACGAGTACTTCTGGAAGAAGTACTGCCTCAACATTGACATCACGCAGATCGGAGACGAGCTCACCAAGAAGCACACCAAGACGTACTACGAGCACCGCAGTATCTTCACGCTCGTGCTCAACTACTACCGCATCTTCCAGTTCAACATGATGTTCATGATGGTGCTCATGGCCATCGGCTTCATCTCGGCCATCTCGCCCAGCGGCGGACAGGAGTGGTTCGCCCAGTTCGGCTCCATGGGCCAGGTCGTCGAGCCCTACCAGCAGCAGGACGTCAAGCTCACGTACGTGGGTATCGTGTTCGCGCTTTCGTCTATGGGCTTCTGCAAGACTGTGCTGGAGGCCTGCCACGGCTGGCATTTGCTGACTGCTAGCGAGTCGTCGCAGACGTCGTCACGGTCGTTCAACTACGGAGGTGCTCTGGTGGTCCGCATGCTCTGGAACGGTGTCTTCGCGGGTATCTTCGGTCTGATGATCTACACTCCGTTGATCACGAGCGAGAACACGGAGCTGCTGGACAAGGCGGCCATGGCGTCGGCTGCCTACATCATGCCTGGCGCGATCATCATGACCATTCAGGCCTTTGCGCCGTCGATGATCAACAAGACGTTCGCTGCCAAGTTCATTCGTGAGGGTGAGACGTGCTACGTTGGTCGTAACATGGCGCCGCCGCTGAGCTACCAGATCAAGTACATCACCTACTGGCTCGTCCTGTGGGCGCTGAAGGCCTACATTTCGTACTTTATCCTGGTGCGCCCGCTGATTCTCCCGTCGCTTGCCATTTACGAGATGGAGCTGGAGTACGGTAGCAACGTGGTGTCGTTCCACAACTTCGGTGTGATCGCTGCGCTGTGGTTGCCGGTGATTTTCATCTTTAACTACGACACCCAGATTTACTTCACAGTGTTCCAAGCTTCCCTTGGTGGCATCCAGGGTCTCATCATGAAGACCGGTGAAATTCACGGCATCAAGGAGATCACCAAGGCCTTCCGTGTGGCACCTCAGCTGTTCGACCAAAAGGTTGTGACCAGCCTTGCTCGGTCAAACGACGCTGCCGCCGATGGGTCTGCCGCTGCTTACCAGTCGCAGATGATGCTGCGTTTCGTCGTTGTGTGGAACGAAATCGTGAATTCTTTCCGCGAGGGCGACCTGGTGGACGACAAGGAAGCCGCCATTCTGCAGTACGATATCCAGAGCTCTGGAGATGTGTTTGAGCCGGTGTTCCTGTCGGCAGGTAAGCTTGTGGAAGCCCTCGACTACACGGTCAAGCTGGCCAAGGAAGGCAAGGGCGATTCGCAACTGCAGGTGTACATGGTGCAGAAGGACTGTCTCTCTGCTGTGCGTAGCTTCTTCACGGCTAGTATGTACGTGATGGAGGCGCTCTTGGGCAGCGACGATGCTGATATCCTGGATGCGCTCCGCCAAATGGAGACGATCGCTGCAAACGGCAGCTTCATGAGTACCTTTGACGCTAAGAGCTTGGTGCAGCTGCGTACTGTGTCGATGGAGTTTTTGGAGGCTGTGATGGATCTGCCGGACCCGGACGCTCAGTCGTCGCACCTGACGACGTCGCGTGTGCACACCATGGGCGTGGTCCGCAACTTCGTGACCAAGATGGAGAACCTGCTTAACGCTATCCGCATCCTCGCGAACCGACCGGAGCTCGCCGCCAAGTTCAGCAACTCCAAGTTCTGCTCAAGTGCGAACGGCTACGTGTTTGCTGCCCGTGGTCTGGTGAACCTCTTCCACAACGACACTGCTATGGGCGCCGCTACGCGCGCCTACTTGCTGATGTCGCTCGAGAAGGCGGACGCGATGCCGCGCGTACCGGAAGCCCAGCGTCGTCTTGGTTTCTTCATGAAGTCGCTTGTGATGGAGATCCCGCAGCTGATGTCGGTGAAGGAAATGCACTCCTTCTCTGTTGTGACGCCGTTCTACAGTGAAAGTGTGCTCATCTCGCTAGCAGAGCTGAACGACCCTCTGGTAAACCACCCTGTTTTCAAGAAGGTCGAAGAGAAGGGCAAGAACATTACCATTCTGAAGTACCTGATCACAATTCACCCGGAGGAGTGGGAGAACTTTTTGGAGCGTATTGACGTGAGCTCTGCAGAGGAGGCAGAGGCAAACTATCCGCTTGAAATTCGACTCTGGGCTTCTTATCGTGGTCAGACGCTCGCTCGTACTGTGCAGGGTATGATGCTGTACGAAGACGCTATCAAGATCCTTCACTGGCTGGAAATCGGTTCGAGCCCTGGTAAGACTGCTGAGCAGAAGCAAGCTCAACTGGAGGACATGGTGCGTCTCAAATTCTCGTACATTTGCGCTTGTCAAGTGTACGGTAAGCATCGCAAGGAGGGTAAGGCCCAGGCCGATGACATTGACTACCTTCTGAAGACGTACCCGAACTTGCGTGTCGCTTATGTCGACACGATTGTGACTGACGGTGGCAAGCAGTTCGACACTGTGTTGATCAAGAGTGAAGGCAACGAAATCGCGGAGGTGTACCGTTACGAACTGCCTGGCGACCCGATTCTTGGTGAAGGTAAGCCTGAGAACCAGAACAACGCACTTCCGTTCACGCGTGGTGAGTACCTGCAGACTATTGATATGAACCAGCAGCACTACTTCGAGGAGTGTCTGAAGATGCCGCAGCTTTTGGTGACCGCTGACCTGCACCCTTCGAAGAAGCCTGTGTCGATTATTGGTATGCGTGAGCACATTTTCACGGGTAACGCTTCGTCGCTGTCGAAGTTCAAGTCATGGCAGGAGCTGGTGTTCGTGACGCTATCTCAGCGTGTGCTGGCTGACCCGCTGTACGTCCGTATGCACTACGGTCACCCTGATATTTTCGACAAGATTATTGCAATGCCTCGTGGTGGTGTGTCGAAGGCTAGTAAGGGTATCAACTTGTCTGAAGATGTGTTCGCCGGATTCAACTCGACGCTTCGTGGTGGTGTCGTGACGCACGTGGAGTTCATGCAGTGTGGTAAGGGTCGTGACGTGGCTCTTTCCCAGATTTCCATGTTCGAGGGTAAGCTCGCTAACGGTGCCGGTGAAACCTCTCTCGCCCGTGAGGCCCACCGCATGGGTCAGTTTATGGATTTCTTCCGCTTGAACTCGATGTACTACTCGCACACGGGTTTCTACTTCGCTACGTGGATGACAATTGTGACGACCTTCGTGTACATGTACTGCAAGGTGTACCTGGCTCTTGCTGGTGTTCAGCAGCAAATTGTGTACAACATGAACTCGACTGCTGTGATTACCGACAACATTGAGAACAATTTCGACGAGCGTGTGTTCAAGGACTTGAAGGCAGTGCTGAACACGCAGTTCTACATCCAGGCCGGTACCTTCTTGATGCTTCCGCTGATGTGCGTGTACTTCGGCGAAGGCGGATTCGTGCGCGGTATGACGCGATTCATCGATATGATCATCACGCTCGGCCCCGCTTTCTTCGTGTTCCAAGTCGGTACAACGATGCACTACTTCGACAACAACATCGTGCACGGTGGTGCCAAGTACCAGGCCACGGGCCGTGGTTTCAAGATTTCTCGAGAAACGCTGGTGTTATTATACAAAGCGTATGCAAGTTCACATTATCGAAAAGCTTGGGAGCTGATCGGTTTGTGTCTTGTGTACTTGGCCTTTGGTAACTTCTACATCTGTCAGACCGACGCGTCTGCCAACGACAACACTTTCGCGTCCGACTACTGTGAGACTGCCCAGGCTTACGGTGTGCAGACGTTCTCGGTGTGGTTCATTTCCATTCTGTGGGTGGTCGGCCCCTTCATGTTCAACAGTGACGGTCTCGACTTCAGGAAAACCAAGGTTGATGTCAAGCAGTGGTGCATGTGGATGTTTGCTCCGGAAGACTACAAGGATGATGATCCGGCGAACAAGGGTGGCTGGGTAGGCTGGTGGAAGGGCGACCTGGAGCAGCTGCACAACTCGAACATGATCTCGCGTGTCACTGTTATCCTCCGTGAAAGCCGACACTTCCTGCTCATGTTCTACGTGGCAACCCTCGAGACATCTGACATCATGTACGTCGGATACTCGCTTGGTGCTGCGATTGCAACCGTCGTTCTTCTCGGTGTGTTCCACGGTGTCGGTATGGGAATGCGGTCCATGAGTCCGGTTACTCGTGCGGTCATCTACTTCGTTACTATGGCCGGCTTGGTCACCGCTTACTTCCTCGCTGCTTGGATCGTGATGGACTGGAAGTTCAAGTACTCACTTTCGCTCTTCTTCGCGTACGTCGCTGCGCTGTACGGCATCAACGAGTGCTTCCGCATGTGGAGCTTCCCGAGCTCGTCGATTGCTGGCATCCCGGTGTTCCAGCAGCTGCAGTTCCTGTTCGACTTCATTTTCTGCACGGGTATGATCATCCCGTTGGTCGTTATGTCCTGCATCCCGTTCTTGAACATCATCCAGACGCGTATGATGTACAATGAGGGTTTCTCCAAGGTCATGTCGGCCTCGTCGCAGTATGCGTTCTCGTTGGCGGCCTTCATGGGTATTCTCGGTGGTGTTGGTGTGGGCTGGCTGTTCAATCTGCTGTCTACGCTGGAGCAGTCCGCAAGTTTTGCTAGTTACGTGGTGACGTACGATGGTGTGCTCAGTGGCAATGTCGGCGACGGCACCACGACGTACATGCTGTACGGTGCGTGCTTTGTTGGTACCATCATCTCAGGCTTCCTGAACTTCTTCCTCGGCCGTCGCTTGGCCATCGTTGCCGGTGGCTTGTTCAGTACCCTCGGCATGGTGGCTGTCAGCGCGAACGACGATCTGCGTAAGACGCTGCTCATGCCTGGTATTGGTCTGCTCGGCGCTTCGTGCGGTATTCTGCTGCCTTCGCTTGCCATCTACATCTTCGAAATCTCCACGAAGGAGATGCGTGGTAAGGCCATTCTGCTGCTGGGCATGGGTTTCATTGCTGGTAGCTTGCTTGGCGGTATTTTCGCTACCGTGAACCAGTTGGGCTGGATTTGGCAGACGTTTGCTGCCTGCATTGTTATCGCGCTGGTCACTCCGGTGGTGAACGTGTTCCCGGAAAGTCCGTACTGGGTCCTGGACCGCAAGGGCTGGGAAGCGTGCGAGGCCTGCCTCGTTATTCTGCGTCGTAAGCCGGACGTCCAGGAAGAGCTGAAGATCATGCGTGAAGAGGAGACTTCGGACGATGGTGGCTCGGGTCCTTTCAAGTTCTTGATTGGCCTGTTCCTGATGCTCGTGTCGTCGCTGACGACTGGCTTCCTCAACGCCTTCATCAGCTACAAGGGTGCCAGCGAGTACACGGATCAGGATCAGCTCTTCGTCAACGCCATGGCGCTGCAGATCTCTGGAGCCGTCATCGCCTTCTTCTTCATCGACAAACTGGACCACAAGTCCGTTCTGTTCGGTACGCTCATCCCCGTGGCCATCTGCGCTGGTGTGCTGGGCTTCAACGAGACGTCGCAGTTCCTGGCCAACACGGAAGGATCGGGCTTGTACGTCAGCCTCGTGGTCATGCTCATGTACTTCTTCATGGGTCTGGGTACGAGTTCTGCCCCGTGGTCGGCCTGTGTCGGCATGTTTAACACGCGTGGCCGGGCCTCCTCGACGACGATGCTGTTCACCATCTTCTTCATGGCCGACCTTGGATACGTGTACATGCACACGCACGACACGATGATGGAGAAGGAGTACCTGTACCTGTACGCCATTGCAGGCTTCAGTGTGGTCGCCCTGGTACTTATCCTGGGCGCGGGCACCAAGAGAAACGGCATCATCTGCACCAAGGCTGAAGCTGAGCGTGACCGTGATCGCGCGGCTCGCATGCGTGCCGAGCGCGCAAGTCGCAACACGCGGACTCCTGGCAACGCCCGACAGCGGAACATCAGCCGTGTTCGGTCCAAGTCAAATGTCGGCGGTCAGCGCGGCAACGCTACCCCTGGCGGCTACGCGATGTACGAAACCCCCTCCAACGCCGCGCCGCCGCTCATGCACGCGCGCCCGTAGAGGAACAAGCAAATACCCGAGCTCAAGCAGCTCGTGTCTTCAAGCTGTCCATAGTGTCAAGGTTTGGTTTGTACATTCATTTTTGCCTCAATACAGACTTGCGTCAAGTTTTACATGAATAACCTCGCGTCCAGGCAGACTTGCTACCACGCTTATGCCACGCTTGGTCCTACAATACAGTATCATTATATGACCAGTAAATAATGTCTACTTGCACACCGATGAAGAAGAAGCTCTGCATCGTTTCCACTCGTCGCGCTAGCAGGTGCATGGAAAACAGGGGTCCTGCAAACGACTTATTTCGGAACGCTTTCACTAAATATGGAGCGATCTTTTGTTTTTGGCCAGCGCTAGCGTCCAGTTTTTCGCTCCAGTTATCGTCCAGTTTTCGTATTTACAGTAGTAAGGAATCGAGTAAGGAATCGACTCCAGTTATCGTACAGTTTTCAAAAACTACACTATATGTGCGATCTCGAGCCCAAATTGTGCTTGATCTAGACAGGCAACAGTTCACAGCCTTAACTCATCGTAAGGTTTTTGAATAAGTAAATGGCGAAGGCTGGCTCAACAGTGCTTTAACCTCGTTCCCTCCCTAGGAACGAGCGTTCAAAATTACCTTTTTCGTACTTAGTAGAATGCACAATTAGCCAATCAAAAGCCAGAATTCGAAAACTGGACGCTAGCATTCCGTTTTTTTTTGAAGTGGTTCCATAACAAATTGGTCCTTGTGGGAGCTGGGATCAGATATATAATCGTGGCGGCCCTTAAAAATGTCACGCTCCGGTGGTCCACACTAAATTAATTCTCAATGACGATTGGCTAATACACAGCAATTTCAGCCAATTATAAAAGAGCGCCTAAACGGATCTCAGCACCGCGACCCGAGTAGGGCTGTTTCGTAAGTGCACGAAAGTACTTTTGTGCAAATTCATCAGCCCTTTATTACGGGGATAGCCCATTGAGACATCAATGAAGATTCTCTACTACGAACGATTAAAAAGCTTGAAATTACAGGCATAACCCTACCAAAACCGGTGCACGAAACAGCCCTAGACCCGAGCACTGTGGAAGCACGGCGCTGTAGGCCTTGAGATAATGAAAAAGCTGTACCGGTACCAATCTTAAGTTTGACCCATTCAAACAGATTTTGTAGCATGCATTCATTTAAAACCATTATCGTGGGGACTATTCTAAAGTACACCGTCTGAATTGTTCATGCATGTACTGCATCCACGCAGTGACACCTAAAGCAGTTATACAGTCTTTGCGTTTTCCTGATTGATGCAAGTCGGTATTGAAGCTACCGTATTAGGGTTGGTTCTACGTATCTAATGAAGTAAGTTTATGATAGCTGCGTTCTCTATAAGTAGGATGGTGTTCTGAGGTGCGTCCTGTAGAGCATTGTGTATCGATGCGATTGTCTATCCACGCGCGGGCGTCTATTAGACTGCACATAGCCCGAAAACAGTACTCAGGCGGTGTTCATCCGCCTCCACGGCTTGATGTTAAGGTATGCAATGAGGCAACCTTATACACCCCGTTTAATTAGGAATAGTTATCGCTACTGACCCTGATAAATGACGCACACTTGAGGCATAACATGGTGTGCGCAGCGCAAATAACCTCAGTTGAGACAAATGGGCGTGTTCAATGGTATGCTACGCGTGGGCGAACCTCGCAACACCTACATGCACTTATTTTTAAAAAGTACTAAAGCATTTAGGGTCAGTGAATCAGGGAAGTACTGATACATTTGCGAATAGCAAATTGCAATGAGGGCAAAAGCTTGCAAAGGGCTACTTTATCGTCTGCAGCTTAATATTGTCGGCAGCAGTGAAGACGTCTACTAACTACACTGGACGTCAATAATAGGGCGACTGTTGTCATATTGTAGCTACAGGAAATTAGCCGAGTCTGCGTACTTATTCCGTTGTAGTTGGCTACTAGGCGGCCACTCAAAACCATTTTGCGCGCTGTAGATTCTAATGATAAGTAAATGCTAACTACTGGAACTTCTAGAAAGCATATTATTTACAGTAGATGGAGGCTACACCTCACGTCTCTTCGCTGGCACATGAACTAAGAGAGACTATTATGGGCTGGACCGCGCAGCAAGGATAACGCAGCAAGGATAAAAATGTAAAACGAAAAGCAGCATGAATATGTAGAATCTACATATTCGTTGTAGATCCTTTGCGTGACGATGAACCAACGTTTCCCCAGGATCCTCATTCATATCAAACGATGTTGCAGAGGCAACTGAAAAACGACAACGGTACCCACTAATAACACAGTCCAGCAATTCAGCATATGCAATGCTAAGTGCATCGCCGGTTCCCCGGTAGACTACGTAGCTATATGCCGAGTAGAACGGCGACTAGCGTTTAGTTTAGGCAAGTAACGCAATACACCGCGTCGCCGTTCCCGGCTTCGTCACCCTTCCCCATTAGATCTTTGAGCTTCGCAACGATAGATAGCAAGGCACCATAATGAACCCTCACATTACATACATATGAGTTCCTACTATAGTGTAACTAGCACACCAAATATTGCAGATTGTAGGCTACCTAGCCGTTATGATAGTGGTGAGGTTCATGTGTGCTGCTTCATCAATAGAAAACATCTTGCCATCGTCGTCGTGTCTCATTAGATCCAGTATTGTAAAGGTTGCTGGGAGACATTGATAGCCACTGGCCAGCTTATACACTTTATTTTAGTTAGGACCTGCCATGCCACTAAAACATGGTTCCTTCGAGCAAGCCTCAATAGTCTTTGGCGAGCCTGTGGCATAGGACGCAGGTAGGCGACATCAGCGAAGGGGTTAATTGCCCCCTTCAGACGAGACACAAGACCGATATTTGGGGTCATTTTTATTTTGTTAGGTGTAGCAACAAGATGTTTGGGGCTGTATCGTGGTGGGCGACGCTGCTCCCATTTTTGCTTTCACGATTCGAATACTCAAACGCTGTACTCTGTAGTTTTCGTGCGCATTCAGACTTCGTATAAGCATTCAAGTGCATTCATATCTGCGCGTACTGAGTAAATTTGCTTGCTCTAGGTAGCCGCGTTGAGCGCCATGTAAAACATGTCAGAACTGATTCGTGTCTGAGCTTTCGAGTAAGTTCAAGTTAGTTCAGTTTTGATGTTTTTATTTGTGCCGTCATGACTGCAGCAGAACAAGCTACTCATTGGCGACCCATGCCCCTCAAGTTGTGGCTCTGAAGTAGCCTTTGGCATGAAAAAAAGATCTGTAACATTTCTATACAAATGTTGAAATCAGTACGATAATAAATTCCTGATCGGAATTTTTCCCCGCTGAGCGAAGCGAGGCGGGTGGTCTCACGCGCTCGGCTTAACCCTGTTCATAGAGCCCCGCTTGCGGGGCTCCGCTTGGCTTGTAGCTTGTATATATTTGTGACAAATAATTTGTCTAAACCGCATTGCGAGCTATCTCAGCGCACCGCGCATGTGCCAGTTTTTGATCTTCGTGACCAAGTTGCGATTCATGCTCTTTGTAACGTTAGTATTCGGTGTCGCCTAGACTAGACGGTCTAGTGCTCTGGATGAGCTGAAGAAGTCCGCGGGGTGATCTTACCTAAGTATGTTCAATAATTCTTTTGTATTTTCAATGCTGCTAAAGTGGACTTGGTATGCGCAGTACAGAGTGTAAAGAAGTTGGTGTGCACCGAGCCTAGCGCCGAGTTGTCGATGGCCACGACGATAAGCTTACCACTACTCAGCGCTCGCCACTTTCTACTTTTCGAGAAACCTGCTCAATGGTTCTCCAGTGCACTACCATCGTTGCTGCTCAACCCGAAATTCGATTTTGCATGCTGGACGACACAGGGCTATAGAATACGTAGTAACTATCCGCTTCATCCGAGCTCGAGGTGAATCGGAATCTGTTAGTGTCGTCGTCGGATTCAGGGACGAGTTCCAGTTCTCAGCCGCCAAGAGACCTGGTCGATGCTCCTTCCAGTCGGTGAACACAGCGACAGACTCCTTCACGGGCCCCTCCCATTGCAACGGAGAGCTCAGCAGCGTCGCGTCTTCAGCTAGAGGCGCAGTATCCCAAAATGACTCCATAAAGTAATCAGCCACCACTGCGTACTCCGGCATGCCGGTCATGTGTCGAGCCTCCTGCGCGCAGTTCGGGCAGCACACGCAGGGCGTGTGCGGCTTGTTGTTGCCCAGGAAGACGCGCTTGCCCTTAACGCGGCACTTGGAGCACACTGCGATGCCACAGATCCGACACCACCGAAGCTTCACACACGAGAGCAAGCCCGTCCCCACGCGCCTAATGCAAACAGAGCACAAGCCGTGCTTCGGATTGTCCTCGTCCACGTTCAACGCGTCGCGATTCTTGCCGGAAACGGCATTATATCGAGCCAACAGCGTGAGCTTCTTGGCCTCGGCACAGCTCACAGCTTTAGTCAATCCTCCGACGAACGCTGCGGTGGCGTAGGGTATCAGCGAAGCGTAGGGAATCGACAGTCCCCGTAACTCACCAGAAGTATCGAAGACGCCTCGAAGCACAACGTTAACTACCCCTGGAGCAGTGTCACGGAATATGCAGGAGAAGAAGAGCTTGCCACGCAGGACTTTGGCCGAGTGATCGAATGGCGGACACTCGGGGATGTCCACTGAGTGCAGCACGAGGTATCCGTACTTCTCGTCGTTGGTGTCTCGCTCGACACACCCATGGCCTGGAGGTAGCAAACGTCGCGCGCCTCGATGATCGGAGCCGAGGCATTGTACAGCCACTTGAGTCCGAAGAAATGCAGCGGGTCTTCCGGTGTGGCCAGCTCGAAGATCCGGAGGATAGCCGAGTCCGTGCCTGCGTCCAAGAAGGACGTCGTGGCCCGCATCTCCTCGTAGTTGGTGTCCGATAGCCCATAGAACAGGTTCTCCACAGTGCCTGCAATGCTGCCCGTGGCGACAATGCTCGGTTGTCTGTCATGTACGGCCTGCACCGCCTCAGGGAAGTCCTCCTCGGCCGCAACTTCCTCCAGCGAGCGACCGCGCCGTCTCCACCTGTAGATTTTCAGCTCATCGTACGACCGCACGTACTTCCAGTCTGCGGGTGGGAGACACGGCAGTTTGTTCGCCCTCCGCTCAATGTAGTGGCGTTCGTCCTCCAGCAGCGCGTCGAGTCTCCGCTGTATTAGCGACTCGTACTCGATCCTCTGCGCAGACGTGACCTGAACGTGGCCGAAGTAGTTTTTCGGCAGCGGGAAGCTCACCTTGGACGAGGGCATGGCCAGAGCGTATCAAGTTGACAAGTGACCAGCAAGATCTGGCGGCGTGGCGCGAAAAGCTTGCGTGTCCAGCCACGCGAGTCGATGAGTGCACGCTCGGCAGACGGGAACCACACGTTCTGACCTCTGCACACGCACGCGGCGCCCTGGCACTGACGTAGCGCTGTCAGCAGTGCGTCGATGGCTCCGTTAAACTAGTGCTGGTGCTTCGTGGCGACCGAGTCGCACCCAGCACTGCTTGGTGCAGGTTGAAGTGCAGGTCCAGATGACGGCCACGCCACGTTGCGATTCACTCGCTGGTCCGGGACGACTGTCGTTCGGGTGGATGGCAGGTCCAAGTGATACATGTTCCCCGCCCGAGGGCAGAACTCTGCAGATCGGCGAGCCGTCGCCTGCGATCGTGAAGATGAAGTTGTTGAAGTCTCCACACACGTCACAGATTGGGTCTAACTACATGTTACTCTGCTACATACTCGCAGCTTATATTTCCTGCCTACCGAAGTCTTCTAGACTGCGTTCGCTGCATCTCGCGCATGACCGAGTTGTTCTGCTGTACCTGGCTGCCGATGGACGCGGCTCGGCGCAGCAGCAGCGCCAAGGCGTCCGACGTGGACTTGACCTCAACCTCCACGATCTCCTCCTCGTACGGGGGCTCGCGCCACTGCTGCACTGCTTCAACGTCGAGCGCGTAGTCGTCGTCCTCTTCTGCGCTCGAGCTGAACCCGTTCACGTCGCTCAGCGTGGACGCGTAGCCGTCCATGAAGTCGCGCCCCACCCAGCTCTCGTCCACCGTCGCGTCCGTGGGGCGCTCTGGCGATTCCTCTCGCACAGCATCGGCGATTGTGGAGCCCGCGTCGGTCTTCTCGTCGCCCCACCACTCACTTTCGTCGATCTCCGAGGCGCTAAGTGAGACCATGTACTGCTGCTGAGCCACGGCGGCGTCCAGAGCGCCGGAGTACGACTCGAGCGCTGGTCCGTGGAGGTAAAAGTCCGCGACGACGGAATACTCGGGCTCACACGGCCGCATGCCCGTCATCTGCTGCGCTTCGAGCGCACAGTTCGGACAGCACACGGCGAAGGCGCAGGGCCGCTCGGACCCGAGGAATAACCGCTTGTTCTTGGCCGAGCACTTGGAGCAGATCGCCACGCCGCAGACGCGGCACGCGCGCAGACGCGTCGACGAGAACAGGCCCTTGCTGCGCTTGATGCAGACGGAGCACACGGCGTCCTTGGCGAAGGCCTCACCCTGGTTCACTGCGTCCAGATTGAAGCCAGAGACCGCGTTGTGCCGTGACAGCAGCGTCAGCTTCTTGGCCTCCGCGCACTGGACGCCCCTGAGGATTCCAGAGACGAACGACATGGACGCGAGCGGCACGGCGTGTCTAGGTAGATCCCCGGACAAGTCGAAGACGCCGCGCACCATGATATCCACGAAACCCGGCGTCGTCTCGCGGAACAGCCCGGCGAAGAACATCTCGCCGCGGATGATATCATTCCTCCTGCGGTCGAACGGAGGACACTGTAGAATATCCACCGAGTGCAGCACTAGATAGCCGAACTGCCGGTTGTGCGCGTCCTGCTCCACCCCCATCGCCTCCAGGTAACACGCGTCTCGAGGCGTAACGATCGCTTGCAGCGGCATCTTCTTGAGCACCCATCGGAGTCCTAGGAAATGCAGCGGGTCGTCCGGCGCGTCCAGTTCCAGCACGCGCAGCAACGCGCAGTCGGTAGGCTCGTGCATGTAGGCCATGGTGGTCTGCGCCTCCTCCTGCGTGATGCTGAAGCTGCCGTAGAGTAAGTCCTCAATGGAGCCGGGCACTCTACCCAACGCGATAATACTAGGGTCGGGTAGACTGCCGGTCCTCGCTCGGGTGTTCTGTGCGTGCCCCCGCTTTCGCCGCCTGAACATTTTCACTTCGCCTTGCGACCGAACGAACTTCCAGTGGGTCGGGTCGAGTCGCGGTTCGTGCGCCGCTTTGCGCGCGGCATAGAGTTCTTCGTCTGCCAGGAGCTCGCCGACTCTCCGACGCACCAGCGCTCGGTACTCTTCAGTCTGCTCGATGGAGACGTTCACCTGGCCGAAATGGTCTTTTGGGAGCGGGAATTTGACGCTCGAGGCGGTGGAAGCCCCCGACTCCGAGTGACTCGACTGCATGATGGCGGACACGCTGGTGAGACTCGATCGGGCGCTGGGACTCGGAGGTTGCATGCAATGAGCGGAAGGGGGGGGGGTCTCCACAGTTCTCGAAATTCTGGAACGGGTTCTCAAATTCTTGGATCCGGGACTTTGAGTCTGGGAGGGGCCGACGTCAGAGCAGAGGGAAGTTGGCAAGTGCTGGTCGACCGGACCAAGCGTTTGAGGCAGGAAGGATGTGCAAGCAGCAGCAGAGAGATAGTGCCTCGGCAAGGTGCAGGGTTGGCGGCGTGCTCACAGACGGCATGGTCTCCGGAAAAACACTTTTCGCCATCCCACCGTGCTTTTAACATACCTGCGAAACTGGATGATCGTAAGACTCGATTTTATTATTGACATACTGTATACTATATACACATTGAAACAGAATATTCATGTTGTGTATAGCGATAACTTGCGTAAATCGATATGCAAATCGTCAACCAGGGCCGACCCACAGGTTTCTTAGGTTGCTGCGTGGTTTTACGCCGGTTCACAAGCCGAAGCTGACCCCGGCCAGCTGCTGCTCTGGCCGAGCCTGCAGGGCACGCAAGCCGAGGCCGAGAGCGTGCCGCAAAGCCACCGGCCTCTGTAAACGAGCGATGCATGCGTTGGCTTCAACTTGCGGTTGCATTCAAGGGCCCCACTCAGCTCCTGTACATGTACGTACCCCATGCATGGCCTGACTCAACCTGCTCATCTACTCAGATTCCGGTTCGCTGCTGTACTGTGTATCTGGCAGACCACCAGCAGCCGCGGCAAAAACGCGGTCGAGCTCAGCGACATCGTCCGCCTCCTTACTCGCCTAATGCATACGTGTACGGTATCATACAATGTAGCGTCTCCAAACGTCAGTTCGTCATGTACCTGCTCCGATATGTAGTTTTTCGACCGAAAACGTCGACCATTGAGGTGAGATGGAGATATTTTCTGCTTGGTGTTGAGCGCCAGGCTTTTGCTGGGGGCACGCGGTAGGTTTAGGGGTGTCAACGTTTGGTCCCAACTCGAAACTCAGCGATCCATCCCGCCGAACTACCTCCAAACTCTTCTTTATCCCCTTCTAACCTGTTAAAACAGTTGTGGTCCACAGAGGACTCGCCATTATCAAAGCCGTCTCATGGAAGAGAACACTAATAACTTGAGTCCACTTGTTTGTATCTACAGATTCAAGGGCTGACAAGGCACGCCGTAGTCGCCCTACATGCTGGTCCAGCGGACGCTGCTGCAGCGGCGTTGACAAGACGCTGCGCATCCCCACACATTGCTCTGTGTAATCCGCCTCTAGGTTCCAACAACTTCCTCGTGACCGGTGTCATGGCCTTCGTGGCGCGTGTGGGGCTGTGTGTCCCCGCCATCGGTGGCTCCGTGGGCTTGGAGTGCGCGGCCATCTTCGATCACGAGCACTGGATCACGGCAGGGTGGCGCTGGGCGACCACGGACAGCATGGACAAGTTCATTCGGCTTGATGCACAGGACCAGCGCTTCGCCTTGCTGCGCAACCACAAGAACGGTGTCTGCGTGCTGGGCTTGCTTGACGGAGAGCTGATCACGGGCTCTACAGGGAAGCCGCTGGACTGCGTCTGCTGGAGTCCATGTCGCGTAGCACGATGCGGACTGAGCTACAACGAAGTGGCGATGATGGAGCTGAGTGGACGCCACCATCGCGTCCGTGGCCACTACGCTCTACTCGGACCAGCAGAACCCGCTCAAGAAGAAGGACGAGGCCGTCGGCGTGACCTCGACGGTAGTCAAATGGACGCACGATCCCGTCTCGACCTCTGTATGCGCCACCGCGCACACGGCCCTCAACGTCAAGGACTACATGACCGAGAAGGTGGCCTCGGCCACGTCGGCCATGTACGGCACCGTGGCCGACTACACCAAGACCCAGGTGGTGCACGCCTTGTCGTCGACGTACGGCACTGTTAAGGGTGTGACCTTCATGGCGCTGAGCTACGTGCTCGGCCTCAAGATCGTGGTGCTAGTCGACGGAGACAGCGGCTGGTGGTCGGCATAGACGGCGTTGCCTGGGGCGAATTCGGTGATGGCAGCAGTCAGCGAAGTTGTCAAAGGAGAGGAAGTTGTACTCTATGGACTATTACTCGTTGCCGGGGGGCGTGATCTTTGCTGATGGCGAAGTCGCTAGTGATGGAGTGGTGGTTTCGTTACTGCTGGTCCAACTGGTGCTGATGTAGCGTAAGGAATGCCATCTAGGAAAAATGAATCGAGGAATTGCTGACAGCATTAAATGTATTGGTGAATTACTTGCTTTGGTTGACTTGTTCGTGACTCGGGTCGCTCGTTGCTTTTTCGTCCGTCTCCCACTCTGGAAACTCGAAGTTATCGTGGATGAAAAGTGAATCCCGGACAAGTGAAGGGTCCAGCTTGGTCCGCTTACAATTTACAATGTTGCCTGCAGATGAAAACGCTCGCTCCGACGGCACCGAGGTAGCGACACATGCCAGCCATTGTCTTGCCAGTGGAGCCAGATAAGGATACGAGCGACCATGCAGCCGCCACCACTCCAGGGGATCTGCATCAAACTCTGTATCAGCGACCTCGTCGAGATAGCGATAAACTTCAGCGCTGCAGCGCGTTTTGAGACGTTTTTCGCGAGCAGCTGCACTAGCTTGAGCGTCACGACGAACTCTCTTGCCAAAAACACCTTCAACGGCCGTCGTCCGTTGCTTCTTGGGAATCGAAGAGCCCTGAGAAGCGTTGCTGTCTTTATCGGGTTGTGGGGACTGGGACTGATTCAAATTCTCCTGTTTTGCCAGTGCAATTGCAGCATCGATGAGGCCTGTGGTAGCTTCCTTGCACTGGTCATTGGTGAGTCCCTCCATATTGGTCAACCTTGGAACCAGATAAGATATCCAAAGCAAATCGGTTGGCAGATCTGCAAAACGCCTTTCAAAAAGGCCCACGAAAGCAAGTCGAACGGTTGTCATGAGGTCTAGGACAGTCTGCTTGAATGGCGCGTCCTCCACCAGTAATGCTTCTTCATCAAACAAGTCATCTCTGTTCAGCGTCCTCTCAACCTGGCGAAGACAGGGAAATGCCAGTGCAAGTGTCGGATAGCCCTGCCCACCTAGCAGCTCGGATGTCGCTGCGATGGGGTCAAGCAGTGCGATCAGGCACTTAATCGTGAACCAGTCCTTGGCGTCTGGCCGGAAGAGCTTCGGCATCCGCTGAAACTCCTTCTTCCCCTTCGCCGTCTTGAGATGACGAAAAAAACCTTTCAGTGGCTGCTTTAGCTCGATCATTCGCGCCAACATATCCCTCGCGCTATTCCAACGCGTAGGGCAGTCTGTCACCACTTTTAACGGCTGTCTTGCTCGGGCGTGCAATTCATCTTCGCCTGTCCGATATTCAGCAATTAGACGCTTCTGTATCGCATTGAGGCAGGAGGTTGCTTTTTGCGAAGAGTGGAAGTAAGTTGCCAGACTTCGAAATCGCTGCACGAGATCCCGGACTTCGTCTAGCGCGTAGAGCTGTTCCATAACGTGCCACTGACGTAGAAAATCAGCCAAATCTTGAATTGACCGGTCTTGTTCCCACGGCTCAGCTTCCGTATCAGCACGCTTCGTATCGTCCTCGCAGGGCACTGCCACTTGCTCCACAATTGCAGGAGGCGCTGGAAAGACTGGACCGACAGGTCCCCCTGCAACTCCGGGGGGTGCTGGAAGGACTAGAACGGCAGGAACTACTGCAACGCCTGGAGGTGTTGTTGCTGCTAGAGCTGCTGCAGCTCCACCCATGCGTTGTGGAGATTCCGGTGCACGCTCCGTCACCAGCCCTGAACTGTTTGCTACACCTGAAGCCTTTCGTGTACGCTTGATGAGCGCACCTCCGACGACAAGATGCAGTGAATGCGCGATGCACGACATGTGCGGAACGCCCATGAGATTGCCAGCCAACACCCCGTTTGAAGCACCGTCTCGAACTAGCTTTATGCAGAAAGATGGATCTAGTCCCCAGCGTTTAAAGAGCTTGGTCAATCCTTCCGCAATAGCCTCACCGCTATGAAGGCCTGGAAATCGCTCAATCTCGAGAGTCCAATTACAGGGTCGAAACTTTAGGTCGAAATAGTGAAGGGTCAGCGACACGTAGCCCTCCGTAGTCAGACTCGTCCAAATATCCGTTGTCACCGCGTAATAGCGGCAGCCTTCCTTGATCATTCCCTTCAACTCTGCACGGAGCTCGACCGCTAACTGCACGATGTCCACGCGAACTTGAGTTCGCCCAGGAACTTTCAACGAGATCCCACCCAGTGTTTCAGTGATGTATCTGACGTAAAATGCGAGTCCTTCGTCCTCAACTATCACGAATGGCCGCATATTTTTTGCGATCCATAACGCGAGATACTGTCGCCCGCCGCTGTTGTTCTGGAGTCACGGCCACAACCCGCTTTTTTTCGAAGGTGTCGAGTGAGGGGCGCCACTGGCAATGGTAACCTTGGCGTCTTTGGCGGTTTTTTTCTTCTCCTCACAGTCTCGAAGGTATGCAGGGTGATGAACCTGCAGATGCATTTTAACGTGGCTTCGTCCCTTTTCAAAGTGAACCTCAGCGCTGCACTTCGCACAGTAGGCGGCACGAGCATGTTTATTACCCGGCTTGTGTAGATGCTCGAACTCGGGGCGTGGCACCAACTTGATGAACTTGTACCAGTAGGGGTTGTGGGCTCCGGAGATGTCGTAGGCATTTGATGGCACCGGACAGGTTTGTAGCTCAGGTTCAGCAGTCTCCTCCTCCTCCTCACTCTCGATAACCGTCTCCACAGGTGCTGTCGTTGGAGACGCCTCACCGCGAGGCCCCTTGGATGCTGTGCCCTGGTCCCTAGCCGAAGAATGCTTCGGCAGTGGCGATAGCATGAATCGAAGCTGAACTGGTGGCCGCTTGGTTCCCTTAGCTTTCTTCCTCTTCTTTTTATTCTTGGCCGGAAAAAGACGACGGGATGTATCGCTTGGCGACGAGGGCACCTCAGAGATGGCCATGGTGTCCGTGAGTCTTGTCCGAGTATGCGCTTGGGGCCTTGTTGCGCTATGGCCCGCGACCGCCTCATCGACCTCTGCTCCGCCCGCACTGGTCCATTTTGTCTTGTTTGAATTACTAGACCTTATGCTTCTGGTAGTATGGAAATTCCATTTTTTGGAACAAAGCAGCGGGAAAATCCAACAAGCTTGGAGGGAAAAATATACTGCTTCGAGTATCGAGAAAGATTTCGAAGAGTTGGGCGGAGTTGCGCCATACTCAAACTCCAACTTGCAACGTTCGAGTTGGAGCGAGTTGGAGCGAGTTGGAGGGACCCAAAGGTCCCAACGTTGACATCCCCAGGTAGGATACGACGCCTTACGGGCACGATGACCAGCATCAGCTGGGTGGGTCGTCACGGTCACACTGAATGGTCCGTCAAGCCAACTCAAGCGGCTGCTGGGCGCACTTCAACATAGAAGCACTCCTTCCCCTAAAATTGTCGGAGAAATTCGGCGTTGCGCGCGCAATTTCACTTTCGCGTCGGGCGCCCGCACGGCTGCAGGTCGTTTTCAGGGACATTAGCTGCCTCTCCGCCAAATCAAACGACCGTCGAAGAAGCGCGCTTGGTGGCGCTCGACTGGAACCGTCACCGAGTTTCGAGCCTCGAACATTGGGTCGAAGTGCCGAAGTGAAGTGCACATCGTGACGGAGTGCCGCCTTCGTCTCTATTGTTGCGTGCCGGATGTTGTGTCTCGCTATGGGTGATTGCGAGCGCCAGCAGAGCCTCGCCGCAGTGATCGCCTTGGCGCAGCGTGAGCCAAGCTCCGGAGACGGCTTAACAGCTGACTCAATCCGCTGCCCTGCAGCCAGATGTGCCCGATACGCAAGTATAACTAACGGTAATCTCCTGGCTAAGGTCTGAGTGTACATGTATAATACTGTACACTAACTACCTGCGCTCTGCTTGCATTGCACTCCTTTGGTCGATGCAATGCAAATGCGCCGACCAATTCAAGCAAGGAAAGCCTCGATTCGCTCCTGAGGTTGACGGCCAGCTCGGACAAGACCCTGACTCACAACGTGCCGGTCTAATACACCGACTCAGAACGAAAGCAAGATGTGTTTCGTGTTGTTGCCGGGGTCTTAGACCCGACGCTCGAGCCCAAGTGTAACGCGCGTGCCCAACTTCTAGCCGTCGCTGCTGTCAAGCAGGAACAGCCATGCCGAGATTCACAAGGCTGAAGTCTGCATAGAAGCAGGAAACTCGCTGCTTGCCAAGTGCTCGGCGGATTTTCAACACGTGCATAGCCTCCGCTGGTCCACCCACCAGACGATCCGCAGCCTGACCGGCAACAGCAGCAGCAGGAGAACCTGCAGCCCGCGTTACATGTGCGTCTTACCAGGCGTCAACCTTTGCTTCCGCTGTGGCTCTGCCCCACTTGCCAACCGGAGCAGGAGCTGCAAATAGGCACGCGATGGCAGAGCCCGTACGGCGAGCGACAGCGCCGGTGCCGGTGGCCCCAACCCAAGATGATGCATCCATTCACACTTCTCTTCCGAGGCGCGCGACGGCCCCGGAGGATTCCGACGCACGCAGGAACAGATACCGGTTCACACTCCTGGAAACTAAGGCGTCATCAATGCCATTGCCATTGCCATTGGTACGAGAGACGACCTCCGTGTCGTCGTCACAGGCGACGCTGGAGCCCGGCAACGTCGAGGGGTTCCGCCATCTAGCACACAGCATCGTGTCTAGAACGCTGGCACTTGAGTGCGAGTACGACCGGATGGGGAGACCGCAGCAAGACGAGCACGTCTGGAAGCTGCTCAAGCGACAGAACCGCCTGCGGGTCTACAAACGCAAGGTGCAGCCCACGGATCACCTGGACCAGAGTCGAATGGGAGGCTCGTCGAATAGTAAACCGACGGTGATCTGCGTCGGCTCTGTGGAGGGGACGGTGGAGGACATTCTCTACGGAGTCCACGCCAAGACGCGCAGCGAGATGGGGGCCACGATGCTCTTCATGGACAGGAACCCACTCGACTGCGACGTGCTGTCAGTGCTGGACAGCGGGTCGAAGCAAGACCCGTTCCGTCAACTCTCAATCAAGTATCTTCTAGCTGAGACCTTCGGCGATACGCGCGTGGTGAACGACCGAGACGTCTGCGTCCTCGAGTCCATGGGCTTCGGCCACGACTCACGGGGCCAGCGCTACGGCTACTACCTCCTACGAAGCGTGGACGTCCCCGAGTGCTCCCCGTTACCGGAGGACAGCGGCGTGGTGCGAGCCAGCATCACCATGTGCTGCATCTACAGACAAGCCCAGGGCTCCGTCAAGGTCTACAGCAAGGCCTCGATCGACTTGGGCGGGTCTCTGCCTGCGTTCATGGCCAACGACGCGGCTACGGAGATCCTGCTGTCGACTGCAGAGGCCACAGCCAGCGCCACCTCCAAGCGTCTCACTGCTCTCGCGCTCCAGAACCAGTTCAATAGGAAGACCCAGGAGTCCGAAGACCTCACGTCCTCGTCCGAGTCGGAGCTGCTGCTCACCAGCTCTCGATGCGCATTCTCGTACAACTTTCGCAGTGCCAAGTCCGTCTCCACAATGGAGTCGTCTCGTACCGATGACGAGCGCAAGACGACCGTCAAGATGCCCGTCAAACCCTGTAGTGTATGCGGCAAGAAGCCCAAGATGGCCAAGCTCGTGCGCTCCACACACCGCAATTGCGGCGTATGCAGCCAGTGCGTCTGCACCAAGTGCTGCGTCAAGCAGAAACTAATCGCGCGCTCCGAACCCGTCCCCATCGTCTGCTGTATGGTCTGCCTGCTCGCAGCCAAACAGCTCAAGGTGGATCCGCGCGACCTGTTCCCGATGCTACCATGAACGTAGTAGTAGTAGACCCAAAGTGCAATGTTATCAATATAAGTCATGTCCTGCCCGTCAACTTGGCTTACTTCGTCTGTCTGTAGTATCAACTTACTAGTAAGTAAGAGGTTCTATCCAGACCGCACCGATAGGCCTTTTAACAATTGCGATCTTCTATCTACTACTTTCCTTGTTCAGGTTGATCTTGCATTTATAGGAAGCTATCAATACAGTCGCTCGTCATCTTCTATCGCTTTGAACTGACGGGCCCCTGTAACCTTGAACTCGCCGCAGTTTTCTTATGCCCCAGACGTCATTAGGATTCTTCATTTTATTGCATGAATGTACGCAGACTCCTCCTGCCCGGGTAACCCGCTACTTCAAACACCATCCACAGAACATGTAAGCAGTCAACACTAAAAATGCGAAGCTCGACCCAGATGGCTACATGTAGCTAGAGCTGCAGCGCACCACAGTACAACTTCTACGTGATGTCCGCTTTCTCACTAATCGGGAAAGTAGCTAACCAGGAACTCAACTTTTCTTTTGGTGGGGAATCTCTATTGCAGGCCTTGATGCTGTAATATAACGTCAGCCACCGCCTCATTGCATAGCATCACGAATCCAGCTTGAAAAGGCGCCAAACTGCACCATGCGGGGGCCTGATACCGTGCGTCGTCGACGTGAACATCTCCGCGTATCCAGCTTGCAGGCAGGTAGCCCTAGAAGCTGTGGCTCCACGCGACTCAGTTGTTGAGTGGTCACGGCCATCGAAACATTCCTTACACTTCGGTGGCGTCGCGGCCTGCCTGCACCCCTTGAGGCTCTACCGCGTCGGAGCGTCGGCCCCCAGCTGTCAAATGTCATACGAGAGACCGTGAACGAGTCCATAGAGAGATGCCTTTCAATGCCGTACCACATGGGGGCTTCCTTCATGTGGGCGCAACCAGCGGGGAGTGGACGGTCCTGCTGCTTGCGAATCGCAAGTTGCGATGAACGTGAGCTATGGAGACTTGCGACTCCGGCTCTGGGAACTTGGCTGGAAGCTGCGTCGCTCGCCTTCGCCTCCCGCCTCACTGTTTAATTTCAGCTCCGCCCGTCGACGCTTGTGTCTGTGTGTCCGTTCATCATGGCGCCCGTCCGAAGAGCAACCGACGACTGTCCCACAACTTCCTCCAACTCAAACTCTATCGACCGTCGAGCGACTGCCCCGGAAGATCAAGGCTACGACTTCAAGCCCGTCAATCCTCCTAAGAAGGTGACGACCCCCAAGTTGAATCTCTCGGACGGAGAGGTGGAGGCGTTCAGGCACTTGGCGCACAGCATCGTCTCGAAGACGCTGGCTCATGAGATCGAGTACCGTCAACTCGGTTGCCCCGAACCGAACTCCAAGGAGTGGAAGCTGCTCAAGCGCCACGACGACTTGAGCGTCTTCAAGCAGCGTCTCCCTCCTTCAGAGCAAGAGTCCTCCAAGACGTACAACGTCATGTGCTTGGGCTCGCTGGAAGGCACGCTCGAGGACGCCCTCTACGGCACGCACTCCAAGAACCGCGGCGACATGCTCGCGACTGCAGCGTACCTACACCGCAGTCACATGGAGTGTGCCGTGCTCAACGTCCTCGAGAGCGGGTCGGACGAAGACCCGTACCGCCAGGTGTCCTTGAAGTGGTTCATTGCCGAGATGTTCGGCGACGCGCGGCTCGTGAACCACCGCGACTGGTTCAACATCGAGTCGATCGGTATCACCACAGACGCGTTTGGACACCGCTACGGCTACTTCCTCGCCAAATTCGCCGACCACCCTGGCTGCCCTCCGATGCCCAAAGACAGCGACGTGGTGCGAGGCAAGATGAACATGTGCTGCATCTACCGACAGGAGCCGCGCTCTCGAGTCGTCGACGTGTACGCCAAAGGGTCCATCGATCTGGGTGGAGACTTGCCGGCCTTTATCAACAGCGGCGCGTCTTGCGCCATGATGTTCAACATGGCTGTGTCAATGGAGAGCGCCGAAGGGAAGCGCCTCACCAAGCTCGCTCTCATGCACCAGGAGAAGCGAGCGAGAGAGAGGGACGAGAAGCTTGAGTTCGGCCTGGAGTGGTCGCAGAAGGACACGACCGACTCGATGGTCGACATGCTGGCTGCGTCCATGATCTCGGCCTCCACTAACAGCTCTTCAAGCGACGTCAGCACGAAAGAGTCGAAGAGTTCGCGAGAGCCCTGTCACGTCTGTGCGAAGAAGCCTTCCTTGTCTAAACTGGTGCGAACCTCCCACCGGAAGTGCGGCATCTGCAAAGAGCGCGCATGCAGCAAGTGCAACGTCAAGAGGAAACTGTTCGGCCGCACGGGCCCCGTGAACGTATTGTGCTGCAAGATCTGCATCCTCGAGTCCAAGAAACTTAGCGTCGATCCACGCGATCCGTGCCCAGTCCTCCAGTAAACGTCAGTGAAAAGGTGATAAAAGTCCAATAGAGTCATAGTTGTATTCTCATGGTCTTCCCTTTACTTCACGTTACTGTACGACTTGTAAAAGTTGTGGTACTGCGTGAGAATCGACTGGAACGGCTCAGGAATCGTCTTGCCCTTCGTCGGGTCTAACTTGAATATTCTAATGTAGACTTTGTCGGGATTCAAGCCTCTCATCATCCAGCGATTGAATTGCGCGGCCTGCAAGTTCGGTACGATATTTTTCGTACCAGACACCGCCTTTGCCGCTTCGAGCATCTTGGCGAGTTGGTCATCCCCATACGCTTTTGTGAAGGTCTTGATCATCGTCGTTTCACGTCCCGGATTCAGGTAGTTGAACAGGTGCAAGTACGCAGCCCACGCGTCCAGGTTGACGTTGCTGAGCGGATTGCTCGCAGCTTGGTCGAGCTTCAAGAGCTTGAAGACGTCGTCCGGCGTGAGCTTCTCGTAGCGCCAGACCTTCATCTGCTGAGCCTGCAGCTGCGTCGCCCTGGCTTTCGTACTCGGGTCCTGCTTCGCTACTTGGAGCATTTTAGACACGACGTCATCACCGTAAGCCGTCGTGAACGTCTTGATCAGACTTGTGGACTTGTCTGGGTGTTGGTGGCTGAAGCGGCTGATGAATTTGACGAACTCGTTTACATTTGGGTGGGTGAGGAGGCTCTCGACGCCGTCGTTAAACTTTAGGAGCTTGAAGACGTCGTCGACGGACTGGCCTGAGCGCAGCAACTCGAGTGAATTTATTCTTTCTTCGCTGTCGGCCCCTTCCTCGGCGCCGACAATCCTCAGCCGCCTTGCGGAGACCGTGGAGTCCGTAGCCGCTGAGGTGGCTGCCACGACTGCGACGACGACCAGAAGCGCCGCTATAAAGTAGCGAGGGAAGGCGGAATTGACAATTTTCGTTGTGCTTTTCTACCGTGAGGCAAACTGCGAAGACTGGAAATGGGGAGTTCCTGTGGCCAAGGGGGAAAACAGCGCCCAAGAGCGACTGAGACACATTGAACCATATGCCGGATCATTGGAAGGTGAGATGATCCAACAGCAATTCCATACACGACAAGCCTCTTTGCAGTGATACTTAAGTATTCCGAAGAGTGATTTAGTACCTAGATAATACATGTCCTGAGCCCAGATACAGAAATGAACCCCTAGAACATAATAAAAGTAGGCATTCCTCCCAATTATGATAAACAGATACCGGCATCACTGTACAGGGATTCTAAAAATATTCGAGAATGTGAAGCATTCTCGAGTACTTATACCGACCTTTATATAGACGCCAATCTCTATTGTTAAAATATTCGAGAATGCTTCACATTCTCGAATATTTTTAGAATCCCTGTACAGTGATACCGGTATCTGTTTATCATAATTGGGAGGAATGCCTACTTTTATTATGTTCTAGGGGTTCATTTCTGTATCTTGGCTCAGGACATGTATTATCTAGGTACTAAATCACTCTTCGGAATACTTAAGTATCACTGCAAAGAGGCTTGTCGTGTATGGAATTGCTGTTGGATCATCTCACCTTCCAATGATCCGGCATATGGTTCAATGTGTCTCAGTCGCTCTTGGGCGCTGTTTTCCCCCTTGGCCACAGGAACTCCCCCTTTTGTTGCATACAAGGGTGCCCGAGCACTACCCTGCACGTACAACACCAAAAGTGGTCGAGGCTAGCTGAAACTTAGTCATCCACTGGACAACATTGTAGGGAGTGGTTGAGAGCCGTTTGGGGCGTGTGCGCGTCTTGGGTCGTTCTTTTTGCTGGCTCTTCGTGCGTTCACCCATGTATGCAACATCTGAGGTCATATGAATTTTACCAGTCTGTTCACTTTGCTTGGGACGGGTGATGGGCAGATTTGCAAGTCTTGGAAAAATGCATTTTTCATGCAATTCGCCTACAGAGAGTAGCGGCAATAAGAAAGGGTCAACAACTTATAATTCTGACAACACATAAATATTGAATTACACAGGGCCTCTATTTAGGTACTGAGTTTGTCAAAGTGATGTGGCACACACATCAATCAAGGTTCCCGCGCATTTTTCAAACTCCAAGGACGGAGCCACAGTGGCTCCGTGTACACGCAGTGGCTCAACCACTGCGTGTGCATCAACGACCGTTGTGCTTCAGCGCCCCAGTGCTCCCGTCACACATACTTTCTCGCCCACATTGCCCCGCAAACTGCCGCTAAGGAAGACAATGAGCGCCTGCAGGTTGATGCGGAGGTGTTGTCCTACGTGCACATGTTGGGTTTGCACAAGCTCAGCAAGCACACCGCCGAGACGTAGCTACAGTAATGTGCGGTGGCCATGGACAAGCAGGGCGTCGTAGTGAGTCGCAGCCAGTGTATTTGAAGGTCGTGCGCCTCAGGAGGACGAGTACGACGAGCCTGTAGCGTCGAAGTCCATCGTCAATCGGGCCAAATAATAATAACGTACCTAACGTGTTTCATTTATTTCGTTAAGTCAATACGTTTAAAGCTCCGCAAGATTTGATTTGACTTGATTATTGTATATACCTTCAGTACTTTAATCGTTGAACCCTTTCTTATTGCCGCTACTCTCTATATTACTACAGGATAAGGAAGCTTTCTCCCAACTTGACATTCCTTGCGCTTCTCTGTCATTGCATCTATCCAATCAGGACAAGTTCTTCAATGAATTTAGCCAATCACGATCGATTCGTGTGTATCCCAACATTTTCCCAATTATTTTGGGAATCTACAGTCTTGCTAGAATAATGTTCAATACAAAGGCTAAGTATAAATGTTGCATTACTCATATTTGACCACAAATTCTCAATACAAATCATGATTATTTCGTTGGTGGCTGTGCCTCGTCTGCTTTCTCTCCTCTTTCATTTGAAAAGATGCAGCGGCCGCCGAGAGGGCTTGACATCCCGCAAGGGACAGCAGGGCAGGAGGCAGCGGCCGCCGAGAGGGCTTGACATCCCGCAAGGGGCAGCAAGGCAGGAGGCAGCGGCGATGAAGTGCTTCAGCGAATTCTTAGCTCTTGCTAACATGGATGAGGAGTCAATTGCTAGTATTGCGAAGTCACTGCCTATTCCTGATGCTCTACCAAGTCAAAACGTTTACTCTTTGCTAACCGCCTTCTCCATTTTCTTGCAAACTAAGCCAGGTGCTCGAGGAGGCCGTCTTGCTAAGGCTACTGTTGTGGACTATATGTCCCAAGTTGTGGACCTGCTCCGAGAGCGGTACCCTCTGTACTTGTCAGACAGCAAGCAAATTGCGAAAATACGCGACAAAATGGGTTCAACGATTCAGGAGCGACATTTGCTAGCTGGCGTGCAGACTGGTGAAGCTCCAGGCTGCACGCTCAGCGACTTGCGTGTTCTGGTGCAGGAAACTGCGATTAAGGGGGTTGGCTCAGGTTATAAGAGTTTGCATGACGCTGCTGTACTAACGTTAATGTGGCACACGTTTGGTCGAGCGATCGATACCTGTTGTGCTAGGTAGAGCCAGCTATCTATGGCGGCATCGGGGGAGCTGTTTCTGCATCTAGCTCGAATCAAGACTTCGGTGGTTCAAGGCATCTCAATTTACAAGGCTGCGACTAACTGGGAGCAGTGTATGCTGCACGGCCTCGGATTGCTGTTCGCCGGAGCGTCGGAGCCTTCCAGCTATGTGTTCCCGCTAGTGCCGCACGCGGCGGCATCGGATTTGCCGGGGGAGCCAAGACGAAGTTATACTCTACTGGGAGAACCTTGAAGAGAAAGCTGAACCAAAGAACGAGCCACCAGCAAAGCGCGTGAGAGGAAGGCCCAATGTGTTCAAGTATATTAACGACGTCATCACCATGGTCTGCGAGCGCCAAGCCCAAGCCTCTGCCCCGCTGCCCCCGACTCTCACCGCAGGATTGAGCAGCCACTCCTTGCGCCACGGCTCCGCAGCGTACGCGAACGCCTTACCTCAGCTTGCGACCCAGTGGATCTCGACCCGGGGAGCTTGGCTGCTGGACTCGCTCACGAAGGCGTTCGCGTACGCGGGTACCACAAATCGCGAGGACCAGAGTGTCGGCAAAGTCCTCGCTGGATACCGAGACCCGCACCTGCCATGCGTCACGCCCACGATTGCCACCTTGAGCGAGCTTCATCCTGCGCTGGAGTATGCCCACTGCTAACTCTGCGTGGCCAGCTCTTCAAGAACGTCAGCGGCTTCACGGACACCACGCTCAACGTCGACGCCTTAGTCCTGGATGCGGCGCTTGCGTCCCTGCTCATCCATCTTGACGACGTCGCGACGGCAGTCCAGCAGGAGCAGGCTGCTACAGGCTTCACATCGCATTACCTGTACCGCTTCCACAAATCTCTGGACGCAACCAACACAGCGCTGGGAGCTCGGCTCTCGCTGGACACATGCATTGGTTGGGGTCGGCAGCTTCGCACGGCTTGGCAAACGGAGAACTTCGGGCAGCTGGGGGAACGCAGCAATGGAAACACCACCGTACTTGCCGCAGCCGTCACCCAGATGCTATCGTCCGTCTCAACAATGCAGCGCACACTTCAGAAGCTCGTCGCGGTCCAGGAGAGCAAGTCCGCCAGCGCGATGGTCCTGCTCCCTGTCGCTGTGCTGGCAAGGCCCCACAGGCGAGCACAGACGCCGTCGTTGAAGCGCACTCTCTTGCTGGCTGCTTCTACAACTGGTACACGCTGGAGCTGTGGCACACGGCAACCCAAAAGAAAGAGCAGCTTGTTCGCGCTGACCTCAAGGCAGGCGTCAACATCATGATCATAGCAGCAGGGCGAGAGGTAGACCTACCAACGGTTTCGAACGTCGTCCATTGTGAAGCGGTGGTTGGAGTTCTCACGAATGTAGTTGTAGATGCTTGAAGTCCCAGCGTCGGCGTCAAGGCATCAGAGCAGAGCCTGCGGGAACCTGACGAATACCTGGATAAGACCTGTATATACCGTCGGAAATGGGGTGGTTATGGCTGTAGACTTCGCGTTTCATGATGATGCCCACGTTCCATCTCGGCGCATGACGACTTGAGCTAGCATCTGAAACGGACAGTCCGTGCGGCGGAGCTTGTGCGACGTCCTCTTCCCTGTCGACCTCTTACGCTCCTTCCAGCCGTGTGTGCAGATGTACTTGCGCTGATACGGCTCCCATCTGTCGGGTACGAGCGGAATCTCGGAGTCTGGAAGCCCTTGGAAGCGAACCTGCTTATTCAAGTCTGCGTTGCAGCGAGCGACGTTAATCACCTCCGCGATGACGAACTTCTGTCGCGTCGCTTCCATGGACTCCTGCAGGCTGACGTCAAGCAGGGGAAACGAGTCATGCTGAGCCTTGAACGCTGGAACTAGTCAGGTCGTCGCTGCCGCTCTCCGCGCTGCTGCCCTTGAGGCGGCTGCAACGACGGATTGCGAGTCATGCTGTCTATGTTGTTGCTGCGGTTGCTGCTGCGTTTTGGCTTGCTGAATTTGGGGTTCACGATGGCCATTTTGCGCAGCGAAGGCACCAGAACCGAGGAACCAGAAGGGGACACCAGAACCGAGGAACCAAAACTGAGGGGCCAGAACTGAGGAACCAGAACTGAGGGACCAGAACAGAACTCTTTTTTTTCAGCATGAGGGCCAAACGGCGTGACCCGTGAGCCGCGGGCATCCTGCAGCGCCTGTGATCGCTGCGACCTGTTGCGCGCGCTAGCCACCTTCCCCTCCTGCCGCTCTCGCTCGGCCATCTGCGCCTTGATATGGGCCATCTTGGGGGTGCGTGCCATGGTGATGGGGTCTCCAGGGCCGAGCAACCGCCGCACGTCGAATGCCACGTGGCTGGATTTGGCCCCCTCGAATTGGTGGCTGTGAGGCAAAAGCTGAAATGACGGTAATAAAGCCTGGGAAATGGTGTAGTGTAACCATAACTGTATCTAGTTTCAGACAAGCTTACGATGACATAACACCACCTCGATAGCAGTCTCGCAGGCTTTCTGGTGCTTCTTCCGTTGCTTTCGTGGCTCTCGCACGTTTGGAAGCGGGCAACCCATTACCTTGCAGCAGGTAGCAACAGGTAAGCAACAGACCCGCTTTCTATTCAGCATTCCGTACAGAGCATGTTGATACCGTACAGCTGAAAGGGAGACGTACCCGCAGGACATAGGCAACCACAGCAAATTCAAGCATCTCCTTATTACGTTAGACGCACCCACATGTGAAGCCATCACAATTGACTTCCTGCATGGCCTCCGGTATGACGACTTAAGACCACCAATCGTTGTGACATAACCAGTAAGTTACTGGTAGTACCGGTAGCAGGGTATGCTAAGTACGATGGTAGCCAAAAGAGCGACAACCCCCCCGTTTAAACAGCGGTACGTCCCGACACCTGACGGAGAGAGAGAGAGAGAGAGAGAGAGAGAGAGAGAGAGAGAGAGAGAGAGAGAGAGCTCCGCTGTTAGCGACCGCGACCACAACGAGCGTGTGTTTGACACCGCCAGCCTCCTCCGTGAAGCGGGGGGGGGGGACGAAGGTGCTGATGATTTTTGTGTAGCACTACTGAGTTCTATTGTTTGGATGTCTCCAAGCGATAGGCTAGGAACTGGGTGCGATGGGACCGCCAATGAGGCTTCCGATGTTGATAATCGTCTATTGATGGAGCGAAGGTGATCCAGCGCCATGTTCTCTGCGTGCTGCAAATACCCCCGTTATGGTTACAATAAACTACAGGCTACACTTAGAATACATACTACACTTAGACTACAGGCTACAGTTGGGAAATATGATACATGACAGAGTGCACATGTAATGGGCCTACTTTGGCTCACTACTTTAGCTTACACGTGTATGTGAGGAAGCGTAGCTAGTTTAAATTAGAGTTAATTATACTCGGGCCTCCGAGTATAGATTAATCTAAATAAACGATCCAAATAATGTTTTTGGGTTAAATGAGAACTGCTATTTTTGTTTTATGTTTCTGACTTCCACTAAATGTAATATTCTAAGATAGGAATCTGCCAACGGCTGGTTGGCAGAATTCCAATGCTATGCATGTCGCTCATTGGCTAAGAGATGCTGCTCTCAGCCAATAGGAATCCTAAGTCTCTATGGACCACCCGTCGTGGTGGTCGTAAATGTATGTAGCTATTGGTGTACCTTACACCAAGGTCGAGGAAGTCTTTCGAACCTCTAACAGACGTCGTGTCTGTTAGAGTTACAAGCGACTGTAGCCACTTGAGCGTGTAACCCTGTTACCCCCCCCCCCCCTCAAGGTTAGACGCGCCGAGTCACGGCACGTCGATCAGGAAATTGACTATTCGTCAATTCTTCACGTTGGGAGAAAGAAAACTCGAGCTCATTCCGCAATGAGCTCGCCTCAGAAGAAGACCGACGCTGAAGCAGAGAGGAAGTCCTCCGCCAGGATAGAGACTCTCTCTATCCCCGAGTACCGCGAGCGTCTCAAAGCAAAGCGTGACGCTCTTGCTACCAAGGCTGCGGCGGGGACAACTCAACCAAAGATTGTCCTCGAAGGTTCTTCTGTAGTCAACGACGCCGTTGACTCCGAGGACGACGACGTGGAGATGGAAGAGGGCGAGGCCTCTTCTAGCAAGCGCAAGGAGTCTATCGACAGCGATAGTCTCGACCCGCATGCCGGGTCGAGACGCCCTCGTGAAGGAGACGACTCGGACGCTTCGAGCTCGAAGCGTTCGCGCGGTGAGAGCGACACTCCGCTCTCTGCTGCTGGGGCTTTAAGCTCCCCGCGTGAGGTGGCGCCTTCAAGCTCTCCGCGCGCTGCTCAGGCAGCGCGCGATCCGTGGATGCCGTCTGCGTCAGAGATCGCAGCCCGTGTGGGCAACACCGCGCCTCCAAATGAAATTCCGCTGTACGTATGCAGCGGGATCCACGATGCTGCTGTGGCGGAGGAGCAACACTTTGATCCGTTAACGAATCAAAGGCGCGATTACTATATCGGACTCTTTCACGAGCTCCGATACTTCTCCAGCAAGAAGATCTCTTCTCGCAGCAAAGTGCCTGAGTGGCAGGCACTTTGTCAAAGTTGGAATGCTTTTGTTGAGAACTTCAACAAGAAGCCGGCTGCTTACCGTGAGCGGGTTAAGCACGCCCGTGAGCGCTTCGAGACATTCTCGACGTGCGGGAGGTTGGAGCAGCTCCACAGATCTTCTGTGGACGCTGGTATTCCATGCGATGTGCCCGAAGGCCAACAGTGCACGTTGTGTCTTCCGGGTGCGGCGCGCTTGAGCGACCGCGACCTAAACGGGTACACGACGATTCGTGTACCTGAGAGTCTCAAGGATCTCCGTGCCAAGTTCCTCGCACGAGAGGAACAGCGACGATCGTGGGACTTCGGGAGCTGTAGGTGACCACAGCGCTCGCACTACCTTCGGGTCGGCAGTGCGTGGTGAGCTTCGTACGCCCTCACCATTTCCGGAACGTCCTGCAGCAGGACGTCCCGTGGCTCCCATGTATCTTGGTGGGGCGGAAACCCTCTCCAACGAATACGATAAAGAACTGGCTGCCGGTTCGTTTTCGGGTTTTTATGGTTCACAATACGCTCAACAATCCAGCGTGTTGAGCTGCGGGCGTCGCGGATCGGAGGCGGCGGTGGTGGGAACACGCCCCGGGTATGGTCAACCTGGGGTTGACCTCGGCCCGACGCTCGAGGAGCGGGTCGCTGCTGTGGAACAGCATCAGAGCCGGGAGTTTGCCGCTCTGAAGCAGGAGGCGGCGATCCTGAGGGCTCAAGTCGCTCAGGCCTCGCAGACTGCGTCGGACATCTCTGTCGACGTGGGAGGTCGCGTCGCACGCTTGGCCCAGCGCGTTCACGCGATGGAGCAGAGGTTCGCTCCCGCTGGGGCTTCCGCTTCGGGTCAGCCGAGCTAGGTGGCTCGTGCTGCCGGTATGGCTTCAGCCGCCTGACGTAAAAGGTCGCATGGAGGCGCATGCTAGATGGAATATCTAGCGTGTAGGCGTTGCCATGCCGTGCCAACACCGTGAACGGCCCGATGAAGCGCCGACTTCGAGGCGAGCAATCTCGCTCTGAAGTCGGAAACTGCATGTTTGGCAGGTTTTGAGTCGCTAACAAAACCAATGAACCCTTCTTGAATTCATTAGTGTTTCCCCTACCAACATTATCTGCGTTCAGCTTCTGTCGGTCGACAGAAGCTGCGATAGCGTCTTGGACAAACCGAATGACGGCTTGTCTGCGCTGCACGAAGTTGATTGTGTCCGAGCTGAATTCGTTCAGCTCGTTTCTAGCAGTAGGCCCGGCCTCTGCGTTCGTCTTCGCGGTGTCTGTGCCCTGCACAGACGCGTACTTCTTCTTCTTGCGCGTAGTCGCGGCTGACACTGTGCAAGTGTCAGCGGCATTCTGCGGCTGCTGCGTTGATTCTGCGGCTGCTGCGTTGCAGTCGTAGATCCCCCCCCACTTAAGGAAGGAGCCACCATCCCGAGTAGACTCGGGAGGCGTGGGTGCCTGACGGTATTCACGTAGAACGGTGTATGCCCGGTCGAGGCATGCACCGAGTTGTTAATGGCGAACTCCGCCATCGGGCAGGCACTCGTTCCAGTGTTGGAACGAGTGAGCGTAGCTCTTAAGCACGTCTACGAGCACGCGGTTCGCGCGCTTGGTCTGCCCGTCCGTCTGCGGATGGTCCGCAGTCGACATCGAAAGTTGACTCCCAAGAAGTGTAAACACTTCTTGCCAAAGGTGTGCAGTGAAGCGCGGGTCCCGATCCGACAGAATGTCGATCGTGTTTGAACACCATGTCAACGAACAGACGCGCCGTCTGCTTCGCAGTCACTTCAGCGGGTACTGCAGCAAGATGTACCATCTTGCTGAAGCGGTCAACAAAGACCACAACGCCCGTGTTCCCCTGGCTGTCCGGGGGAAGACCGAACACGAAGTCCAAAGACATGGACTGCCAACACTCCCGTGGAGTTGGTAGTGACTGCAAGGGAGCCTGCGCGAAAGGCGCAGACTTCACACGTTGACAAACCTCGCAAACACGGACGTACTTGCGCACCCATTTATACTGGTGGGCCCAGTAGAAGTCTCGCGTGAGAAGAAGGTATGTCTTCTCACGGCCCGGATGCCCCGCAGTCGGTGCATCGTGATACTCATACATGATTCTGAGTCGCAGGTCATGGTCATTGGGCACGACAACGCGGACGGCGTTGTCGTCGACTGCACTGTAGAGTAATAACCCGTCGTGCACCCGGTAACGGTGTGCACGAGCACGAAGATGCTTCGGCAGCTTCTGACGAGCTTAGTCAGAAGGCGCTGAGCCGTAGGCCAGCAAGAGCTTCGCGTACGCGCACGACGCGTACGCGACCTTCACGTCGTCCAGCAGTGACGACGTCGGGGTGCTCGATCGCATGGCGTCAATGGCATTGACGTCGGCATCAGTCGTGGCGTAGTCAGGTCGACGCGAGAACGCGTCGGCCACCACATTGAGTCTTCCGGGTTTGTACTCAACCCGGAAGTTATACTCTGCAAAGAGTGAGAGCCATCTCGCCATCCGTTGCGAGATGTGCGGCGACTTCACAGCCGTCCGCAACGACGCGTGGTGCGTATAGACCACGAACGGTTTGCTTCCGAGTAGATACACTCCGAACTTCGCGAGTGCGTACTTCATGGCAAGGAGCTCCTGGTCATGTACCGGGTAGTTGCGCTCAGCTGACTTCAGCTGACACGATTGGTAGTAGACGACACGATCACGACCCTCGTGATCGTGCTGCATCAACGCACATCCGATTGCGAAGTCGG